TACACGTACAGCGACATGATCAGCGACAGAAATAGTATAGTGCCAACAAAGTGTCCTATATTTAATCTCGTATGGCTGTCACAACACTTCATGACCCCCCCCCCCCCCCAAGGTGTGTCGGGTAGGTAATAGAAAAAAATTACTAAGCGAAATTTAGCAATAATAATTAATTAATTATGTCGAATACAATTTAAAGGCTCAATACCACTCTTGTTGTAACTGAATAATATGTCCCAATCTTTATTCTGGTCAACAAATTGTACTATTTTAGAATATTTCAATTAATTGATGATACAAATTTCATCTTAACACACCTTATTAAAAATTTTGAAAAATTCAACATAATGGTTTGAAACGTCTAACGTAAACCTTTTCAAATGTAACTTCGATTTAAAAATATTTTCTAACCCTCTGGACAAGTAAAATAGGATGTAATGGATAATTTACACAACAGGTAGGACACTTAAACATCTAGTACTTAGATAGAGATATTATTTATTTTCTGGAGCTTTCAAGCCAGCAAGAGTGTTATTGTCCCTTTAAGGGACTATGTTTAGTTAAAGGTTATAATAATATGTCGAATACTAAGTGATCAAGTTTAGTTAAAGGTTATAATATATGTCGAATAAAATTTAAGTGATTAAGTTTCGTTGAAGGTATTTATATGTCGAACAAGAAGCTATGTTTAGTTAAAGGTAATAATATGTCGAATAGAATGTAAGTGACATTGTTTAATATTATGTCGAATATTAAGAGATTAAAGGGCCGATCTCGATTATGCTTTGGAGAATAAAACTTCTTAATGTTGTGTTAAAAGCCTATAAATCCTCTAGCAAGCTGTATTATACGGTGTATGTATAAAACCAGACTTTTATTCTATAAAAATAACGTGTAACAGGTCATGCACTGTAAAGGCTCCACAGGAACGTCAATATATTATCAGCATAGCCAACGAAAAAATTGACCAGAAATCTTAAAAGGGTTACCTGTCCGGATATAAGCGATTTTGACGTTCACCCCCAAACTCCTAAATATTTTCAGCTGAAATTTTGAGACAAGGTAAATACTCCATTCCTCTATATTCTGACGCTTAAATTTCATACGTACACGGACATATATTTATGAGACGCTGTTAAAATCGGGATGGTCTCTTTAAGTTTAGTTATAGGTAATAATATGTCGAATAGAATTTAAATGATTAAAAGTCGTTGAAGGAAATAAAATGCCGATTAAAGGTTAAATGTTAGGAAAACAAGCTAAATACAAGGTTGTGCCATTAGAGTTCCATAACTTAAGATCACTGTCTTAATAAATTATTGTCTCTCAGAAGATCAACCAATAGATTGTCAGCATTCTTTCTTTCAAGATAAATAAAATAGTAGAACCGATCTGCGACTATATTATTTTAAACAATGAATAAAACCCCATTCTAATTTATTTGAAAATAATTGATATTTCTATAGCATAAAACTGTGACTTGCCTGTTCACCTCCGCAGTTTAAATTCGTATCATTTAAATTTAGACGACTAAATGGGAAATTCTCCCTCCATAGACTAGATCTGTTGGGTGGTTCCACCAGTCGGGCATATCCAGCTGCAGTATTAATCATAGCCGGCATAAACAGGCAGAAAAATATGAAAAAACACATTTCAATATTATTACAAATTTCAACCCTGGTTCCAAGAGTCCAAAGATGGTGGCCGTGTTGGTATTTTTAATGTGACAAAATAAAATATCTTCAAAGCGCCTAAAAAATAAAGCGTCTTATAAAAATAATATATATTATCACATAAATGACAAATAATAGCCCACTTAGCTGTCATAATTTAAAGTGTGTAATAAACAATTTGTTTTATGTTCACAAGCAAGGATGTTGTAAAAGAAATAACAACCATTTAACATGCTCTTTGCACTTCTTAGTGTTGTTTTAATTGCACACATCACGATAATGTGGTTTCTGGAATTGAGTAAAACTTAACCTTCTTCGACAGCAATATGGGCCTTAAGACATTTAGAGAAAATTTTGATATAATATTATTACGGGTATCCCTCTGAACAGACCGATAAAGCCAGAAAAATAGGACGTTAAACCATATTTCATGGTGACCGAAGGCCCACCTGTCAGGTCACGGACCAAGGCCCCACAAGTATCCTGTCCTCTCCTTCCTTCTTTTTGTCCTCCCCCTCTCCTTTCTTCTCTTTTCTTTTTTTCTTTTTTCTTTATAGGCTTAGGCCCACTTTTTTTTTAATGAGCTTCGGCCCACCTGTCACGGACAGGTGGACAGGTGGACCCAGTCCGGCACTGAGACAAACCATTACCTATAAATAGTTTATAATTACATAAAATAGTGAATAATAAATGATGTTATGATTAGACAACAATAAAGATGTAAATTAAATAAACGGAAGATTCTTACCTGTCATTATAATGACAAATTTTAAACTGTATCCAAATATTCATGGCCAGGTAAAGTCACGTTCATTTGACATCTAAATACATGTATGTCAAAACTTGTCAAGGATATGTCAACAGGCATTTTTAAATTCTATATCAATGAATGAGAACAAGTCGTTGTTTTTAATAGAATTAAAAGTCATATTCACGTCTATTGCAGCAGCATAACAAATGAAATAAAATGAAATGGGGTTTAGCGTCCTACTTTGCTATACCAACTTTCATACTCTATAAAAAAGTAAATAAAATAAATATGTCCATTTATAAAGCGCTAAATCTCCCATTTCCAATTTTAAGTGTGAGAGGTCTGATTCTCAGTTTTTGGGGCCGAAAAGGATAACTTCGGTTTTATCTGCATTTAGTTTCAAGCGATTCATCCAGATCTTAATTTGTAGCAATTGTTATAAGCACCAATGTTTGGTCTGATCCAGGAATAAACAAATCTAAAAGTTGGATATCGTCAACATAAAGGCGGTGACATACAGAATATTGATTTAGAACATCTCCAAGCTGCACTGTATACATAGTAAATAAAACAGAACCTTGAGTAACACCAGCCCAAATCTAGCTGTTACCTATTTGTAAAGCCTTGAGCAGAATCCCATTCAGAGAAGTTAAATAACCCCGACATATAGTATAAATATGTTTATTACGATAATAATTATTACCTTTACATAAGAAAATAACATTTTAAGATATATTAATATATAATGTCTATCAACAAAAAAAACCCTAATAAATTATTGCCGTACACATAGTAAAATATCACACACTATGAGAACGCGAGGAAACAGGACTAAATCTATTTATTAAGGCCAGCTCAAAATTCATCAAGGTTGCTGAGATGTAGATAAGGGTAGGGCACGTGATTGTAGGTTAGGGTTAGGAAGCATTAGGGCTAGGTGGAGGGTTAGGGTCGGGGCTGTGATTAGCGCTAGCCCCGTTTTCATCTCGTGACCTTTCACCAAATTTGAAGTTGGCCTTATCAATTAGATCTAACCAGGAAACAGGGCGAGAATGCGAGAATCTTTCCCCGATAACACGAGATTATTTTTCCCAAACTTCTCGCTTTTTCTCACGTTCTCGTCTTCTCATACTCTTGCTCTTGACTTCTCGACTCCCCGCCCTTTCGACTTCTCGCGGGGAGAAGCCTAGATTATGAAATGATCGCAATAGACTTCCATAGATTCACGGAGTTCCCACCAATGTTTCTTTGTTGTTGTTGTCGGGGCGACACTCTTCGAAAAAAAACCCTAAGACTCGGCCAATTCATGTTCGACCAAAACGGTACTGGCCATGCTTGTTCCTTGGACAATTGTGCGTCGATCGGCAAACTTTGACATTACGTCCTAATTCGTGATGACATCATACTCTGTACGCTGGTACTTGTATTTCTGCCGTCTGCAAATATTATTATATTTGCCCTATTCGTGTCTATAAAAGCATTTCTTATCATTCGGGATCGATTCGCACCCAAAATAAACCACCAATCTATAATTAAAATCTGATTGCTGCGTGATCCATTGTCGTATTAAACATGCATTATGCAAGAGCAGGTCTTTCTTTAAGCCTGAAATGTTTTCTAAAGTATTAATTAGACATTAATTAACTGATCCAGGCCTTAATCAACTCTCGATGGCATCAGATTTCTCCGATATTAAATAGATTATAATGGTTCAGCGATACTTTGATTTAATCAAATATGGAGGACCGAGACTTAGCTTCGATCAAGTGGCTAAGACGCTAGCTCGCTAGCCTGGAGGTCGGGTGTTCGATCCCTGCATTGGCCGAGAAAGTTCATCCAGATTTTCCGGCGTGGTTCTCCCTTGTCAGTGATGCAGGACGGAGGGGCTGACAAGGAAAGCTGTCTAGTCGTTCGGATGGGACGAAAAACCGAGGTCCAGTGTACACATTGGCGTGCACGTAAAAGATCCCTTGGCAGTTGGAATTCGATATAAGTGTAGGCCGTAGTGCCGCTGTCCGGGCAAAATTTCCCTCATAGCACACTGTATGGCGTATGCCCGTCTTCATTAGCCCAGGTTAGGAGCAGAACAGTAGGACGTTAAACCCCATTTCATTTCATTTCATTTCATTTCAGCTTCGATCAATCAGTACGGTGGTTGAAATTATTGCACACGTCTGTCAAACCTTCAAAGGCTAATATCTTCGCTTGCAATAGAGTAATTTGAATGAAATTTTCAAATTATTCATTTTACATCATCTACTTTCGAACTATTATAGCAAGAATGGACAGTTCTTTATCTAAATCTTACATAATGTATCTTTAAGTGCGTGAAGCACAATACACAATTAAATTAAAGTACAAATATAATACGCTATAAGTTATTTTGCGTGGTCATGGTGCAGTGACCTTTGATCCTTATACATGTACTGCTAAACTGCTTATCTTATAGTGAAAACACGTTTTCGTTCACAGAATAATATTATATAAAACTGACCCTAAATATGACTCGGTCTTATCAAGAAAAATATATATAATAAGTTCAACATATGTTTAGCTTTAATCTATCCGCTAGAAATCAATCTGCCATCATGGATCGGATTGTGTCATTATTACTGGTTTTGATTAGTGTGTCTGCAAGTTTGGCAGTAAAATCGGAGATTTTGTCACCCATCAGAGCTGACGGTGTTGAAGCTGCTATAATTATTGTTCCTGGTGCCTATATTAAAGGCAGTACCTACAAACCATTGGGTAAGATCATTTTGTTTACTACAAACCATTCGGTAATGAAATGAAATGAAATGTGATTTGGCACCAGCTGGGATAATGACGACGGGCATACACCATATAGTGGGGTATGAGATAAATATTTACCAGACAGCCGCAGTTCAAGGATTCTTGTACGTACACTCCAAGGTGTACACGGGACCTCGCTCGGGTTTTCGTTCCATCCGAACGACTATTCGTTGTCCCTTGCCAGCCCCCGTCCCCCTACCGCCCTGCATCAATGACAAGGGTTAACTACGTGGGAAAATCCCGATGACCTTTCTCGGTCGAACACCGGATCTCCGTTGGATAATAGGTTTAAATAGATTGACCCATTTAATTTGGTTAAGAAAAAAAGATGTTGATTAATTAAGTGTGATATATTGATTTACTTTGTGAAGTTGGGATTTGATGTTTTAGGTTTACCAATATCTATACATGATTTTGTGTTCCGCTGTCGACAGTTTGAGTCCAAACGAAGACAATAACAATGCATTATGCAAGGACTTAATTTGCTATGCAGATCTTTCTTTGGCCTTTAACATAAAATGGAGAATGCAGACAAGTCTATAATCAACTATCTAGTCCAACTCACGGCCGAGATTTAAATGGATTTAAACACCCGCGAGGCTTAAAAATTAATCAACTCTCTAGATCATCGGACGGTTGTCATTTTGAATGGATTGACAGAAGATCGCCATTTAATCAATGACAGAGATTTGAATAGATTTGAACACCAGTGAGATTTTAAAATTAATCAGACGTCAGTTTAGCAATATTTGAGGCCATGCAGCCAAGTAACACCGTCTGGTCGTTCGGATGGACGAAAAATCCAGGGGAGATTACCGTCAACCCAGTTCCTGGAGACGGTCTTTTCTCAGTCGTGTCTTGTACTTGTACAATGTATTATCTTATAAACACGTCTAGAATTGATAGAATTCGATTTGACTACAAATTAGTTTTATTATCAGATATTTTTGAGATAAGATAAATACTAAATTCATGTTGTGAGTTTCTACTAAATCATAATCAAATTTTAAGGAAACTGATTTCATTTTTATATGGTAGTAAATCTGCGCATTTCCTCAGTTATTAACGAAGTTATGGTCTCAACCACACACGCCTGCGAAAGAAACGACATCGATGGTGTCATCGTCAGATCATAGTTTGGTGCCCTGGCAAAAATCAACACATTATTTACCGAGCTATTGGCCTTGAAAATGGAAACGTCGTAGACGCGTTTGTGAGAAAGGTTATCAGTGAATTTTTTCACAGCGCTTATTTTAATTTTTTAGCGCAGCAGTTACAAAAATCATCCAGCTTGAAATTATGGGTTGCGTTATTAGAAGAATTTCCATTGAATTTACCAAATCCTTTACAATTAAATGGCGCCATTTCTTCTGCCGTCAGTAATATCAAGAAGGATGGCATGACAACTAATAATGTATTTGTAGCTGGACACAGCTTGGGAGGTAAGATGTTTATTTAAATTCAGAAAATGATCCAGTTCTGTTGTGTGAACTGGACACCTGATTTAACTTGCAGTTGTGCTCATTTAGTAATAAAATTTCCAAGATGTCACTATTTTAAGTTCACACAGCTTTGGATTCACATTGACGTTTGTGTTGAATGTTTGCTCTTAGTGCGTTGTTATAGTTTTGTGTCTATATTTTGAGGTGCAGTTTTCCTGCGTGGTTAATAATATACATGTCCATTTATTACAGGTGTATTTGTTGGTAATTATGGTAAATCTAATCCTGTTAAAGGTATATTGTTATTTGGATCATATTTAACTAAAGGTAACAAACTATCAGATTATCCAGTACCTGTTTTAACTATATCTGGTGATCTGGATGGTTTAACAAGAGTAACGCGTATAGCCGATTCATTCGAGTAAGTATATTTCTTTACTTTTGTAGACAATTTTTCAATCTGTTTCCAAGAAAATGAACAGAAGATCGACAAATCTGCTGGTCTAAGTAATAAAGACCTTCAAATAGACCATAATTTCTTCCTAAAGCGTGATTTCCCCTTGTTAGTGGTGTAGAACGGAGGGCCTGACAAGGAACAGTGTCTACTTGTTCGGATCGGACGAAAAATCGAGGTCATGTGTACACATTGCCGTGCGCGTAAAATTACTATTCAGTTGGAATTCTAAGAGTAGGCCGTAATGGCGGCTGTCTGGTGAAAACTTCCCCGTCTTCATAAGCCAAGTCGACTGAACATGTTTTTTTCTTTCTATTCCTTTTCTTCCAAATGTTCACGTTGTTTTCTTGGAAGAAGGAAATACCTGAATAAAGAAACCGTTTTGAAAATGTCTGATATGGATAAGGCTCGATCCATACTTAATGAATGATGTTATATAATCACCGAAAGAAAACCTGCTATTTATGTATAATCTTTTTGAATCTTTTCCCCAGAGAATTAAAGGCTGATGCAGCAAAAAGCCAAAATGCTATTTACCGCACTCCTGTTATTGTTATGAATGGTGTCAACCATGGTCAGTTCTCATCTGGTACCATGCCATCTAATGTTTTAAAATATGATTTGACACCAGAAGTCGATGCTGCAACAGCTTACACCATGATGTCTGTAAATATTGACAATTTCCTGGTAACTGCTTTAGGAGCACCATCAACAGCAACTGCTAAAGCTCGTGTTGGACTAACCCAAGCCTACAACAACGCCAACACCTTATTTACGGTATATAAAACCAGAATATTTACGTTATCAATTAACCGTCACTATCTATCAATTTGGCAGTGGTATATGTCTATCTATTACAATTCTTGTCCGAATCGCTATATCTTTACAACTCGAAAACTGTTATAGCAGTTCTGGAATGCTATCCTGAGAATCGGACATTTCTAATCCGTTCGCCAATCGCCGAAATACTAAACCGGCACAATTGATTTACGGTTGAACTTTTGAATGGAAGACACGGTTATTAGAGCCTCATCACAACCCAAAAATATGCATGAATTTTATCACAACCCAGAAAGGGTCAGTTCGATTGCTAATATGTTTATGAGTTCCTTGTTTTATAATTCAATGAATACTTCTGGTCAAATAAATTAATCGAACTTATGTGATTTAGGGATTAAAGGGACCATCCCGGTTTAACAGTCTCAGAAGTAAAAGTCCGTGTACGTATGAAATTCAAGCGCCCAAATATAGAAGAAGGGTGTATTTACCTTGTCTCAAAATTTCAGCTCAAAATATTCAGTCGTTTGGACTAGAACGTCAAAACCGCTTATCCGGACCCTAGGATTTTTAAGATTTCGGGTCAATTTTTTCGTTGCGTCACCTGATAATCTATTGCCTTTCCTTTAGAAGTCTATACAGTGCCTGACCCACGTGATATACTTGATAACGAAAGGTAAAATTCACCTACACGTTATTTTCATAAAATAAAAGTATGGTTTTATCCAGACACCGTATAATACTGCTTGGGACACCGGTCTCCATTTCCAGATGAAGACTTACGAAGTTGTTTGAAAACGTATCACGTATATTAGTTTCTCGGCCCTATAGTTCCTTTGTGTATGATTATTGATAATTATATTTTATTTTACTATAGCCTCTTTTGAATATGAAATCTTTGGATGTCAACTCAAGGGGATTCTCTAATTGGACTGTTGAGGCCCAGTATATAATTTCTGGTTTTACTTCACAAAGATATGTATTAAAGGTAAAATTCTTTATATATTAAAGTGTTAGGTATGTAACCTCCGGCAACGAGAAGTGGTGTCAGATGTTCAAGAGAGGGTAAGCAAGCATACCTCGTGCACGACACCCACCACTACTGTGTCGATTGATTGAACATTCTTCCTGTATTTTAAAGGCAGGGGTCAGGGCCTAGTGATAAACAATTGAAAACGTATATATATAGTCATAAAGCTCTGTGACGAAAAAAACCCCATCAGTTTCCAAATGTTGGGTTGGCCATGAGTTCGCTCATACAATTGAAAAATGAAATTCCATAAATGAGTTACGCAACCTCTTCATTTCCGACCGCTGTATTGAAAACTACTTCGTTTTACTGCGTCGTGTAAAATCTGGTACTGCTCATTTAAGTTTCATTCATCACTAAATTTTATAGCAAGGAATCGTAATAGTGCAGGGTGGGATGGGGGCGTGGTATTCCTTCTAAATTGACATTAAAATAGTGATGAGTTTCCAGCTTGGTTTCCCCATGTACAGGACAGAGGACCTGCCAAGAAGAAGGGTTTAGTCGTTCGGTTGCTACGAAAATTCGAGGTGCGCACGTGAACTCGTTGGTGTGAACGTAAAAAGACCCCGGCTGTGAGTTGAATGTTGATAAAGAGTAGGCTGGAAAATTTCCCACGTATACTCGTCTTCATTATCCCAGTTGGTGCAGAAAAGTAACACCATTTTTTTCAATTCATTTCCTTTCTGGTGGTCTTAAAGGGACTATCCCGATTTGAAAACAGTCTCAAAAATAAAAGTCTGAATACGTATGAAATTTATGCGTCAAAGTATAGAGAAGTGGTGTATTTACCTTGTCTCAAAATTTCAACTCACAATATTGAGTCCTTTGGACGTGAACGTCAAAACTGCTTATCCGGACACGTAACCCTTTTAAGATTTCGGGTCAATTTTTTCGTTGGATGACCTGATAATCGATTCCCGTTCCTTTAGGGATCTATACAACAAATGACCCATGTGCCGTACTTAATAGCGAAAGGTAAATTTCACCTACACATTATTCTTATAAAATAAAAGTCTGGTTTTATCCAGACACCATATAATACAGCTTGGGACACCGGTCTCCATTTCCAGATGAAGACGACGGGTTTGAGTTGTTTGAAAACGTATCACATATGTTGAATTAGTTACTCGGCCCTAAGGTAGAGGATTTTAAGGGATTTTAACACAAAATTAAGCAGTTTTAATCTCCAAAATATTATCGAGATTGGTCCTTTAAAGTAAATTATGTAGCTGAATAAAATAAACTTAAACTCGTTAATTGTCCACTAGATTTTAAATTCAAGTTAACATTAAAATATTTTGGTTCTGTTCTTTACCAAGCACCAAATTTGGCCAGTTTTTCTTGGTGTTCACGCTTTTTGATGTTTTGAAATTCCAAGATTTGTGTGAGTTAAGGCTTGATTCTATGAGTAACCCACATACGATTTCGATGAAATTAATTCCATATTCTTACCTTAATTCAATTACTGTTCTAGAATTTTGAATAACTCAATATATAAGATGATATACGTTGGAATATACCATGTATATGCAATTATATTTTTCATCAGGTTGGTAATCAAGAACAATCGGAAATACCATTCGTTGAATCGAAACCTGAGGTAAAAACACTGGCATCAACAGAACAGATCACAACTCATACCCACATCTCTAACCCTTCAAATATCATGGATGTGTCCACTGTTAAAAGCAGTCCGGATTCAATTGATGCCAAGTTGAAGTCTAGTGATGCCGTTGCAGCCGCTTTACCCAAAACTGTGAAACCTCCGACCGGGCCAATTAATAAGACGTGTATGGATATCAATAAGGTATGTCACAGATTTGAGCCAGTTTTACATGTATGCGTTTTTGCGGCGTTTCCGCTGGTAACATTACATTTGACGGACCTTTTCAAAGGCGGAAACGCTGCAAAAACCCATACATGGAAACGGGTCTAATTCCAGGTCGCCCTTTCTCATCGAATCTAACATTTCTTTTTAACTTCGCGGACCCCCTATTCATTATTCTCAACTATTCCCAGTGGCAACGTCTTTCTTCCTGACTTCTGTGAATACCAAATGACCAGTGCCACACAATTATTAAACCATTGACAAATGACATGTGTTAAGATGTCGATGAGCTTTGGAGAATGACAAATCAAATCAATAACTATATTCCACAGAAATCGCTGTCCAATGTATAGTTAAGGTCACTTTCTTGTCCCTTCTAATACCTTTTACCCATTGTTCCTATTATACACTTCTCGTAAACGTCTTTTGGTCGGGTAAAAATATTAGCGTACACCAGTCGCTGTCAAAATGAAACGTCGGGAACCATTTTGTCGGTTATGAAAAATTGTGGACATATTACAATCCATCCTTACATTGGGCTTAACTGAACGATCTTTGTGTAAATTTAGCAAGTTTCCATGCTATAAAATTTAGATTTCATAACGGTACTGATCTCCAATCTTATTTCTTGTAGCTATCAATACCACACCACGCCTTTAATATGAGAATATTTATCCTTTTTTTAGGCTGCATGGAATCTTGCTATGAAAACCTCCTCCCAGGTAGCCGTAAGGAGATACCAATCTCGCAGAGGAAGAGCAATGTTGTTTGCCCCTGATGTTGCTTATGGTACAGGATTCCAGTGGGTTGCGTCTGGTCTGAAGTGGGTAGAGACTACTACTAGTGTCACTGTTACATCCACTGCCTTGTTAACAAAGGTCGATGCTTTCCCAGCAGCTTTTGCTGGCATGCACTACTGTAAATTATTGTCTCCATATCGAGCTATGGAATGGATTTACGTTGATTCTTTAAGACACAAAGCACAGAAATCAGGGTGGATTTTCGGATAAAATACCCATTTGGTTATTTATTCCTACAACTCGAATTATGACTGTGGAATAGAAATAAAAACATTAGATTATTTTATAGCGTTTGCTAAAACTTTGGTTCATCATGACCCATTAGGCGATCCCATAAAAATTATTTCATTGAACATGTTGCTTATCAGGTAAAAAAAACAACAAAAAAACAAAAAAAAAACGCAAAAAACTGAACACTTCAACTTTCCAAGTGAATCGTCAGTTGTAATAATTGGCTAATGTCAAGCCTTTGCGCGCATGGTTTCCAAAAATTTTCTCTGTAGGCAATCTATATGTTGTCAGCGCGAACGAATATGCGACCTCGTTGACGTTAGCCGTTAGTATAAACGACTGCATTCAAATAATAGTTAATTAATCAAATGCGATCGCCACGTTCCCGCTCAGTATAATTGGTCCCTTAAATGACCCTTTCTGCGAAACTTTATCTGTGGCTGTCATTTGACAGGGTAGCGCGGTAGGCCTACGTGTTTCTACAAGTTGTATCGACTAGCTAATGATTTTGTGCACCGACGATCTCTGTTTGATACTTTGGACGTCGGACATCTTGGCATGGTGTCTTGTATCAGCCATCTTTAATCATACTCCTCGCAGTGTTTCGTTTGATTAGATCTAATCCCACTCAAGCACTGCCTTAATGAAAGCAAATTTTTGTTCCAAATTATGACTGGTCAATAGTTCGATTAACAACCAATGCCTAACTGCGTAACAATGTCATTCGGTTTTAAACAAAGCTCCACATTGTTTACATAACGTTACGCCATGATTCATGAAATATTTACTCACGATTAACCAGTGCACAGCAGAATATTGGAGAAAAACTAATTGCGTGACAAACGAGGCTATTGACGATTACAATGTAAACAATTTGGAGGTGAACAATGTACTTTCATCGTTTTTAATACCTTAAATCACTGTCCAAAGTTATAGGGAAAACCCCAGATTAAACGAAGGGTTGTCATGTTTTTGTACTTGGGATAGTTTGATTAAACGGGAAGAAAAGACACACTCCCTCAAAAGCTCAAGTATCCAGGAATGGCCAGAGAGGGATTTCTCGGGCCATTGCTTCAGGAATATGTCTTCAATAGAAGGCTTGATCTCGCTTTAACTACGTACATCTTACCAAAGCCAGATGTTGTGAAACTCGCAGTCGTTGCTTCAGGAACATGTGTATCAGCTGGCTTGCGTTAATATTATATTTAACAACATTACAGAATTCGTATATCAAAAAACTGTGGTTATGATGATAGTATATATTATGTATTTACGATAAAGCGGTCTCCTCAACAATCCGATAACTTTAATACGCTTACAAGGAAGGACACAAGATTTTGTTAACCACAGAATGATAACTAGAATTTGGTTCCTTAGGAAGACTTACAAAAGGCACCAAAGGCGCGAAATATGAGTTGTCAATGGGGAAATTGTTAGAGCATAATGACCTCAAAACTGCAAACTATTCTCGGGGCTCTTACCCCGAAAGGATAAATCTTTAGTCTACGGAGGCCTATGGATAAAATCGTGCACAATTTTAAAATAAAAACAGGTTCAAAGTTTCAAGAATTGCCAGGGACTTAGATCAGACCCCTAGATGGTATTATATACTCGCAATCTTCCAATCTGCATTCGTTTGGTTTAGCAGCTAAGCTCCACTGTGCTGTACAACTACGGACTAAAATTGGTAAATATCTTGAACTGTTTATGATATATTCTGCCCAAGCGGAATCCAGACCGATACCGACGGACGAGTCCATTTCAATATCCCTCCCTAACTTTGTTTAGTTCAGAAAGGAATAAATGATAAAATACATCAATGTAGCAGAATTATAATATTTATTATTTAACAGAATATTTATTTATATAGTGATCTGTGAATAGATGATTAGAAATAAATAGAAAGCTTTTTATCATTATATAAAACATCAATAACAACGTTTACATTAAATACATACTAAACAATAAATAATCAGAAAAATTCAACTGATTGATTTCACAAACTTGTCTCAACTTTCTTTGATAATCCATCATGTTCAACATGTATCATAATTTAATTTAAAAAATTAAAGGTCTCAATTAAATGATATTTAAAACAAAATGGAATAACTGAAACATTGAGGAATTATTGACATTTAGTTGGGAATATATTAATCTAATTAAATTACAATTCATTCAATTTTTTTCAGAGATTATAAACTATATTGTAATCTGAGCTACTTTCTAGAACTACCTTGTTCTGCCAGTAACAGTTATACTATATCAGTCAGTCATGTTTTATTCCAAAATGGCTACTAGTTATACCATACAGTCAATTTGATTTCCAAATAAGTCAATGTGACCTGACCATTGCCTTCAAAGAAAATATGTCAAATGTCAATGTAGTTCAACAAAAAATACAACCAAATATGGTTGACATAAATGTTAAAATATCACAATAAAACTTTAAACTGGACGGATTTAACATTTTCTAATCTAAATTTTCCACTTTTACAGAGGAAATAATATAATCACAAAATATCACAGTTAATACAGAGATTACAGTTATACTAAAAACTATGTATACATCATATTTAATAATACCAGTCAGATATTTACATACACTTTTAATAAATAATACTTAATTACATACTTACTACCCTGTGTATAACCATATTCTGGTAAAGTGTAATAACACACCAGGATGTACTAGGGGTTCTATGAAGGGGTCAAACACTACACTTAGGTCCCCAAAAGAGCATTCTTCCTTACGAAAACATGAAATTGAGGAAGTGACAGTTGGACCAGGTCCCTTCTCTTTAGCAAAAACCTGACTACACCATTGGCTATCTTTGTTTATAATACAATTCTAATTTGTCCAAAAAGTACAAATAAATACGAGGCAACTTTTAAATTAGACCAAAAAATATAAGAAAAATACATTTAAAATGTTGATAATTTGTTTTCAGTCAATGTGCGTACCAAGAAAATAGGGCTGCCATATATGTATATCATAAAACATTCACAGATTTCTTTAAATCTTCAATAACTCCTAAAATGAAAAATCCTGTCCAATCTGGATAATAAGTAAAATATAGTAATAAAACATTGTCTTGGTTACTCTTGAGACAGTTTATGAGATCATTATAAATCCATCTAGAAACTTACAATGAAAATGGGTGAATTTAATCCTAATGTTATGATTACATCAATTAAAGAGGGAATGATTCTGGTAGTGCTGATTTTAATAAAGTGCTATGAAACAATTATAAATTTATTACAAATTTTAAAATAAACATTTATAAAAACAAAAATACATTTCTTCTAAAAATGGATTGATGTTTAAAATTGACAAGAATAAATTTAAATAAATTGTAAACAAATGATCTAAGGAATAAATATAAACTTTAAAAAAGGATAAACAATTGATATAAATTCAATAAATATGTACAGTTAGAAATAAAAAACAATCTCTGCATCTAAAAGCATGTGGTAATCTGTGAATGTTGCTTTTAATACATATTACAATTGTTGATATAATCAGATCTAAATAGTATATGAAATATAATTCTCTACAACACCACAGTTTATATAATTAGATCTAGATATAATTCTCTATAATACCATAGCTTATATAATTACATGTAGATATATTATATAATTCTCTGTAACACCATGTAGATCATATGAAATATAATTCTCTATAACACCATGGTTTATATTATTAGATGTAGATATAATATTTAATTCTTTGTAATACCATGGTTTATATAATTAAATCTATATATAATATATAATTCTCTGTAACAACAAGGTTTATATAATTAGATCTAGATATAATATACAAGTCTCCTTAACACCATGGTTTCCTAAACTTCGCTGTATTTGCTCACTATTTGGTGATGAGATTGGCTACATTTACTATGATTTTGAATGTGTATTCAGTGATAAAATAAACAGTATTTTCTGTCTATGTAATTGAGATCGCAATGAAGAGCTACACAAATAGATAAATATTAAATTAATAAATATATATACTATCAGCACTGGTTGATATAAGTAATAAAATATATATTTTATAATATTAAATTCTTCTATCTACCACTAGGTGTATCCTCTTTATCTACTATAGTCACAGGTAGGGCTAACTCTGGTGGACCAAATGGATCAACCTGAAAAAATAAATTGTACAACTCTCAAGTACAAGTAGTTACAAAATGGCTGTTAGTACTGCTCTAGAAATAGAAAAAATTATTCTCTTAGAAATTAACTATTTTTGTAATAAAGTATAGCTTTATTGTTATATATTGAAATCTAAACATGTATCACAATGCATATAATGATTATATATATATTCTAAAATTATTATTACCCATTGACAACATTTATACAGGGTTCCCGGGGCTTCGTCAAACATTTTTTCAAGGATATTCAAGGATAAATATACGTCAAATTCAAGGATTTTCAAGGACATTTTTTTAGCCTAAAGTTACAATTTTTCATCTTAAAAATAACCAAAACATTACCAACTATCGTCATAATCTCATATTTAAAAGGAATTGAAGACATTTGAAACAAAATTAAGGATCTCAACTGAAATTCAAGGATATTTTGTATATGGTAACTGGATGTTCATGCAAAATATATGCAACATGTTATCTCAATCGACCAGTTAACAATACATACTTCCAATGCAGGTATACAGAAACATCAGAATGATTTTCAAGACTACCTACACACAAAAAATAAAATAGGGTTTAACGTCCTACTTTACACAAAAACTAATTTGTCCAAACCAGTATTTGGTTTAGTCAAAGTGGTAACAATTTGGGCGTAATCCTTTAATAACATTAAGGGTCTTTGTAGTCAAGGAGAAATATACCAAAACTATCCAACACAAAATTACATCCTAGTATTAACATAACTTACATCAACTTTTTTATTTTTACTAGGATAAACTCGTAAATCTGTAGCTTCTGGTCCATATTGTTTTCTAGCTCGACCCCAGTTAGCTTTAACTTCTATATCTTGTGTAGAATTTTTAGGTCTTTTAAATGAATTACCGGTTGATATACACAGAAGTTGATCTCTAGTGATATTACTAAAGTCTTTTATCTAAAAAAAAAAACAATGGAGCACAATAAAGTTTGAGTTTTTTTTTCAAGTCAGTCAACATTTCCTCATTATCAGTACCCTATTGTAAAACTGTATCACTAATAGAAATATCAGCCCCAAAATGGTTCAATTCCATTCAGTTTTTACAAAGGTATGATCAATTGAAAATTTGTCAACATATAAGAAAAATAATAAATCAGAGGTTAAAAAGAAAGTTTCTTGAAAGACATTCGTGGGACAAATTACAAGTGTTCAAAGAATGGAATATTTTACAAAATTTGTCAGAAGTTTATTTACTGTTCAGTATTAACAAAGGTATAATGAATAGAGAATTTGTTAACATTCAGCATCCTCTACGACCAAAAAAGTAGGATATGGCCACAACAAACCAGCTCAATCTATAATTGTAGCTAGTATTGTTTGATTGGCCTCTTTAATCTCACTTAGTCCAAACCGGGAGATTATCTACTATTGATATTTTGATTTGTTTTCTTAAATTAAATGTTAAATAATCAATTTTAGAGTAGATTAGGATATGAAATATTAGATAATGTATGAATAATACAAATGACAATCATTGGCTTTAAAGATGTGATTCAAATGTCAATGATAAACCTTAGCAACACCAATCTATTATTACAATATGATTTATAATGTCTACCTGTTTGCCATCTTCATCATATATGAGTTTAGCTTTCTTCCATAAACTTAGTTTAGCTGTAGCATTCTCTAACAATTCATTCATATCAGCTCCATAAAGATACACAGCTCTATCAGTACTTTCACCATTAGGATAGGCTACAACTCGAATCTACATAAATAATAATATATTATGGTAAATAATAATGAATGAATGAATGAATGAAATGTCCAACTTTTCTGCACAGAATGAGCTAATAAAGAAAGGCAATACTGCATGTAGTGTGGTATGCAGGAAATGTTTGCCGGACACCAACTGAATGCCAACTGTCAAGGCTTCTTTAACCTGCATGCCAAGGTGAGAGAGAGAGAAAAATGGGGCTTAACATCCACTCAACACAAACCAAATGAAATGTTTAATGGCACGCCAGCTCAAACCGGGCTATATTGCGCCAAACTTGACACAAACCAGATCATTTTGGGACTAACATATGGTTCAATTTTATATCAATGATTCGCTTGTGTGTAGGGGTCTTTAGCAGTGGGAGGACCCAGAGAAAACCCACGAGGTTGGACAGCCGATCCTGCTCCTTGTTACGTACAGTCGGGGAATCGAAACCACACCAGCTGACTCAATGACAGACCTTACGATACAGGGTGCACATGCTAACCAATCCGATATCCACCCCCACCCCTATGCCAAGGTGTGAAATGAAATGAAATGAAATGGGGTTTAACGTCCTACTGTTCTGCTCCTATACTGGGCTAATGAAGACGGGCATACGCCGTACAGTGTGCTATGAGGGAAATTTTGCCCGGGCAGAGGCACTATCGCCTGCTCTTATATCGAATTTCAACCGCCAAGGTATCTTTTACGTGCATTCCAATGTATACACGGGACCTCGGTTTTTCGTATCATCCGAAGGACTAGACAGCTGTCCTTGTCAGATGCCAAGGTGTACACAGGACCTTGTTTATTTGGTACAATCCACAGGACTAGACACTGTTCCTTGCAAGAACCTCACTGAGCCGCCACACCTCCGGTAAATAATAAAGTATGACAAATAATTATAGGTGAGAACAGAAAGTCAAATTTCAATCAAAAAGATTGAGGAAAGTTGTTAAACAATTTCCCAAAAATTAGTCCCCTGTGACAAAATACTTTCATTTGTTCTACTGAAATATAATAGTATAAATACATACTGTTGTTGGTGTATGGTATAGTTTTCTGGTTGATCGAACATTTAAAGTTGCTACACTTCCTGTTTTCTGGTTACTACGAATTTCATTTAGATGAGTCTAAAAAGGGCAGAAACAATAGCTCATAATAAAGAAATATATTTAGCAAAAAATTATCACTGTAACATAATACTATGAGAGAGATAAGGACTTTAACGCCTCAGCAACAAAATACTTTGGTTATTTGGAAATTAACACATCATTAATGTTGTAGGGGAGAATTTTACCCAGCTAGCAGCATTTTCACCAACTCTTCACTGAATCCCAAATATTAAGGGTTCTTTTATGTGCTCTCCAGTTAGTGGACCACATTTTGTTGTGCCATACAACCAACTGGACAACACTTTAATTGTCAGTCCCGCGAGTTCTACCACCACCGACAAATTGAAACTGGGCTTGAAGAATCCCACAAGTTAATTCTAATTAAGAGTCTAGTAACCTTAATGCTTGAGTACAACAGACCAGATTTTACTAGAAGACTAGAACCCAAGAGCAACAAGAATTGGCATCTGGTTTAGCCATGAAAAAAATCAGGAGAGCAGATGGTGAAATCTCTCGAAAAATAATCAGTATATAAGATGAAGATGTTTGTTTACCTCTAATTTATTAACGGTATCATGTTTGATTTTTTCTTCAACTGTTGGTTGTTCCCAATTACCTTCCTTAACAACCGGCTGTTTACTACTTAATGTAGAACGATATTCACCAGGTTTCTGTGACTCAATACGACGACCTGCAATAGTCCATAAAATAATTTATATCTAACTAGCAGGATACCCGGCTTCGCTCGGGGGTCATAACTCCGAAACCGGAAGTAGTAGACTAACGCCACCTGGCCTATGTTACTCCCCGGTCAGAGATACCCCTATACCCATAATTTCAGACTCGGGGCAGACCTAGTGTAGCTGCCAACCCCCGAACAGACCGGCTTCGCTCGGGGGTCATAACTCCTAAACCGAAAGTGGTAGACTAACGCCACCTGGCCTATGTTACTCCCCGATCTGAGCTACCCCTAAACCCCAAATTTCGAACTCGGGGCAGACCTAGTGTAGCCGCCAACTACGAACAGACAGACTTCGCTCGGGGGTCATAACTCCGAACCGGAAGTGGTAGACTAACGCCACCTGGCCTATGTTACTCCCCGGTCCGAGCTACCCCTATACCCCAAATTTCAGACTCGGGGCAGACCTAGTATAGCTGCCAACCCCGAACAGACCGGCTTCGCTCGGGGGTCATAACTCCGAAACTGAAAGTGGTAGACTAACGCCACCTGGCCTATGTTACTCCCCGATCTGAGCTACCCCTAAACCCCAAATTTCAGACTCGGGGCAGACCTAGTGTAGCCGCCAACTACGAACAGACAGACTTCGCTTGGGGGTCATAACTCCGAAACCGGAAGTGGTAGACTAAGGCCACCTGGCCTATGTTACTCCCCGGTCCGAGCTACCCCTATACCCCAAATTTCAGACTCGGGGCAGACCTAGTGTAGCTGCTAACCCCGAACAGACCGGCTTCGCTCGGGGGTCATAACTCCGAAACCGGAAGAGGTAGACTAACGCCACCTGGCCTATGTTACTCCCAGGTCCGAGCTACCCCTATACCCCAAATTTCAGACTCGGGGCAGATGTAGCCGCCAACCCCGAACAGACAGACTTCGCTCGGGGGTCATAACTCCGAAACCGGAAGTGGTAGACTAACGCCACCTGGCCTATGTTACTCCCCGGTCCGAGCTACCCCTATACCCCAAATTTCCGACTCGGGGCAGACCTAGTGTAGCCGCCAACCCCGAACAGACCGGCTTCGCTCGGGGATCATAACTCAGAAACCGGAAATGGTAGACTAACGCCACCTGGCCTATGTTACGTCCCGGTCCGAGTTACCCCTATACCCCAAATTTCAGACTCGGGGCAGACCTAGCGTAGCCGTCAACCCCGAACAGACAGACAGATAACATAAATCGATAAAATCACCAAAATTATCATTATGTAAAGAACAGAGAGAGAGAGAGAGAGATCATGGGGTTTAACTTCCACTCGACACAAACTAGGTCATTTCGGGACTAACACATGATTCAATTTTATTTCAATAATTCGCTTCGCGTAGGGGTCTTTAGCAGTGGGAGGAAACAGGAGGATGTAAAGAAGAACAGAGATTAAGATTTATTAACACTGATAAATAATTTCAGGATTAACATATCGTGAAGCTTTATTTTGTTATTTAGAATATCAGAAATGAATATAAAAATAATGTTTTACCTTTCATCTGTCTTAGTACATGTTTTTCTAAATCTAATTCTAGTGACACCTGGGCACGGAAAGCTCTTCTCTTCTTTCTATTAACTTCTTTAGATTCAACAACTATAAAAAAAAACAATTAATCATTTTAACAAGCAACATAGATAACACTAAGCTATAAAACATATATAACACTAAGCTATAAAATAAAACATGATTAAATACAAATTTGTTACAAAGAAAAACAAAGTATTGCCAGGCATTGAAAATGTGCTTAACTTGAAATAGCTTGGTGAAGAGAGGCAAGAACTAAAAAAACCTAGGTTTTCATTAGAGAGCCCAAAATCAATGAAATACTTTTAATTTGAATATAAAACGTGCACAAATACAAAAAAAATATTACAGAATAATAATACATATATTACCTTCAGGAGGTACAAAAGACTTGCCACTTGAAACCCAGATTTCTATTGGATAACGTAGAATAGTATCAAGAGTAGGTAACTTGATCTGACTTAGTAAATGATCTCTTCGTCGTTGAATTTTTTCAGCTTCTTTATCATCAACTTCTATAATTATGAAAAAATATAAATACAATACATCTATCTATATTCTTTAGCAATCAATAAGTAAATAGTTAACAAATAACAAAAGCTTTGTTGACTATTTCAAGATGAGAACAAAAACAAATGAGGATTCAATCTTTTATTCATTCAGAAGACAAATGATTGAAATGTATACACATGCACTATACCAGGTCCTGCCTATCTCCCTAATATCATAAAACCATGCATAAGTGTGCATATCACTACTTTCAAGCTATCATCTTGATACTTTTCTTCCATTACCTACTGACTCTTGATATTCTGTAGTCTATTTAAGTTATATGAACTGCCGATTACGAGAAGTGGTATCATGTGTTATAGAAATGAAATGGGGTTTAATGTCATACTGTTCTGCTCCGAACTGGGCTAATGAAGACGGGCATACACCATGAGGGACATTTTGCCAGGACAGTAGCACTACAGCCTACTCTTGTATCAAATTCCAACTGTCAAGAGATCTATTATGTGCACGCCAATATGTACACGGGACCTCGGTTTTTCGTCCCATCCGAACGACTAGACAAGAGGAAACCATGCCGGAAAATCTGGATGAACTTTCTCGCCCAATGCAGGGATCGAACACCCGAACTCCAGACTAGCGAGCCAACATTTTACCAACTTAGTCACCATGACCCCCCATATGTTATAGAAAGAGTAAGCCTACCAACATTTCTAATCATGTAAAGTATTTGAAAGATTCTAGAATCTAAGCCTCTGGATCTACTTTAGAATCAATTATGCTTCACCTACCTGCTTCTCGGACATTTAAATGTTCTGCGTCTGTAAGTTCCTGACCGTTTTCTACAGGGTCTTGAAATTCTGATTGACCTCTCTCACTTTCACCCCTCTCATTATCACCCCGTTCATCTTCTTCATCCTGTTCTATATTTTGCATGGCACGTTGTAATGGTGTATTGAGGTCTATCTCTGATCTTTCTTGAAAGTGGTTAAATTGTTCTTGCACATGATTTTGTTGTGTTGATGTTATATCTTCTTCATCTGAAACTGTCCAAAAATACAAAACTACAATTAAGTCTGACAAGGCAGATAACCTAAGAGTCCACAATCAAGTAAATTATTTGGAACACTGTTTAATATTTGCAAATTAAAATTTGATTACATTAAAAATCAAGGAAATGCAAGAATTTACGATGTTAAAAGAAGTGATCAATAGGAAAGAAAATATCCCAAACTATCACCAAATGGATAAGAAAATATCCCAATCTATCACCAAATGGATCACAAAATTCATAATTCTCAACCAGTCACATAATGCATAAGAAAATATCTCAACCTATCACTAAATTAATGGATAAGGAAATATCTCAACTAATCACCAAATGGATAAAAATATTATCTCAACCCATCAACAAATGGAAAAGAAAATATCTCAACCCATCACCAATGGATAAAAAAATATCTCAACCAATCACCAACTGGATAAGAAAATAACTCAACCTATCACCAAATACATATGACAAGCAGAAACATGTTCACTGTCTTTGTTTATGTTAATTTAGAATTCTACTCAAAGCTTACAGGGACTGACAGAACTTGATTCTCTATCACAAAAATGCAAGATTCCAGATTCAAAATTAAACATATTTTGAAACAACTTAAAAACGGCTTTTCCTCTTTAGTGCTTATCCAGTAACTTCAACAGATTAAAAGTAACCAGCAGATTCACATACCTTGCACCTCGCCGTTTTCTGTCATCATTTTTTCTAGTTTATCGACCATCGAGTTTTTATAATTCTCTAGAGCATACTGTATGAGATCATCTATATCTAACATAATTAATCCATCTTCTGTATATAATCTTCTAGCAGCATTGTTTAATCCTAATCTCTTCATACACTGATTTAATAACTGAAATAATGAAACTTACATGTCAGAATAAAGGTTAAATATCAAGTTAAAGACTAACCACAATGAAATTTTATTTTGAAAGAACTATCTCCGTAATATGGACCTGGAGATGACTATGACGTAATAACAGCCATCTTGGAACTGTGATGTCACATATGAAATCAAAGTCTTTCAAGGAACAATAAAGTATGTCGATCATACAGGAATTGGAGGAGCCTTCAGCTTTTTTCGCAGATCATCGTTGTCCTCTAAGAACAACAAGATGAGTAGCACCTGTGGAACAAGTACCTGGTCCACAAAAACATCTTGGCTCAAAAATTATTCAAATCATTCAATTTTCACTTGAGTTATGGTATCTGAAGCCAATGTAGCCTTCTGGTCATTTCACACAGCCTGCTTTATTTTTCCTAAACTAATAATACTTCTGCTAGTTCATACTTCATAATTAAACATACATTATGCAAGAGGTAAATCTGCCTATTGCTGGTCTTTCTTTAGGCCCAAAATGTAATATAAACTATTAATTAGACATTTATTAATATGACAGACCATAATCATCTCTCGATGCCATCGTATTTCTCCGACATTAAGTAGATTAGAATGGTTCAGCCATTTATGATTTAATTTAAAAATGGAGAAGCAAGGCTTAGCTTCGAACAACTAGTACTGTGGTTGCAATTAATGCACACATCTTGTAAAACCTTCAAAGGCTAATATCTTCGCTCGCAACAGAGAAATCTAAATGAAATTTTCAATATATACATTTTGCATTATCATTTTTGAACTGTCATAGCCAGCTATTTATCTAAGTCTTACATAATGTATCCTTAATAATCATATACTTTCTTTAGAATGAATTTAAAAGACAAATCTACTTACACCTTGAATACTAGAACCACAAATTATTTCTCCTGGTCGTAATCTTCCTTCACCATTTTTATATGCCAATATTTTCACATTTTTAACGTTTCTAGAAGCTGATATCTCTTTAGCTATGATTGAGGCATTGGCTTCTTTTTGTAGATTCTCTAGTTTCTGCTGCCACCTTGCTAATGTTATTTCTGCCTCATGGGTTGAAAGGTCAACCTTACCATTCAAAATTCGGAAACTTCCAATTTGTTTGAGTCTAAGTTTTTTGGCTGTGAAATTAAAAAGTATTTATTTAGATACAAACATTACATAAAATTATTATTACATCTATTTTTCAATATATATTTTTTTTTATTATATCAAACCATTTGGAAAAAGAAAGCACTGTTTACATGTAAGTAGCATTGTTTTTAGTATGTGTTTATTAATTGCAGTATTCAAGAATTGAATAGATATAGAATTTATTAATGATTTTCAGATTAATAAATTCCTAGTTTTAATTTTTATTCTGTTATTCAACTAGTTTTCAGTTTTCCCCCCAGAAATATTCTCCAAATACAAGTGTAAGCCTAACAATTTTGTGTTAAAAATCTTGGTTAAGCTCAGAAAACAATTTGTGGCAGACGGACAAAGAGATGAACATTAATGTAATATATCCCTTGCCTACTTTATACAAAAGGTATAAATACATTTCCATGAACATAAGATATGAAAAATATCCAAAATGGTATAGACGTAAAAAACAACTTATCATTTTCAAATATTAGATTAATGCAGGAAAATTACAATGTTTTCATGGATACATGAAATAAAGAAAGAAAACTCACCAGTACCCATAGCACAAGAGAAAGGTGTGTTAGCTTTTAGTTTAGTTATTTTATAACGACCCCGCATCGCTCTTGCACATGATATACACACTTTTATCTCTATATAATTAGAGCGATTATTATTGTTAGATTTTGTTGGTATCTCGACAGAATAACCCTAAAAATAAAAACAAAATACATTTAGATAACCTTTATAGCCAGAGAAGCAATATATTAAATCCTTGCTGTGTCTCCCTCATATTCACTCATCGAGATTTTACTGATGATTCAAAATATTTCTCCCGATAGTCTTAATAAAGCTAATGATCTAACTGCAATCTCTTAATTAAAATACCTAGTTTAGAATGGATGAAGGAGATCATTCCATTCTAAGATATAAAATGATACTCTTTAAAATTTGCCATTACTATTTATAGGAAAGAAACAAATATATTGCAACAGATGGTGATATTTTAACATATAAAGATCATACAAGTTAGGTAATTAGTCAAAGAATGAAATACAGTGACGTTAAATAAATGATATATTACCGGTTGATCTATCTGTGCTGTCTGAGCAATAGCAAACGTACAGACATCAGCTTGATTAGCTGCCGTTATTTCTACAAAACAGAAAGTTTCAATTTAATCTTCATTTTCATCTATTTTATCTTTATATATAAGATATATAAAATATTCATTTTCTTTCATATATAAAATATTCATTTTCATACATATTATATATATTTAATCTTCATAAGAATAACATTCATTTTCCTATGAATAACATTCATTTTCATATATATATGAATAACATTCATTTTCATATATAATATTCATTTTCATATATAACATATTTATGTATTCAATCTTCATAAGAATAACATTTATTTTCATATGAATAACATTCATTTTCATATATATAATATTCATTTTTGATTTTTAACTACCGGTAGGTATTGATTTAACAGACAGGATTTACTGTTCATGGGAAATCAATACCACTTCTGCCCTAGGATGATTAGGCTTGTTTTAAAACACAGCTGAATTATTTATCACTCAGAAAAATGTTCAAAGTAAACAAACCAGGTATATTCTTACCTTTATCTGGTAATTCAGTATGAAAAGCTTGGATCAGTCCAGATTCAGCATCATAATGCCATCGCTGATGAGCTTTACCAAACTGATTGGTTCGTCGAGTTTGTAGTATCACAGGACAACCGACAAAGGTCATGAGATGACCACTTTCTGTGTTCTCTAAACTAGGCATAGAAACGGTTAAAACCAGATTTTGGTAACATTTAGAACGGATTTCACTGAAAGTAAATTAAAATAAACACCTTTTAAGGACTTGATGTATATACAAAAATGATTTTTAGCTGAAAACAATAATTCGTATACATGAAATACATCAAGTGGAGTTTATGGTGTGATATCACTACAAAGAACATCCAAAGGTACAGTTATTTTATTTGTATTTTTTTGCCGGGTCAAATAACGAACACTTGTTAAATCATTGTGATAAAGAAAATGTCCTAAAGCAAAGTGAATATCACCAAAAAGTCACAGTCATCCACCATAAAATAAAAAAAAGATTAAATTTGAGAAATGTCTTATGAGCAAAAGCCTCACAACTAAATTCATGTTTGTACAAAGTTTCAAAAAGATATCATGAACGGTTTATGAAATAATACATTGACAAAGCCCATTTCAATATTCCTCCTTATCTGCCGTGAAGTGAATGATCTGGATACTACTCTTGTGTGCCTTTGACATCCTCAATGATATCAAGGCCATATTTTCTTCAGCAGGTTCATAGATATCACATCAACATTTCAGATCTTAAAACTGTGACTTTCTGCTCACAAATTTAAAACTTCATTTTTTTTTTTTTTAACTCATTGTAAAAGAAAGAATTTTCTAGATCATATGAACAAAACTTACCCATGTTGTGTCATGACCCATTTTTGATTAATATCATCCGGCATACGCTTTACTAATAAAACGTCGTTCATACGACATTCCTCTTCAATTACAGCTAATACAAGATTTCTATTGGCTGTAGAAGCTATATAACCATCTTCATAAGAAAATGTCTGTAATACATCTCGTGAGAGTCTTGGTGATGACTTGGGCCTGTAAATACAATTAATCATAGATTAATAACACTGTTCATGTTAATTGATACTAATAAGGATGTGGGCTTGGAAATTCAATAATTTTCAAAAACATCCACATGGATTCTCCAGACAACAATTTGTAAGAATGGTCTGAATTCCAACATGGTATTAACCCAGAATTGAGTTGACTGAAATTACCATTAATATCTAATCATGAGGTGCAATGTTTTTTTTTAACTTTGTGAAAAAAATTTCACAAGGATTCAGATCTTTAAGTCTGCAAAAAATCTTAGTTTATCATCAAAAATATTACAAGAGAAAAGAATATATATTTTAGAACTTACTTGAATTTTTCATACAATTCTTTATCTGTATATTTCTTAGCTTCTGGATCTTCATAATCAAAACTTCCACTTACATTAACCAATCTTTCCCACGGCCATTTTAATGCATTCAATCGTTGTTCAGATTTTAGGTTGGCTCTTTGTCTTGCTGTCCTGTACAATTTCATAGAAAATTATGGATGATTATAACTAATAAATATTTTTACTGAAAATCCAAAAGCTGCATTCTCTGCTTTTTTTCATTAAAAATCAGACATAAACTAAGGATTACATTAATCTGTTCCCTAATAGTAAGTTCAGGAGGACCGCACTACACGCATAACAAAAATCTAAAAGATAAACCTACGGACAAGACAGAAAATAGACACTGCACTAAATAAACAAATATCAAATCAAGTGAATGGATTTCGGTTAGAAAATGACACAAAATAAATCTTTCTTCTGACATTTAACCAATCAGAAAAATCCTTTAGAAATTGTCCAATGTACCTTCTATTCTATTTTTAGTAAAATCAATGTTATTTTGTCTTCACTTGTGTAAAGATAAAGATTGTGTTTAGTATTTTGTATTTGTTGGACATTATGGAATAAAAACTTGTCCAAATGAACCAAGAACAAATCTTGGAATATTAGCAACATTTAGAATGCATTGGTAATATTTTATTTCTACATACATCTGAGCTAGAGCTTCTTCTGTATCTATATTTTCTTGTTGTGGTGGTAGTGGTGGGGCTAGTTGTGGTGTGGGTGGTTTCTCTTCCATAGACTGACTTACACGTAAATGTTCATCTCTATTCCATTCTTTATTGATGAGAACTCGAGCATTAGGTACCAAATTACCTTCTATTTCTATCACAAACTCTATTAACACAAAGATAAATATATCATAATATATGTGAGTGAAATACGTGTTAGTATAGAAATAAAATGAGGTTTAATGTCCAGCTTTTCTGCACCGAATAGGCTAATGAAGATGGGCATACACCATACAGTGTGTACACAGGACCTTGATTTTTCACCCCATCCGAAACACTAGACCCTGTTCAGCAACAGATAGAAATGACTACAGTCTAAAATCGAGATGCAAATAATTGGTAAAAATATTTTAAAATTTTGTGTGACATGACTAGTTACATTGGTGATTTTTCAATTAGATTCTAAATCTGAAATGTTTTTATCTTTCAAAACAACCAAGACAATCAAAGTTTCAAATTATTTATATTTATATTTAGTGATTTTCAAGGAGTGTATAGAATGCTCATTCCAAAGCCTTACTCTAAATAGATTATTCCAGAGGATTACAAACAATAATTAGATATACACCTATTTTGAGTATGATATTTTTCAAAATTACTAAATTATATTTTTTTGAGCAAGTATTAACGCCTCTTAAAACTATAGCTAAAGTTTCTGCTATATGTACTTACTTTCTGGATGTCTAAGAGCACAGAACTGTTCTATTTTATTTACATCATGTGCTACTTGAGACAGGTAGTGACGTTTCTGTTGTTCTTCCTTAGTTAATTTAGGATCGGACCAATTCTCACCACAAGTTATATAAACTATTTGATCTCTAACAACAGTTTTTAAACTAAAATGTTCTTTTCCTTTTTCGTCAAATAAACGTCTGGCAGCAAACGGTAGATCTAACATAGATGTACAAGAATCAAGGAACTGAAATTTAATAAATATTGAAACATCAGAATCAGTAAACTGTTAGCTCAGTACTGTTTACTCTAGGTAAACTCTAGTTAGATCAGTTCTGTTTACTCTAGTTAGATCAGGTGTGTTTACTCTAGCTAGATCAGTCTGTTTACTCTAGTTAGATCAGTTCTGTTTACTCTAGTTAGATCAGTTCTGTTTACTCTAGTTAGATCAGTTCTGTTTACTCTAGTTAGATCAGGTCTGTTTACTCTAGTTTGATGAGTATTACTTACCCTAGTAAACTACAGTTAGATTAGTAATAATTACTCTAGTAAAATCTAGTACTACTCACTATTATAAATTCTAGTTGACTTAAAGTTAAATCAATACAATGTAGTTGAAAGTCTATATCATTTGAATTATCATCATCTTCATCATGTCTATGTACTCGACCAGTTTTTTTATCAACTTTATTCTTCTTACTATGATCTTTCATCATCTAAAACACAAAAAAAAGAAACACTAAATTTGCAGACAATTTAAAAGAGCTAAAACGCTAATATTTAGAACCTAGAAGTTGACACAAATGGATCGCAACGCATATAATAATATAATATGAATTTATATAAATTGATTTATATTCAATCGTTTCTGTTTTTACTGTAATTTCGAATCAGTTATGTTCTGTCTCAGTCGAATGGCAATCTCTAGCACCTGGTTATTTCAGTCTATACCAGATGTATTTAATGCACAAGCTCTCCAGATAAGAACATGGCCTAACCATTTGACATGACTTGTGAGACATGTCTAGCCAAGTTCTTAGAGTCCCTTGTTACAAATGGCGCTGAAACGCATTCTAGTACATAATTCGTGTACCAATGGTAAAATGTTTATTTTGTCTTAAATATTGGATATCAGAAGAGCATCTTTTCCCAGTAAGATCACAATATCAATGTTGATTTAAATTAACAAATATAAGAGTATTTAAAAAAACAGAAAAAGGTATTATTTTATTTTTCTGGAACGCCTGATTATTTGTGCTACTAAAGACACTTCAATATGACATTTTTGAATTTAGCGTTTGCACCATACATTTATTCGGTTTAAATATAAACTGGATCATACCCCATTTCATTAGGCTGCATTGTCTTTTCAGTTATTTGATCATTATTTAGCTATTTGATCATTATCTACTTAGCTATTTGATCATTGTGTATTTAGCAATTTGATCATGTAACTATTGTAACTGTAAATGGCCTAAAATGAGTAAATATCTGATTTGAAACTGTACTAAGGATCATACTTACATTTGTCATATTAGGAGCAACAACAGCAATAGCATTATAGATATCTCTTTCCCCATTCTTTAACGCCATCAACCTTAATGGTGCATCTAAATTATATATCACAAAGATCAATTATTATTCCAAATATAGTGGAGTGTATTATTTGGAATACATAAACTAATATCCTATCTCAATCAAGATACACAACATTGTTCCCTATCTAAATACAGAAACGGCAAAGAAAAAAACAACTATATACTTACATCCTTTTTGTGTAGCCTTTCTGATTGGTGGAGCATTGGGTATTATATATCCTTCCATTGGCCAATCATAGTTCTATACAAAATAATAAGATTATAATTCAATAATTCAAAATTTAATGTAAATTCAGAAAAAAACATGCAGATATTAATTACATTGGAATTTAGTTACAAATGAGACTGTAGACCAAAATGTAATTATAGTCAAATTGAGATTAGTCAAGAATGTAACTAAAGTCAGGAATAACAAGAAAACAGTGAGGCTGATGTCCCCTGCCGAAATCCCAAAATAAACAGATAACACATTAATTGCACATTTATCTTTTTCAAAAGTATTGAGCAATCAAACTGATTATCTATACTTAGTCTAAACATAAGATGTTAACGATCAAACTCTGTCAAGGTTTTTAAGTACCTGGTAGTGAAACTATACACTAAGTTTCATCACTCTCCAAAGGTTAGAATCAAAGTTGTCTTGTCCCAAAGCATTGACCAATGAAATTGCTTAGCTCTTTAATGGGAAATATTTATCATTGAACTCAGTCAATACCTCAATTAAAAGCAGAGTTGTTATGTTCCAAAGTCTTGACCAATCAAACTGCTTATCACTATTTAACCTAAGCAGAAAATTCTCATCATCGAACTTAGTCAATGTATAAATATAATGAATCTATACTCAGTTTCATCGCACTCATCTAATTAGAACCAAAGTTATCGTGTCCCAAAAAATGTGATGAACAGACAGATTTAACCTAAGCAGAAAATTCTCATCATCGAACTTAGTCAATGTATAAATATAATGAATCTATACTCAGTTTCATCGCACTCATCCAATTAGAACCAAAGTTATCGTGTCCCAAAAAATGTGATGAACAGACAGATAGTCACTGCTTTCTTCGAAAGGTGGGGGTCAAAAATAGTCAAACATCAAATTATATATTAAAAACAACTCACTTCATTTATTTCACCATTTTCTTTAACTGGCCAGGAATATGCCAATTTATTGAAATCAGGATTACTGGCTTCTGTATGTTTCCACTGACCAAGATTTTCAAACTTTTCTTGTTTTATAGCAAACCTACAATTATTTGAAATCATTTTATTTTTACTGGAGAGTTTGAGCTGACAAGTTCCTGTTGAAGCAATAGTCATTTTTATTCAAATTTTGCCCTCAGAATCCGAAGACAAATTCCTGTAGAAGCTATTGCCAATGTATTAAAAGAATGGCCTTCTTTTTACTGGATAGTTTACTTAAAACTCAATCAATAAGATGTAATAAGTTCTACTTACCTCTGACTACTGACATCTTTTTTTGAGACATTTTGTAAGGCATCACAGATGACTAAACAGACACGAACACCACACAAAGCCCCAGTAGGTTTATTATTATTATAAGATTCATCATCACCAAGCTTAGATCCTATATACGTTAATTTCTTCTCTGGGTGTGACTAAAATATAAACATAATATAACATTACTGAGACTATAATTTGTCTGTCATGTTAACTTAAACTATTATTAATAGGACTGTCATGTTGAAAGAGAGAAGTGAGATTCTACATAAACTATATTATTTTGGGACTAACATATGCTACAATGTTATTTTAATAATTCGTTTGCGCATTGGAGTTTTCAGGAGCGGGTGGAAATCAGAGGACCTGGGGTAAACCCATGATGCAGGGTAGACGACCCTTGTCATGTGCAAACTTGGGATTGAGACAGTCACTTGATTCAATGACAGAACATATGATCTAAAGCATATGCGTTAAACAACTACCCATTCCATCACACTGTCATGTTGTTGAGCATTTATACGAGGTTACCTTATATTTAACTAAAGTATAAATATGAACGGAATATTAATCAGTAACAGCCTTATACTGAATTAATAGTAACTACTAACTTTCATATTATAGTTGTATGTTCAAAAACAGTTTATTTTTTTAAATCAAGTCCAGATGTCAAATCCAAAAAATAAATTGCTTTTTCTTTGCAATGAACCTAAAGATAAGAATATCATCCAGTGTTTATCCATGGCAAATATAATTAATAATGCATATTAAAAGTATTACATACCTGAGATGATATTGAACCATCCACATTAAAGGTCCACATCTGATTAGGATTCTGTGTCTGTCGCTTTTGTAATGTAACAACTGGACCTTCAACAGTGACGTCTTTATCAAACAATTTCCCTTCAATAACTGTATCTGATACACCCAGACATAACTGTGGCATATAACGACTGTATATATAACCACTCTGAAAAAATAAAAATACATACATTAATGTCTAGTTACAAAAGTTATCTTTCTTTACATTAGGTACAGTCTTATACAGGTCACAATTCTATGGAACTCAATTACAGCTCATAATTGAGTAATGTTTCAACTAGGTTTCTCGTCATTATCAAGCAATGGTGTAACCTAGTCGAAAAGTCGCTCAGTAATAATCAGTAATTGCATTCCATAAAATTGTGAGATCTATATTTCAGTTCAATTACTATATGCCATTGAAACAAGGTAAAGTCTAACGTATATGCCTGAATTAACATGTTTGATATTCAGAATTATTTGATAAAGTTAAAGTAAAGAGACTGCCAACAAAGATCTTATTTAAAACTTATCTCTGGATGAGGTTTTCCCTTCATGTCTGGTCCTCACAGTAATAAATTCTTAAATCACAGATTTAATTCAATCAGTTGATCCTCAACTTTACAAGTAACTTGAAATATATATTCATAATGAAAAGGGAATTATACCTTTGATATGATCCAAATTTGTTGATCCTTGTTTCCTCTCTTTCGTTTCTCATCCGCAGCTACTTCAGGATATAAAACTAGATCTCTCTTCTCCTGTAATAATATATCATACACAATTATAATGTTCATCAATATAAAATTATTCCTTTTTGCTATTGTCATGGAAAGACTCAAAAGACACAAAAAATTTCTTATATATACTAGATCTTGAAAAAGGGTACTACACCCGAAACGATTCATATAAAGATCTTTAAAATCTACAAGTCTGTTGCTGGTTCTGTTTGGCGGGGATTCTTTAATTTTTACTCATTCTACTACTCCGCCCCGCCGGCATCATTTTTTGATCCAGTCCCGACGCAGATGTACCAGCCTGTCCAGCTATCTTTTTAATTCAAGAGAGTGTTGCCGTACCCCTCTCCGTTTTCCAATATACTAGATCTCACACAAAAGAGAGGAGAGATCTAAGACTAAGTTTCCATTATTCAATTTATATCCTAATGTTTGAAAAATGTACATATAAATTTCTGTTTCTTCATGTACCAATAAATGTTTACTTTCCATTTCATTCAGAAAAAGCCTTTGTGTATCCTTTTCATTCTAAGATCTTTCTGTGTAATCCATTATTTGGAGAAATAATATTTTTGCCCTGCTACTGATGCGTTTATTGACACACAACCTAATAGTCAGCATGTTTTGTTTATATCTAACTATACCAAAATGATCAACATATATGTAAAAATGTTTGAATTATTGTTATAGCTTACTTTATGTATAAGATAATGTCCTCTACTGTCTATTTCAGCATTTTGTAATAACCAATCGTTTCGTTCAGCATCAGCATACAAAGATTGTATGGCAGGTTCATATAACATAGGAAAACCTATTGTTGATTCCCATTGACTATGTCTGAAATATAAGACAACAGATCCCAATAACATGTTGAGAAGAATATTTCAGGTGGTTCACTATCTTCATCCTCAAATATATTCACATTATTTCATCATGGAATTACTACTCAACTATAGAAAATAATAAATAATCTGAATTGTATGTAAGATTATGAAGGATTTTCTTCCTAATTTAGTATAGTTCCCAATCTGATTAAAATACAGATATATATTTCGATGGCCTACAGTACATGAAGATCTGACCAGTTGTAATGTAAGGTCGCGTCAGGGGTCATACGAGCGGCTATTGACCCGATGACGTCAGACATTGATTAATCAATCAGCGTAGACGTTTCTAGTGGCTTACCCACAGTTCTGTGCATCGCATGCCAAGAACTTGCCGTAACAGACCATTTCATTGGCTAATCTCTCACTTCAACCAGAATGCTGGTAATATAACAAATCATCTAGATCCTAGTGTAGTAAAGACAAGTAAAACGAAATTTCGAACTATAAAATAGGATCTGTGTTTTAATCAGATTGGCATAGCTGCCTAATTCTGACTATATTCAGTGTAAAAGCAGTGAAAATTGTTTGTATGGAACAGAATGGGGATTAAGGTCTCGCCAACACAATACTGTATGCCTATTGGGACTATTATCTTGTTGAAAGACTTCCTTGTTGGCACTGCTGGCGCTATATCCAACAAGTTAAGGATAAGCATAAACAATTCTCTATTTGAATTTGAGACATTCTAGTCGCAAGTCTACCATGGCCCTCGAATGTTGTCAATGTACTTACTCTTCTTTTCCTTCTAGATCATCTTTCATTATTTGTTCTCGAAGAACACGTTCTACACCTTCTTTATCAGCTTTAGTTGCTCTATCAAAAGATGCTTCTAGACAATAAGCTATAATATATATACAATATACATGCAATATATAGCGAACACTTTAGAACTCTCTGCCACCCAACAGCTCATGAGATGTGGGACAAAAAGGTTGCAAAACACTGATCCAGACAATTATCTGGCAACACTATACTTTATATAGACAAAAAGTTACATTTTATACTTCTAGTTCTCCTTTGGTGAATACTGACAGATCAACAACTTACTGAATGGAGTGATGAAAGCCTCTCCAAATGACAGCCATATTTCTTGATCATATTTTAACTGCATGACATCTGTTATCTCATGACCAAATTTATCATAGATTTGCTGAGCAATAGCATTTAGTTTGGGAGTTTGTATGTTATTTGTCCAGTGGCTACTAGATAGTTCATCTAAAAGCTGAAATAATAAACACAACAATTGTTATTACATCGATCACAAATTACATATTCTTGAAGCATTGGCCTGAGAAATCCCTCTTTGGCCATTGCTGGATTGGCTTCTGATACTTGAGCTTTTGAGGGAGTGTCTATTCTTCCCATTCAAATCAAATCTCTCTTAAGTACAGCAACATGACAGCCCATCATTTAATCTGGGGTCTTCCCTAAAACTTTGGACAGTGATTTAAGGTATTAAAAATGGTGAAAGTATTGTTCGTCTCCAAATAGTATTGTTTACATTGTAGCTGTTTTGATAGCCTCATTTGTCACACAATTATTTTCCTGCAATATTCTGCTATGTGCTGGTTAATTGAGCGTAATGAATTTTGTGAGTTATGACGTAACTTTATGTAAACATATTTGGAGCTCTGTTTAAACCCAAATGATATTGTTACGCAGTTAGGTATTGTTAATCGGACTATTGACCAGTCATAATTTTGAACCGAAATTTGCTTTCATTACGGCAGTGGGATTAGGTCTAATCAAACGAAACACTGTGAGGAGTATGATCAAGGACAGATCTTAAGTTTGTTGGCACATATGGTGTTTTGGGAAGTATCCTATTTGGTTATGAATGGTAATTGGACCCTTTTTAAATGCTTGAAATTGCAAAGAAAGTGGTTAGTATTTAAGAGTATATTTTTCTTTTGCTATTTGAGGATGGAGGTCTGCTCACATCAGCTATTTTTCTATCATCAACAATTAATCATTTGTCTGTGGTAAATTATTCAGCTTGACAGATTTTCTCTGACATTTTGTCTGCTAAATGTTAGCTACTAGCTTTGTATAAACAACTCATTGTATTGGTGAATGCCAAATAACCATCACCATTAACCACAAGGGCGAAAAGTATACCAAAGAAAGGTCTGTGATTGAAAATCGGGGTGGTGTGCGCTGCCGGCATAAAATAATCCTTGGCGTGCACAGAATTGAGCTAACAAATTAGTTTGTGCTTTTGTTTTCATGGAGGATGGTGTTTGCTTGTTAATAAATGTAACAGCTCTATTAAGCAGTACAGTTGCTCTATAAATTCATTTTAAGTGTATTCTTGGTGTTATTTTATTTCTATGAACAGAAAATGATACATAATACAAACTTACTCTTTTCATCAAAAGTTCTTTATCACCATGTATTCCTTTCATAGCTTCTCGTAAATTAAAGAAAGATACATGTTCTCCTTCTGCTTGACCATTTTTAAAAACCTAAAATGACAATAAATGAAATTAAAATAGATAATTGATCACATAACTCATTTGTCAGCCAACTGGATGCACATAAACAACTGAATATATCATTAAAGCCAATATATATTAAACTATTTCCTATCTAATTACTGGCATTGAATATAGTGTTGGCAATATTCTGTCTGTGCATTCTATGTTGTGCTGCATATTGTAGGGTTCTAGCTTTCTGTTATGTTTCGTAGAAAAGTCTTGATTATCCAGGCCTGTCAACAGCCAGAGAACGGTGGGTAGACTGGTATAGCAGGACTTATTTCAAACCAAGGGCATGTAACCATTTTTCATTCAAAAATACCTGGTTGTAATGGCCTCTCATCGTTTATCAGTCTTGTTAAATACAACACGGCTGTTTATTTAATGACTATAAATGTGAGGAAGTTAGTTAAGATTTGTTATATATATATTGTGGTATAATTGTCAAAATATTTGGAGATATGAAGCACTACATATTGTTTATTATAATGATATTACCTTTAATCGTAGACCTTTCATTCCAACAAGTCGACAATCTGCTGGTATTTCTTGTATATGTGTCATTCTATAACTAGCACCATAGGACTATAACATAAATTATCATGTATAATGATATTAAAGGCACAACATTCCACAACATTGTGGATTTCAGTACATCCACAAAAAACATAGGCTAATCAAACAGCATATTGATACAAAAAATATTTGAATCAATTAATCCTAAAAGATGTTATAGCCATCTAAAGTTCACATAACTTTTGATAGATTTAATGCTGCCATTTTGATTTCCTGTAAGATCATTTACCGATTCTGAAAGATATTTCAGTTCTATCCAAAAACATGAGCTCAAGATGGCATTTTAACCAACACTTTTCGGTCCTTATTTTGGTTAAATTTAAATGAAAAAAAACAATTTTGGGCTGTCTAGCTCAGAGTGGATTTAATAAAAGATACATGTTCTTTGATGGACAATTTAGTGACCTATTCTATCACCAAATTAAATTGTTTATCAAGATGTAAAGAACATACCTCTTCTTGCTGGTGTTTCTCCTCCAAATTTTCTAATTTACTCTTTAATTTCTGTAAAGTTTCTTTATATTGGTCTACATCATTCTCAACCTTTTAAAACATAAGCAATGCAAAATAAAATAAAATGGGGTTTACCTTGCTACTGTTCTTTTAAATAAACTAAACATAAAAGCAAATGGTGTGATATGTTTTAATTAATACAATGTACTTACCTTAGATTGGGCATCATATAATTCTTCCGGAGTCATAGACTTAATGGCTCTTATAGTAACGTTGTCCATATCATCATTTAAAGCTATATCAATCTAAAATACAATCAGAATAATCAGTAATGAGACACATGCTAAGATATAAAAAAGATAAATGGAATATAGAGAGATAAAAAAAATAGGTCATTTCAGGACTAACATTAGCTGTGGGAGGAAACCGAAGGACCTGGAGAAAACCCACGAGGTTGGACAGGTAACCCTATTCCTTGTCATGTACAAGCGGGGAATCAAAACTACACCTCTTAACGCAATGACAGACCTTATGATCTAAAGACTATTTACCTCAGTTTTAAACTTTTTAACATCTCGAAGTTTTTTCTTTAGTATTTGTATTAACTGTGCTATATAATCTCTAGCACCAGAAGGACTAAAACCATCACCAATTGATACCCATAGTGGACCTAAAGCTGGTGTACCACCCGTCTGCAAACAGTCATCTACCATCGGTGCTGGAAAAAAAAGAATTGATTACATCAATCATCAGCAATTCCAACAGCTAGATTTGTTTTGTGGGATGACAATATATCTAAGTTACAATTTTCTAAATCTTTCGATTAAGCCAGTGTTCATAAAGAAAAGTGTTGTTTAGAAAGGTTAGTTTAATAAATTTGTGATAGACGATAAATGTAAACTGTGGTTGTTTATTTATTGATAAACAATACATACTGTCTATTAGATCAGTTATCTCATTTCCATCCCAATCATAAAGTATACGAGCATGACTTGTAAGATTCAATCTTCCTGTACATCCTTCCAAAAACTGTTATAAAAACACACAAAAAATCATTAAACATTAACAATAAATTTCTATATTTCCCATATTCATTACATTATCAGACAATCATCAGTTGAGCATTGCTAGATGATCTAACAAGGACAGCTGTCTAGTTGCTCGGATAGTACAAAAACCCGAGGTACTGTGTACACATTGGTGAGCACGTAAACGCTGTCCGGGCAAAATTTCCCTCATAGCACACTGTATGGCGTACGCTCGTCTTCATTAACTCAGTTGGAGTGGAACAGTAGGATGTTAAACCCCATTTCATTTCACTTCTAGATGATCTAATTCAAAGCAATTTTTCGATGTAATGAGCATTAGCAGACTATGATTTGCACATGATGGCTCAATCCAGCAGGCTAATAAATCTCAAATATTTATAATAAGATTATTTCTTTAAAAAATCCACCTTTACCAAAAATAAAATGAAATGAAATGGGGTTTAACATCCACTTTTCTGCACTGACTGGGCTAAAGAAGACAATGCCAAAGTAAAAGGCATAACACTTACATTTTCTTTTTCTGTTAAATCGGCCACAACTTCGACTGGTTCATTACCATTACCATTTCTATATACTATTATTCTAACTTTCTTCTTGTCTGTTAAAGATCTAAAATATACAAAAATAGCTATAATACTTGAAAATATATCAATATTAAACTTTCAAAATACAATTTGTATATTATGTAATGATAATAAAGTTGGTGACGTATATCACTTAAGGAAAGGGGATCTATATTTAACTTGTTTTTACGGCAGGAATGGATAAAACTATGTCTAATTATCCTACTTAAATTAAGTCAATTTCATACTAAGTATTATATTCACAATAAATTATATAGCTGTAAATATTTTCAATAAATGACTGTACTGACGGACACTCTGTATAAAGATTACTATGAAATCTGGTTCACACAGGGCTGACATGTAAAGCGTCTATACAATTCCTTGTAGGAAAGAAAGTTAACCCAGCAGCAGTGTTAGCCATATCTTTACAAATTTAAACCTTTGGGATGCACATACCTCATACGTTTAGACATCTTAGCTTTCGTTGTTTTCTTTTTTCCTTCCGGGAGCAGGTTAACACCACTTAATGTCCATGTAGCACCTGTTCTCTGAAGCAGATTTCCTGTTAAAATCAATAAATTTAATATCATTCAATTTGTCATTTTATGATCATGTATTTTAAAATTAAAAAGGCAATTACTTTCATGAAGGATAAAGGCACCAGCGCATTATTGACTGTTCATATGAATTCTTAATGTATAAAAAACTTATGAAGCATGTTTAATTTGTTGTACTTGAAAAATCTCTGTATTTGATTTGATGTTCATTCGATCATGTACAGAAAATGAAAATATGTAGAATTTGGTTGCATTGTATGTCCACTGTAAAGATGGATAGCAAATTGTAATGAAATAATGTAATTATGCTTGGCATACATAAAGTATTTGAAAATAATTTTGTATGGAAAAAGCAATTCCCATATTGCACAGACAAAAATGTCATTACCACGCTAGTTTAAGAAAATCTACATAATATTGAAGTGGCACACTTTCAGAATGCCGAAGATTGGCGGAATTAAAGCATCTATAGATAATCAAAATACTAATCAAATCTTTTTCTATAAGTAATACATCAAAAGCATTTGTACTGTAACTTACTTTTAGCTGATTCATCAGGGTCTTTATAAGGCTCTCCCATAGATATAAATACTTCACTATATGTCGGAATATCACAGGCTTCAAATACTTCTATACCATCTTCTAAAAATATTCTTCTTGCAGCAAATGGTAGTCCTAACTTGTCCGTTAAAAACTCTAAAAGCTACAAATGAAATGTTGTGCAGGGAATGAAATATGTTGATTTGAAGCTAATAATTAAGAATGCGTCCATGTAGAAATTGAAAAAAAACAACAACATGGGAGGGGGGGGGGGCAGATAATTTCAACCATACTTGTTACTGTTATTTTAATCCATGTTGATGGTTTCACTATGAATTTTGTATATATTGACCTCAAGTTTACTAAATGTCATTGTGCTTGATAACGATAAGAGGATACTTGTCGAAATGTCATGCTTTTAGAATAAAACTAGTGATTGTATCCCATAAAAACTGTATTCTGTTAATGTGTTTACCGATCGCTAAATGCCACTTAAGGATTATATTTGATCTATGGGGGCCCCCTGGGCGACAGACGTCACATGATGAAGTAAAATATTTTTGAACGGACAACTTCTGGTATAACTGGAAATTGTTGTTTTCGGGCAAAATTTGTCATATTTTGTCCAATTTTTTACCCTAATTTTGAAACTCTCCTACCCGAAATATTGCGTCTCTAAATTTTTGATATTGGTCTGGTATGATAGTTCTAATAATCGACTTAAAATCAGGCAGTCGCTTGGGAATGAATGAATTGTGTGGAATTTTCTGTAAGTGATCTTAAAGTGGTCATTTTACATATGTTTAAAACAACACCATTCTAAAACATATGTAGCTGCTTCTTTGCAGGTCTGGCATAGAATTGCTTGATGTGGTTGTGGAGGGTATTCCTCAAAGTAAATGTTAGAAGAAAAAACTGACTGCAATGCAACCCACAAGAGTGCTACAATATTCTGTACATGTGTAAAAACGGTATTTTCCATGCAATTCGTCTTTTCACTGATGACAGACTATTGTCTTCAAGAGTTCAAATGATTATCAACATATATTAAAACCATTAAAATATATTTTCCCAATTTTCAATCTCGATATCAACTGAATCAATCTAATATTTTGCGGGATGTACCTGGATACTAACCCAAGGTTTGTCACCTTAATTTTAATTTCCATGTTTCTTTTAAAATTAAATAAATTTATTGAAAGATTTGTCTCTTCCAGCAGTTTTCCATTAAATCTAACAGCATGTCTTGCCCATAAGTATTGTCATCATGATACCACACATTCACTCGATGGATACATAAAATACAAATTAAAAATGAAGTTGATACAAGAAAATGTCTTACCATTTTGATACTAGAAGCTGCAGCTCTAACTGGTGTATCTTTACAACCATTTTTATATGCACTAACTCGTATAATGTGTGGTTGTTTCTTGTATAGTGGTTTACTTCTGCCTGAAACATCAAAACAATTCAGATAACAGAACAACATTTTGTCTTTTTATCCCAACAATTAGACAATACTGTCCCTAAAGCAGTCACAACCGTACTTGAAAAATCCTGATGGTTCCTCTAGCCAATACCTGGATACATACCTATACCTCCCAAATTCCATGAATACCTCCCCCATTCCATGAATTCCATAAAATTCTGGATCATTTTAAGACAAACATGATAATTTTTTATTTGTATGGTCACATGTGCAGTGCAAGGTAGGAGAATTTTGTCTGGACAGTGGTGTTTCCACCTTCTCTTCTTTGATTTCGCACTGTCAATGATCCTTTTACTTGCACATCAAACAAACAACTAAGAAATACACAAATTTCTTTTAAAATGAATAAAGTGATACATACCAGATGGAGGTCTATGTCTGCCATAAGAATAAATTGATGATGTAGCTGACTGTGGTCTTGAAAAAAGAAGATTTTAAAAATGTATTAACAAAAATACCCTACTCAAAAAATATCATATAAACATAATTTATACACCAATTAAAACGAAAGCATGGCAAGTTTAATAGTTAACTTCACAAAATGCTAAATTTTATTTAGAATGAATCCATAAAAAGTACAGAGATTAAAATAACTAGATCTCTTTGATCATGGTCAAAAATAAAATTGTTGATTTCATTGCTGTTTCACCTGTCAGGCAAAACTAAAATTAGAAAATAAACCAGCTGGCCACATCACAAATTGAAATAATATATGAAATTAAGCTAATTTAATACTTTATTTTTCATGTAAATCAAAACATTGTAGCTCCTTTAAATGATTTAAACAAGCATATTTAATAATTGTTGGTTAGACTTCTAGAACCTACCCACCTCTCACACAAACTCTCATAACATCTGATAACAAGTGGCAGAGTCTGTAATTTTTCCCAATATTTTTAAAAACAATAATACTAATACAGTAATAGGCTAAAATTTACCTTCTGAATTTAATAGGAGCACTAGATGGCCTAGATAACTTTGTTAAGGCTTTATCAGTTCTTGGTGTAGCAGCATCCCATAATGTATGATCAGCTATGTACTTTACATCAATTTTGGGTTTACCAGTAGTCTTTGATCGCCCTACAATTGACGCGGATACAGGTCTTCTTCTAGTGCGTCTACCAAATGCTCCATTAGGAAATCTTTGAGAATAGGGTGACAGTGGTGAGCTGTAAAAAAGGGTGACTTTATATTTACTTGTATAGACGACCGTTACAATGATTTTCAGTGTCATTTAAACTTGGACTATTCCTGTTTTTGTGGTACTGATGAGTACTACATATTCAATTTGCATAATTTTGTGAGGGGTTTTGTTCAACTAGATGCCTTCAATCCATCATTTGTTTAGTATTAGAACTCACCATTCATTCTTGTAAATTACAGTAAAAAATATAATTTCATATAACTGTACCATAGCCTTCAATATTAAGGGGGGAGGCTATCCGAAAAATTTTGTTCTGAAATTTTAAAGCTATTAAATTGAAAATAGTACAAGTAGTTAGAAAATGTAATAAACAAGGGAAAATTTACATTATTTATTTTTGGGGGAAAAATTATGAAAACCGTAGGTACGCTATATCTCTGTAACTAATTAAGATATCTTCACCAAATTTGCAGGGTATATAAACTAATATCTACAACAGAATCAGACAGAAAGGAATTTGAATTATCATTAATATTTCAAAAGTTATCAAAATATTTCTCCAAAGACAAAAAATTGTATTGAGGCAAATGTTTTAAACATCATTTTCCAAGAAACTATAAAAATTATAGAGAAAAACTCTCTGTCTGCTTTTAGGGTTATCATTAAAGAATAAGCAGTCCGGAAATGAGACATTTATCTTTATTATTATCAGAGATATGGTGTACCTACGTTTTTCATACTTTTTCCAAAAAAATGTGTTACCCTGGCAACAACATTTTTTTTCTTTTTTTAATGTTAGTTTTCCCTTGTTTATTATATTTCCTAACTACTTGTGCTATTTTCAATTCAATAGCTTTAGAATTTCAGAAAACATTTTTCGGGTAGCCTCACCCCTTAAAATAATAAGGTCAACATTAAACCACTGGACCTCTATCAACATGTGTATGACATATGAAATTATAAAGGAAAGCACAATCTTGTATAACTATCTTATACAGGTCATGTATAATATTGGCAACATGGACACAGCTCATAATATGTTATTAGTGACTGTTTTAATCTGTTTACATATAGCTGGTTAAGATTACAGTAATTATTTTTTAAATGTTTTAAATGGGAAAAGTAGAAAATGATGAGATTCGCAACCACATAATGACGTGGTTAATTTTGAACACTGGTGACATATATACATCAACTGGATATTTCTAGGTTGTGTTAAGTAGTTAGTCAATATACATTTAGGGGTCTAATTATGGGTTCAATAATTTAATGGTAATCATCTTACTCCTTAAATTTCTTCAGTTCATGTCGTGACCTTTTCAAGTCATCCAAATACTGAGCAACTATCAAATCTTCATAGCTAACAATATCCGAGTTGTTTTTAATGAAAGCTGATGCCGGACTGTCTTTAGGAACCTGCAGTTTTGGTCTGTCCACCATTATTGTTGGTATGTATATTTTTTAAAGAATTTGGGCAGGCTTTGTTTCATAAATATATCTGAAAAAAAATTGTTTGATCTAGAATGTCTTCGACTCATAACTTAATTCCTTCAGGTGTGCAAATATGATTCAGAAATAAAAATACTGTACTAACAATTGCTGTACTTCAAGAGGTTTTTCTTTTGCATATATATTGACTTCACTTAAAAGACTGTTTGCCATAATTGTAATGAAACACCCAAAATACAAGTTAACTGACTGTATACAATTAAAGCCTAGCTATTTTGGAAAGTAAGATTTAGAAGTCCTCTTTTGAGTCTTTCAATTTTTTCAGGAATAAATCACATTGGGATAGTGCAAGGCTGACAGACATGGATGCCATTTGCTACTGGGAATGTTACCGTAAGAAACCAGTGACGAGTAGCGGTACGGGTTTGATCAGGAAAGCTATTTATGGCTATTGACTATAGCTTCAAAATCTATACTAGGCCTATTCTACAGTCATAAATGAAATGGGGTTTAACGTCCTACTGCTGCTCCGAACTGGGCTAATAAAGACAGGCATACGCCATACAGTGTGCTATGAGGGAAATTTTGCCAGACCGCGGCACTACAGCCTACTCTTATATCGAATTCCAACTGTCAATGGATCTTTTATGTGCACACCAATGTGTATATGGTATCTCGGTTTTTCGTCCCATCCGAACGACTTGACTAGCTGTCCTTTTGTCCTGCATCACTGACAAGGGGAACCACACCGGAAAATCTGGATGAACTTTCTCAGCCAATGCAGGGATCGAACATCCGACCTCCAGTTATTCTATAGTCATAGACATTTTCAAGACTAGCAGGATTGATCAATCATGATTGCACCGACCACTCATAATATAGCTGCAATTGACAATAATCCAATAACAAATCAAATGCTACAAAAATATAAATACATGTCATTTCAATTGACCAATTAGCATTTTCAATATCATACTATACTATCCATTTCCTTGCATTCTTTCTTGTCGATTGATATCATTATTATGAATTTATCGACGCCCGGACGGGCACCTGCTAAAAGTTATATCCATTAAAAAGTTAAATTACTTTTATCTGTTATTAGAATTTTTTAAAACTGCGAACTATTGTTGATTTTCACACCTATCTTTCTCTTTTTCATCACTTTGACAGTATATTTTTAGCAAAAACATGTCCTAAACATACATTTTAACAACACTGTAAATATTTGGCTGCCATTTTGAAGTATTTGCTTGGGTTGCCTTGGTGATGACGTCACATAGCCTCCAATTAGCGATAAATGTGTCCTTTTTTTATTAAATCGAAAAATATTTTCTGGTGTAAAATTCTATATTAACTTTAGTTTTAATCATAATTTCATTTTATTTAAGAAAAAAGATCAATATTTTTGGTGGGTGTACCTTCGACCTCGGTTTCGCCTTAGCATGCTAATGGCGGCCATTTGTAGCTAATCCATCCTTCACATCTTCTTGCAGACTAATAATCCTAGACAGTTATTGGGTAAGCGTTTGCAATAGCTAAATTTCCAAGAATGAATAACGTGCGATATCCCTGCCATTTATTTATAACTGCCAGTTCAAGTTGGTCTGCTTACTTTAGGTATGAAAACGCCGGTAGAATACAAGGATGACTCGTTTTTAGGCCAAATGTCGTCGAGTAGCAAAAGGGGGCGAGGCATTTTTGTCCCAGTATTTGTCAAATATTGTCAAAACAGTGCATGGAATGAAAGATCATTTTCTGTTTATTCACTGCAACAGCCTTTTTATGACAGAAAGAAGTAGATAAATATAAATAAGCATACTACAAATGAAATTATTTGCATTGAATCCATACTGCATATTTGATACTGAACTTAATGAGTCAGTGGCCGAGTGGGGATGTTCAGTTTTGAGTCCTAGTGTAGTGTATATGCAAGTGACATGGATCAAGTTCTGTTTAATCTCTCTCAGTCACAATGATTTTGTGGAGAATCTTGCTGCAGAATAATGGTAATCAGACAAGACAAACATATGACAGCTTTGTGCCTTTGATGACTCATAATAGTCGAGATATTTAATTATTATATTAATGTTTTTTTAATGTATCTTTTTTAGAATGACAATCTTGTGTTTTTTGTGTGATTTAGTGAATTTAATATCCCTCTGCTATTCTTACTCCTGTTTCAAAGGTGTCACTTTCTTGAATTTCTTATACCATCAGGCATCAAGCCTGTCTCCTGTACTAGTCTGTAGAATGATTACATGTCATTTCGGTCCCGCGTCATTTCGGACTTACGTCATTTCGGACTCCAAAAAATATGTCCTCAATATTTCGGACCCGGGTAGGTGACGTTTCGGACTCGGTCAGGCGACTTTTCGGACTCGGACGAAAGAAAAAACAATAATTACAAATATATACATTGAATTTTTCAGATTTTATTGAGTCCGAAACTTCGCCAGTCCGAGTCCGAAAAGTCGCCTGACCGAGTCCGAAACGACGTTTGCGTTGAGTCCGAAATGACGCGGGACGGAAATGACATGCTACCTGTAGAATGAGCTTGATGCCATAGCCCTACAACATGTAGTTATTAGTTACGATGGAATCTGTAAATTAGGCCCACATTAATTTAGCATTGTTATTTATTCAATTTTACAAAACAAAAAAAGGCAAACTTAGTTCTGACTAAAAACCTAACTAAGCACAGCTGATAGTAATGACAATAACATGTAAATCAAAGCAGGAGTATCATTACCACGACTTGGTTGCTTGTGGAAAGTTTAGTGCTACATGTATATGATGCTTCATGTATGAAAATGACATTCTTTGACTTGCTTATATTCATCAATATTTATTAACTGTGTAGAGGTTATGTTATTACTTGGGCCCGTGTAGTAGCCAACCCCATAGGACATACCATGTATATGTACATTGTAAACTATATTACCATAATGTACTGATGGAGTACAGTTACTCCTCACAGATAACATAATTAACTTAATAACTTAATAACCCCTCCGCCTCCTGTATACCCACTTGCTGATTTTCCTTGGATCTGTAGAATGCATCCAATACCCTTTTGAGTCTTATCTTTAGATGATAGGAATACTTAGGATTTCAGAGTTCATCAGCTATTACTTACTGAAGTGGTGATAGTTTTCAGTTGTTGAGCAATATGCTTTGCCTTTTTTCTTCGAAAAAATGGCAACCTTAGCCTGATCAATTTATAGAACTACATAAGCTTATGCCTGCAATTATTTGGTTAAAATTTGTGGTAATAAGCATCATTGGTTTGAACCTTTTTTATAAATGCTTGCTTAATTATTACCTTGAAGATGGTATTATGGAATTTTAGCTGGGTGATATTGGATATATATACAAAACATAATTTACATAAATTATGCACCAAGGTTACTGGATAATCAATTGACATTATTTCATTTCCTTTTCTTACTATTTCAGTTTTTAATTGAGCCAAAATGCCTGCCGTTAAGGGAGATGGCATGCGAGGGTTGGCAGTGTTTATTTCTGACATCAGGAATTGTAAGTTTTTGTAAATAATGTTTTTCTTCTGAAATTAAAATCAATAGAAACATAGCTTTTCAGGTTACAGGAATGGAACCTTGTCTGATGTGACTCTTTCATTTCCATTAACCTGTAATATGTTATATTTATAGCACAGCTTTCATGAGTTAACAGGTTTCCACGGAGGCCGAGGTGTTAAACCTGGTAACGACTTGTAACATTGCCACCTGCTCAACATGCTTGTAGTTATTGCACAGAAAACTTTCCCCACTTCTCTATATGATTTCTGCTAAAACTAGCGTAAACCAACAAAAGTGTGCAATATCATTGAAAATGTGTAGTTATTGCACGGTTAAGCTCTAGCCAGTCTGTCAGAGAGAAAACAATCTGCTTGTTCAACGAAAAGAACAAAGGAAGATTTCCCGTCCATTTTACAAATTTTTTTTATTTTATTGCATACTGTTGATCATTGCTGAAGAAATATTTCAAAGTTTAGAAAGATGTATTTTGGCAACATGATGATCTGTTACACTGTGATTATATAAATAGAGGAACTATATGATCAATTTGTTTATATCACACAACCGTCTCCTTTGGCCTAGTTGGTGCCAAAAGTAAGATATTAAACCCTGTTTCAATTCAATATACAAACATGTATATAACTTTACCCCCCAGAATTAAACATATATTATGCAAGAGCTAAATATGCCTATTGCAGGTCTGTCTTTAGGCCTGAAATGTTATCTGAATTATTAATTAGACATTAATTAACTTATCAAGACCATAATCAACTCTCGATGCCATCGATAACCTGCAATATTTAGTGGATTGGAATAGATTTTTTGAAAAATAATTAAACGGAAAAATGGATAATCGAGACTTTGTTTTTTTAGTAATGATGATCGAGGCTAACCTAAAATTCAAAAGCTAATATCTCGGTTCAAAATGGAGCAATTTGACTGAAATTTTCAGCATACTCTATTTACGTTACCTCTTTGAACTGTGTACCTTAAGGCTGACAAAATGAAGTGGATATGCGGAAGGCTTATTGAATGTGATTGTCTGTATTGTCCCATTCCACTTGTTTGTAATAAATACCAATGAGATTGATCAGTTTTATTTGAATTTAAAGGTAAAAGTAAAGAAGCTGAGATAAAGAGAATAAATAAAGAATTGGCAAACATCAGATCTAAATTCAAAGGTAAAATATCTGGGATATTGTAACATGAGACGTTTGGAGATTTAAATTTTTCTCGATCAATATTATATTGATTAATATTTTATTTTCTGTGTGGCTGGGTATATTAAACATGAAAAGGCTATAGTTTTGAAGGAAAACATACAACAAATTTGATGCCAAGACTGATTTTGAAAATAACACATTGTATTTGGTGTGTTTTAGGAGATAAGACATTAGATGGTTACCAAAAAAAGAAATATGTCTGCAAACTGTTATTCATATTTTTGCTGGGACATGATATTGACTTTGGTCACATGGAAGCTGTCAACCTACTTAGTTCCAATAAGTATACAGAGAAACAAATAGTAAGTACAAAGCTACAGCTTTATATATAATATATATAGGTTAATAAAAATGTTTTGCAGGGTTTGCACTAGATCTAAGATTAAAGCTGTACATGTAAATGAAATCTAAACAATAATGAAAATGGTGTTGCTAAAACAAAAATGTATATATGTCAAAATTCGATAAAATTGCAAATGTGGTTTGACTTTACCTTGGTAGTTGTGCGTTTCTACCCTGAATGTATTAAGCATTTATTCTTGTGAACGTTTTAACTAATTTATTTAATTTTGTCTCGATGCTAATGTATGCTTCCATTGTGTCATTTTGTCTGAAAACAAATTAAAACTATAATATGTTATTGATATATTTTTCAGGGGTACTTGTTCATCTCTGTTCTTATCAGTGCTAGCAGTGATTTAATGAAGCTTGTTATCCAATGTATTCGTAATGACCTGGTTAGCCGTAATCCAATCCATATTACTCTAGCTTTACAATGTGTAGCTAATATTGGCAGTAGAGAAATGGCTGAGTCCCTCAGTATAGATATTCCATCATTACTGGTATCAGGGTATGTATAGTAATAACTTATTATTATGTTTATCTGTAATCCGATACAACTTATTTATATTGTACAGGTTTAAAGTGACATTTATGGATTTTATTGCTTTTTATGTGTTGATTTGGTTTTATTTTCATTAATCATGTAAACTGAGAGATGTCCAAAATGAATTTGAAATCAATAAACATTCTGACTTTAATTGTAGAGTAGATTTATCACTTATCGAAATCTAACATCAGATCAACCAAATTCAACACTTTAACTTTAAATGGGTATTTTAATTTTGTCATTACTGTTACCTTAGATAGTAAAAGAAGTAAATAATTATATTGTGTTATTTCAGAGATACAATAGATTCTGTAAAACAAAGTGCAGCTTTAACATTGTTACGTTTATTGCGCACAGCTCCTGAATTACAAATGGGAGAATGGACATCTAGAATAATACATCTCCTTAATGATCAACATATGGTTAGTTAATTCTTTAGTTTGGTTACTTGAATATGTATTTTAAACATGTAACCAAAATTTCCTCATATATTTACTCTTAGCCTTCATCAATTTACTCTCAATCTTCATCAGTTTACTCTTAGTCATAGCCTTCATTAATGTACTCTAAATCTTTATTCATCTACTCTTAGCCTTCAGTGACTTGGACTCCAAACTCCAATCAAGTTTGCATATCATTGATATGGATAAACACGTCTGAGATTCTTCTTATGTGTGGTGGGGTCAGGGTGGCTAAGTTGGTAAGATGCTAGCCTGGAGGTCAGGTGTTCGATCCCTGCATTGAACGAAAAAGTTCATCCAGATTTTCCGATGTGGTTCCCCCTTGTCAGTGATGCAGGACGGAGGGCCTGACAAGGACAACTGTCTAGTCGTTGAGATGGGACGAAAAACCGAGGTTCTGTGTACACATTGGCGTGCACGTAAAAGATCCATTGACATTTGGAATTCAATATAAGATTAGGCAGTAGTGACGCTGTCCCGGCAAAATTTCCCTCATAGCACACTGTATGGCGTATGCCCTTCTTCATTAGCCCAATTCGGAGCAGAAGTAGGATGTTAAACCCCATTTCATTTCCAATGTGTGGTACAAATTAGTATCTTTAGTGCATATTCACTTTTGTAAATTATTCTGTTTGTTGTATATAATATATGGTAGTTTAATGATATTATTATTTATTAGGGTGTTGTGACATCAGCTGCTAGTTTAATTGAAGCACTAGTAAAGAAGAATCCTGAAGAATATAAGGGTTGTGTATCACTTGCTGTTTCTAGACTTAGTCGAGTAAGTAAATCTCCTTAATTAACAACTTGGAGACTCATGTACACATTTGTAATTTACCTAAAATAACATAATAACGAAATGATGGTAAAATGAAATATTGTATAGATTAAATGAATCTCACAAAAGTTATTTTAGAGAAAGGAATATGTAATGTAATAAATCAAACTCAACCTAATTCCACATCTTCTGAGCATGATTGAAAGTTCATTTGCAATGTATTGTAGCTATATAAGTACATGTACACTTATTTTATGATAACAACCCTGCATAGGTAAAAACTAAAACATCCTTACTTTGATTTTGTTTTTTGCCAGATTGTAACTTCGTCATATACTGACTTACAAGATTATACATATTACTTTGTACCTGCTCCTTGGTTGTCTGTTAAATTACTTCGACTTTTACAAAATTACCCTCCACCTGGTAAGTTATTTTGTTTGTATACGCCAGCATTGAAATGTGGTCGTATATATTGTTATCTCCCTTGTCCGGACGCCTGTCATCCACAATTGCTTGTGGGCACTCTAGAGCTATCATCCGATGAATTTGAATCATCCGATTGAATTGAAATTTATACACAATGGTTTAGTACTGGGACAAAGTATCCTATTGATTTTTAGTAATTAGTCATGAGTTATGGCCCTTAATCAATTTGAAAAAAACTTGTGGTCTCTTTGGAGGCTAAAGTTATCATCTGATTGACTTTCAATTTGAACCCAATGTTTGTGTTCATGAGATAAAAATGGCATTTAATATATGTTTAGTGAAATAAATGACCATAAGCCAATCAAATTTTTATTATACTGATAATAACTCTTGATTAGTGTTTAGTGTCTTGTAAATACTCCTATGACAACAATGATTATGTGACAATCTTTGTGGCATGTGTTGGGCAAATAGTATGACAATCTTTTCCGACACTGAAGTGATGTATAAACCGAGTGCAGTAGCAGTGATTGTTTTATCCAGACAAAATAAAAATTGTAAGCTGTTAAATTTAACTATGAACTCTACCACCATTTGGTCTTTTTTCTGTTGTATTTTTCAGAGGATCCAAGTGTACGTACAAGATTAACTGAATGTTTAGAAACTATATTAAATAAAGCACAAGAACCCCCTAAATCTAAGAAAGTGCAGCACTCTAATGCAAAGAATGCTGTTTTATTTGAAGCTATTAATCTTATAATACATATGGATAGTGACCCAAATCTTCTAGTCAGAGCTTGTAATCAGCTTGGACAATTCTTACAACATAAAGAAACCAATCTTAGGTACATTTATTTCTATTAAACCAGAGACTGTCTTAAAATGTGATTTATATCTGTCGCTATAAATATAGGAAATAATTTAGCAGATTTTTTTCAGCTGCTTGAAGTCGCTTGGCATCATCACCTGTCACATTTCTTCAGACTCAGAAAATAACATGCAATCTTGAGTTCACAAATTTGTTGAATTTATTGATAGGAAGATAAAATGTCACATTTCATTGGCAGAATGGGTATTTGTGTCTATGGCTCTTAACGTGTTGTTATTGTAATTTATTGTGTTATTTTATTTTGGGAGTCACGATGGCTCAGTGACTAATGGTGCTGTCCTTCTAACCTGGAGGTCCTGGGTTTGATCCCAGTGTTGGCTGATAAAGTTCTTTAGGATTTTCCTTTGTTCTTTCTCCCTGGCAAGGGAACAGCTTCCAGTCATACCAAAACCGAGGTACTGTGCACACGTTGGTGTGCACTTAAAAGAAGCACCATTTCCCTCAGAGCACACTGTATGACGTAGGCCAATCTTTATTAGATCATTTCCTTACATGTCATTTATATTTTATTTCAGATATTTAGCTCTAGAGAGTATGTGTTTATTAGCGACATCAGAATTTTCTCATGAAGCTGTCAAGAAACACCAAGACACAGTCATTACAGCTCTAAAAGTAAGTACAGAATCTATGTTGATGAATCAATTACATTGTTTTTATCCATGACATGAACCCATTCATTATCACAACCATTAAGCTCTGTTCCTGTCTTCATTAGCCAGGTAGGCACATAAAACTATGTCATTAAACGCCATTTAATTCATTCATTTCAACCCTGATTTTTAGTTGCCTGGAGCTTGAAGAAGGAAGTAGGGAAGTGTTGATATAGTGGACATCATGATGAAGATATCATGTGTTGATATCATATTAGTCTCCATCATGGAGACTGTGGGGTAGATACTGGAATATATTTTAAATTTTATTTTATAGACTGAGAGAGATGTTAGTGTACGACAGAGAGCTGTAGATTTATTATATGCTATGTGTGATAGAACTAATGCTGAAGAAATAGTTGGTGAAATGTTAGAATATCTAGAAACGGCCGATTATTCTATAAGAGAAGAAATGGTAAGTGAGACCTATTCCTTCACCAACAACCCATCTTAACTGGATGGTTATCCAATCTGTGGTGACTTAAATTTGAATCCACTCTCCACCCTTAAACTTTTTTGTGAGAAAGAACCTTGTTGATTTTATCAATCAGATTCATTGATTTTCTTATCGGTATATTGGTATAGGTAATGTAAGTCGGAGTTACTTTCAGATAAGCTAACTATCTTTACTACATTATTAGTTAAATTTTGATTTTAAGTAACTTAATCATGTAATTGCCACTGAATGAGTTGATACAAGGATTTCAAAGATTATGGATTTGTTAGTACTAAATACAGTGAAACCTGTTGGTAAAGTGTGTGGATCTAGTTTGTTATATTTAGATTTGAAGTAAGTTAATCATGTAATTGCAGGTATTAAAAGTAGCTATTTTAGCGGAGAAATATGCTGTAGATTATACATGGTATGTCGATGTCATACTTAATCTCATTAGAATAGCTGGTGATTATGTCAGTGAAGAAGTAAGTCAGTTATTTTATCTCTTTATAAATGTGGGAGACGAGGGAGAGGAATGTACTAGTCTAAAAACTCAAATATTTGAACTGCTATTTGTGTGAACCTGTCTAATAAGTAACCAGGGTATATTATATAGAATTTTCCAGAAATGTATCATCTTTTACTTAAATTTGTTTGCACCAAAAATGATTGCTAATCAGGAGGTCTCGGGTTGGCTCCCATTGTTGGCCGATAATGTTCCTTGGATATTCTGTCATGGTTTCCCCTTTATCGGTTATGCAGAATGAAGGACCTTATAAGGAACAGTGTTTGGGATTCGATTGGACAAAACAGCGAAATTCTGAGTATACATTGACATGTACTTACAAGAACCCTTGACAGTTAGAATGCGAAATAAGAGTGGTAGTGACGTTGTCCGAGCAAAATGTCCCTCGTATCACATTGTGTGGCATACACAATCTTCATTAGCCCAGTCAGTGCAGAACAATAAGGTCAGTAGGACATTAAACCAAAAAGAAACTTATTCTGCCTCATGACAAGCTGACCATTTCCTGGCAAATTGTTTAATTAATATATTATTGTGATGATTTATTAAAGGTATGGTATAGAGTAATACAAATAGTTATAAATAGAGATGATGTACAAGGTTATGCAGCTAAAACAGTGTTTGAGGCATTACAAGCTCCAGCATGTCATGAAAACATGGTAAAGGTTGGAGGTTATATCTTAGGTGAATTTGGTAATCTTATAGCTGGTGATCCCAGATCAAGGTAATAAAAACAATATTTAATGTGTTAACTAAACCACAGAAGCCTAAATATGAGAGAAAACACAAATTTTTGTCCCCCACATTTCAAAGAAAGCAAAGAACTATTAAAATGGGTTTGTCTATCGTACATTTTGGATCACAATAGAATTTTAATAATAGTGGTTATATTGTGATCAAGATGGGACGAACTAGTGCGAATAGTAGTGCTTGTTTATGTTATTTTACGTGCAGTGAAAAGGTGACAATGCACATCAATATTTTGATAAGCTGTTGATTTGTTTATTTTTGGTAAGGAACAGCAGACCTAAGTGCACTGGTCAAATTACCCATGTAAATAAATCTTGAAACCTTTCCTTTCTGTCTATATTCTTATAATAGTAGTATATATTTTATTTATTTTGTTTTTTAGTCCTATTGTACAGTTTCAATTATTACACTCCAAATATCATCTGTGTAGTCCTTCAACACGTGGATTGTTATTATCCACTTACATTAAATTTATTAACCTGTTTCCTGAAATAAAACCACAAATTCAAGAGGTACTGTACATTGTTTTATATTCTCTCTAATATTATACACTAGAAAAAAGATCAAACAAGCGGTAGCTCTCATTGGAGTGGTTCGACAGTCACCACAAGATTTCATAATAAGGAAATTGAACATTGATGGTTTGCCCTGATCGAACCAGAAAATATGTGGACAAGTGGTGGTTCAATTAGTATCACACTGTCTCACTAACTAGGTGTTCTAGTTTCAATCCCAGTGTGAGACTAGAAGGTCTCTCAGGATTCTCCAATCTGGTCTTCTCTTCTGAGTGTGCAGGACACTGGACCTTGCATGGAAAGACATCTATACACACCCAAACAGAGTGGGCAGGATAGTGTATCGTGCATGGAAAAGCATCTTTTTGCCTACAAAAAAAACATCCCTTGGCAAAATGCATGTCTTAAGTATCCTAGTTTGTACAGAAAAAAAGCAAGCAAAACTGCATTTCATATAAGACCATTGTAATTGTAGGAGAGGACATGAAGATGTAGGAATTAAGACAGATGAGGCCCATATCCTTATAAGTTATATCATTCTAAAACAGTTAAATGATATAAATGTAGGCTGTCTTTGCATAAAATGCTGAACCATTTGCCATGATTAGATTTAATTTCAGTATATTTGACATTTTATTGAAGTTGGAATTGACTGTATATTGTAGATATTGGGTAGTAAAAATAATATGAGAAATCCAGATGTAGAATTACAACAAAGATCTATTGAATATCTTCAACTTAGTTCAAAGGCCACAGCTGATGTACTAGTAAGTGGAAACTACTCGAAACTTAATGCTAGAAAGATCTCTTAATCTATGCTAATTTGTACTTGAATTGATTATTTAACATTTCATTAAGAAAACAAAATCAAAAAAGCAATGTTGGATAATTTCCCAACTTAGACTCAGTTGGATTTGAAACAGATCCATCAAATTGGTGCACGGCAAATAAAGATGTCTATTAGAGATTCATGTTTCGCACAATATTTTATATTGTGAGGGATCCTATAGCACTGAAGTCGTGCTCAAATTCTTTAATGTTATGAAAATATTAGTTTTAAAAATGACCTTGTTAAAGGTATAACACTATTACTATTCAACAGGCCACAGTATTAGAAGAAATGCCGCCATTCCCTGAAAGAGAATCTTCAATTTTAGCCAAACTGAAGAAGAAAAAGCCCTCTAGTGTGGCAGAAACTGCTATTGAAACAACAAAAGAACATAAAGCAATGCCAGCTGCTCAAATAAATTCTGATAGTCAACCAACACTTCAGGTTTGTGTATTTAGGTTTTAAGAAATTTAATCAGGATATGTAGATATTATAGGCTGCCCCACCATAAATAAATATCTCCAAATATCTCGACAATTACACCACAATACTTATATATATATACTAAGCTTTAAATCAGTTTCGCACAATTATAGTCACTAAAAATAAATAATACACTGAAAAATGGTTTGGAGTGTCGTCCATGACATCCAGACACTTTTGAGCAAAAAATAGGTTACCTGCCCTTGTTTTGAAATTAGTCTCACTTAACCAGTCTACCAACCATTCTCCGTCTGATTGACGGGCTGGGATAATCAAGACTACTTTTTTACGAAACATGACAGAAAGCTAGAACAAGAAATTGAATTTACAAATAACGCCCGGTGGGCGACACAACAATTGTTTTAAGAACCTTGTAAAAGTAAAATGAAACTACTGCTAGTATCATTTTCCTGCCCAACCCGCGTTATTCAGAGATATTATTTGTACTAAACCAAAAGATGCCACTCCTTACGGTCTAGTTAATGATAAAGCAATTTAAAAAATAAAACGAGCGTAATTTCTAAAGCTGCAGTAATAACCAATAAACTAAATATTACTGCTATTCAGAATCGTCAACAATAGATTTTTTACGTCTGTAATAGTTATTACAAGTGTTGAGAATTTCACGTGCTGTGGCTATTTATAGACAACATTCTTTTCCTTCAATATCTGAATTATTTCAAGCAAATCCAATTGTAGTTGGGTAAATTGAGTCCTAATCTCTTCTATTTTTGGGTTAACCCTTTTTAAGTGCATATGAATTTAGAATATCACGGAAGTCACTGAGGAAAGTTTATAACTACTATAAGTAGCCCAATAAGGTCTAATTTGATATTGGGGTTGTAAATCAGAAGTTTAATATTATGTTCTTTCAAATTCTTCTTATTTTTAAGATCAATTATTTTTATTAAATATCTTTAATCTAAATACCATTGTCTCCATCATGGAAAATTATAACTTTCTATAGAGTTAAATTATAAATTTCGATAGAGTTATAAATTTGTATACAATTAAATTATAAATTTTTGAAGAGTTAGATTATAAATTTATATAGAGTTAAATCATGAATTTATATAGAGTTAAATCATGAATTTATATAGAGTTAAATTATGAATTTATATAGAGTTGAATTACAAATTTATGTAGAGTTAAATTGCAATTTATATAGAGTTAAATTATGCTGTTATTCATCTTTCCAGATATCATCACCTAGTAGTGCTGGATCTGCTGATTTATTAGGATTAGATATTGGTGGTATGTCAGCACCAGTAGATTCTAGTTCAAGTGGTGTTGGTGGTGGACAATCAGCTAGTGATCTATTAGTAGATATACTAGGTGGGCCAGCACCAGGTGGAATAGGTGCAGTAGGTGTTGGAACAACCAATGGCTTAGATTCAAGTGGTCTAACAGTTGGAGCAGAAGAAAACTTTTTGAAGTGAGTTTATGTGTATTGAGATACATATAAATAACATATTGTAAGGGTATTTAGAATGATTTATTTCCCTCGATAATCTTGTAAAATATTAATAATTTAATGATTCCATAATTTAATGAAAATCAATTGATCATTTTCGATACGTGTCGTTCAACATACCCACCCAGTTCAGTAGGTTATTTGTTGAAATTTTGCCATAGTCCCAAGACTTTGTAATAACTTGTCTGAACCCATTTCTCTATTGGCTACTGTCACTTCAGTTTTTGTGTAATGATCTTAAACTTTAATGTTCTATATCGACTCAGAAAAACCATTAGCATTAAGAAATTATAATATGGTCTTGTTTTTGTTTCAGATTTATAACTAAATTAAATGGAGTATTATATGAAAATGACCTGTTACAAATAGGGGTCAAGGCTGAATATAGACAGAATTTGGGTCGTGTTGGCTTATTTTATGGCAATAAAACATCATTCCAATTTACCCAGTTTACAACAAGTATCTCATGTCCAGGTCAACTTAGTACTCATATCCTTTATAAATAAAATCAATGTCTTACAAGAATTTAATTTATGAACCAACCAGAGTAATAAAGATGAGCATATGCCATGCAGTGTGCTATGAGGGAATTTTTTCTGGTGGCAGTACAGTCTACTCATGTTTCAATCATAAAGTGCTGCCAATAGTTAGGTTTATATATCATCCGACATCAGACACCTTGTTTTTTTGCCAGGCCCTACATCACGCACTGACAAGGAGAAACAAAAATGGAAAATCCCACTGAACTATCTAGGCCAAGATCATTTTGCGATAACAAATTTTGATTTATTTAATTTTCGTTTTGGATCCTACTTCATTATTCTAAGCATAACGTGATTTTTCTTCACTAAAATTTAAGATACAATTCCCTGTAAAGTTATTGTGTGTGTAAAGTATTTGATAGAAAGAGAATGGGGTTTAAAGTCCACTCGACACAGACTCGGTTATTTCCAGGCTAACTTAAAAAAAACATATAGTTCAATTTTATTCAGTTTTAGCTGGCTCCTAGGGGTCTTTAGCAGTGGGTGGAAACCGAGGGGAACTGGAGAAAATCCACGAGGTTGGACAGGTGTATTCAAGAATGAACCATGACATTGACTCAGTAACAGGCCCTATGGTATAAAATGCATGAATTAAACCATACGGCCATTTATATTGTTTATAAAACCTTAACAGATGTCACAGATAAGTGTCACAGAGAAACCTGTAGATACTGTAATGGAAGGTGGTGCCCAGGTACAACAAATGTATAATATAGAATGTATTTCCGAATTTACAGATGCACCTATACTCAATATTAGTTTTACGTAAGTTAAATTTATTTCTAAAAAAAAACAAAAAACAATTACAAATGCACCTTGGCTCAATATTAGTTTTACGTAAGTTACATTTATGTCTGAAAAAAATTACAGATGCACCCAGAGTTGCAAATTTTTCAAAATAAACGCAAATATTTACGGATGCTGCGTAATTTACCCCGACGTGACAATAATTAGATTATTGTATTTATTGTATGTAGTAGTTTGTACACTATGTCATCAATTTATGTTCTTCACATGGCATTTACACATCGCTACTGTACGTAGTCTCTGTAGATTTTTATATTTCCTCTGATTTCATTCACTCGTTGCCTGTCAATTTATCTTTAATTGAGCAACAATGTTAAAACTTGGGTATATAATCATCAGTGAAATGTCTTGACTGAGGTCAATGACAGACATTTTCTGCCTTAGGTTAAGCACAGATAAGCAGTTTGATTTATCAATTATTGGATCACAATGACATCGAATGCTACTTAAAGATACATTATGGGAGATAAGATAAAGAGCTGGCAGTTCTCACTATAATAGTCAAAAACTAGATAATGTAAAGGCAATTTGCTGAAAATTTCAGTCAAATTCATCCACTATGAACCGAGAATTAAGCCATTGAAATGTCGGCCTAGCCTTGATCATCATTACTAAAGTCTGTATGATAAAAAACATAGTCTCGATCATCCATTTCATGATTACATTATGAATGGAAGTCGAGCAGCCAATGGGAACGTAATCCATTAAAAATCGCGGGCTAGCGATGCCATTGAGATTTGATTATGGTCTGGATAAGTTAATGTCTAATTAATAATTTAGATAACATTTCAGGCCTAAAGAAAGATCTGCAATTGCCAGATTTAGCTCTTGCATAATGTATGTTTAATAAATAAAATATTTGAATAAATTAGTTCTATTGAATTTACATGAACATGCTCTTTTTTGTATGTACAGCTATAGTGGATCCAATCAGAAGTTACACTTAAAATTACCAGTTTCAGTCAATCGTTTTATGGAAGCAACAGAAATGAATGCTGATTCTTTTTTCACAAGATGGAAGGCTCTAAGCCAGTAAGTATATAACTTAGAAAAAGAAGTCTCAATTGTGTTCAAGAAAAATTGAGTCTAATTTTAATTCTGTTCAAAATCAATCCAAGACATACTATTTTAAGCCATTTTGAAATGTATAGTTATTTTTTCATTAAATTCTCTGCCAGTGGACAAAGTATCTCTTGTTTAAACTGAAATGAATCATATCATTTTTTATTATAGGCCAGAACAAGAATGTCAAAAAATCTTTAAATCTACTTCATCACAAGATACAGAACTTACCAAAGCCAAGGTAATGGAAACATCTTTTATTACTGCTACACAAATGTTATATGATAAACTATTAGAACTAGAAGATCATGCATGTTTTGGTGTCTCAACTTCCTTTTTGTATTTTCTCCATTGTTGTCAGGAGCCATGGTGGCAAGTGGGTTAAACACTGGCTCGCTTGCCTTTAGGTCGCGTGTTCGATCCCAGCATTGGCTTAGAAAGTTCATTGGTTTCCCCCTTGTAAGTGGATAGGATGAAAAAGAGTAGGCCATAGTGCAGTGCCGCTGTTTGGGCAGAATTTCCCTCATAGCACACTGTATTGCATATGCCCATCTTCATTAGCCCAGTCGGAGCAGAACAGTAGGACGTTAAACCCTATTTCATTTTATTTCCATTGTCAGGCAAGAATCTTTTGAATTGACAAAATTGCAATCAAGTGAGATATAATTCAATCCTGTTACAGTTCTGGCAGTCCATAAAACAGAAGTATCGTGAAATAATAAATCATTTCAGCCATGATATAGTCTGTTGGTGCATGCCTTATACTTAAATACTCATGCTTTATGGATTGACACCTTTCTGGTTGATTTAATTGTGGAAAGTTTGGCCAAGTAAACCTATTGTCTTATTCTAATTTATTTATTAATAAAGTGATTTTTGATTTTAACCAGATATTGGGTTTTGGTTCAAGTGTATTAGAAGGTATTGATCCTAATCCTGATAACTTTGTATCAGCTGGTGTTATACATACTAGAAATCAACAAACAGGTGTACTCATCAGATTAGAACCTAATAAACAAGTAGAGGTGGGTAACATTATCATTCAGATATAATCAAAACATAAACAAGTAGAAGTGGTTAACATAATCATTCAGATACAATCAAAACATAAACCAGTAGAAGTGGGTAACCTAATCATTCAGATACAATCAAAACATAAACAAGTAGAAGTGGTTAACATTATCATTCAGATACAATCAGAACAAACAAGTAGAGGTGGGTAACGTTATTATTCAGATACAATCAAAACATAAACGAATAGAAGTGGTTAAAATAATCATTCAGATACAATCAAAACATTAACAAGAGGAGGTGGGAAACATTATCATTAAGATACAATCAAATTAAAAAATCATTGTAGTTGTATATCTAAGAATAAGATTATAGGGAAGCTAATTTTAAAGATACCTTTTAGATCTTCTTAACTTGGTTTTAAAAAGATCTCTAAACACTCAAGTTATAATTTCAGAGAATTCATTAAAAGCTTGTGCGCAGAAGGCCAGTACTATGGTTTTCGATAATTGGGTCAAGATTTTGAATATATTATACAAAATTTGTAACAGTTGCCCTCTTTATTTACAGATGTACAGATTAACAGTGAGGTCAACAAAAGGTAGTGTAGCCAAAACTATTTGTGAATTTCTGGAAACACAGTTTTAGACCGGAGAAATGTAGCCAGGTTACTTGATTGGGGTCCAACATGAGGAGCTTTACACCCTGCTCAGTGACTTATCATATATAGATACACAAGACAACATGTAGACAAGACAGCTTGTGTAGACAGATGTAATATGTAGAAGTAGTAGTCAGAAACAAGGGGTCAAGGCTAATTTCTAGTTTCATTTTCAATTCATATACATTTTGATGTAGTATTAGTGACATTTGTCAGTCCCCAAATGATGCCTTATAAGTTTTTTTAAGAATGATTTATGTTGGCTAAGAATAGACTGGCAACTGGTTACATCTTAATTTGATTCTGTGAATAATTCATATGAAAATCATGTAGTGAATGGATTTTTGGAAATAGGCTGAACTTTGATGGCATTTGGGGACACGACAATATAAGTGAATAGGCAGTAAAAACTATGTGATCTTATTGTTAGTTATTATATTTATTACAAGTTTAGAAATAATGATATGGAAAGAGGTTTTGAAGCATTCCCTTTTGTGTCTTTCTGTATAATGTTTAAGTATCTACTAGTCACTAGGATTGTTTAGACTAGAGTTTAATTATTGGCTGTTTTAGAAAAGAACTGTAATAATATATATTGGATCTCTCGACAGTTTAATCCGTGTAAAATTGTATATTTCACTGTGTATAGATAAATATAGATATGCACTGTACTATTATTGTATATGTACACTCTATTAAATGTATATTATTGTAATAGTGATAGTAGATATATTGGTCAAAACTCAAAGAAGATTTAAATATATGCAATATAATGGAACTTGAAAGTATTAATATTTATGGTGGTTTCTTATAGCCATGCATTAAATATTGCTTTTGACTAAGAGTTGAGACATCAAAAGAAAATTTAGCTCAGTTATCAGTTATCAATATTACTGTTCAGTCATGGATATAAAATAACTGTTTACGTTCTGTTTATATTAAATATTATTAAAGTGTTTTTCAGAATATATATAATTTTTCACATCTTAATCCATGCTAAAATGAACTCAAAAGGATTATTTAACATTTCATAAAGAAATCAGTGAATAATAATACGTGGTTGATCAGTGGCGCTGGCCTGTGGTGAATATATCCTGCATATTGCCTGCAGTAGATACTGAATTTTGACAGATTTTCAGTTCATCATATCCTTGTAAATACTCAATGGAATTGAATACACATTGCTATTTTAGAGTGTTTCAAGGCTACTGTAAACCAGAATATTTTTTTTTCCCCCTGAAAACCTAATCATTTAATCTATATGTCCTAAATGTTATAAACTAAGGTAGAATTCACATACTATTAAGAACAGTTAGTTAACTGGGGGGATTTAAGAGATTCAATATTTAAAGTTTTCAGGAAATTGATTTAAGGAACTTGTTTGTAGGTCACATAATTTACAGTTTTGGTTAATTGTTAAACATAGCACAATATTAATTGGAGGAAATTCATTTATGGAGTGGAATTTATATCCTGTTTTATTTTAAAATGTGTTCATCTTACTGTGGCTTTCTAGATTAGTGACTTATAAATACATGTGGCACGCAAATATATATAGTGCTACCGGTACTTATCAAAAGTTGGGATTTTCACAATATACAAATGGGTTGAGTTGACATCAAATTAGAAGCATATCTGGGGTCATTTTAAGACTAAATTGGTTAATTGCTGTTTAAATGGGTTTGTTATATTTTTGTTTTATTATTCAGAACATCAACTTATACTTCATTCCTATGTTATATATTTATTCCCACTCTGTTGTATATTAATCTCTTACTTTGGTTGATATCTTGATATTAATAAACTTATGAACAGAAGATAAGTACAATAACTGATTTAATGAAGACAAACCAGCCATAAATTTACATTTTAAACTTCTATAATAGATTTGAATATTTACAATGCAGTGCTACTTTTAATTTTACGTTTGTGGTGCATCTATTTATTGTTTACATTGTTAAAATAGATTGTCAGTTCGAACGTGTTCAACATCATATTGGTAGCTATAAATGAAAATAATTCAAATATCACAACATAAATTTTACTAGAATATGTTTGCGGTGGAATTTTGGTTGGATTTGTTTTTCTTGAATTGAGATAAATGGATTTTGGTTGGCCATGAAGTTATGATTCATATAAGATATTCTATATTTTGCATTATTTGTGTATGTAAATGTATATTTAATTTCCATATTATCATTATTTACATAGATCAGAATTTTTACCATACTCAGAAGATAAAATGAATTGAAGTTATCTATTGTTAAGATATTTTTTCTTTTGTTTTGTTTGTGTAAATAAATGGTTAATTTTCTTATCTTTATTTCAAAGATGTGAAAATAAGCAATGCCAGCTCTGTTAAAGTTTTCTTATTTTGCTGTGGTTATCATGATAAAAATACTTGTTAGTATGAAATTATGTTCCGCTTTTGTAGATATCTTGTACATTTACATTTTCTTACTTCTGTGCAATAGATTATATTGCCGAGACTGTTATATAAGAATAAAATGAATATGCATATTGCTAGAATAACAAAGTTATCTTTTTAAATAATTTGCTTTGTTTTTCATTTGAATTTATTTAATCACCTGAGAAATACTTATAAATTACTTACCCTATGATTAATCGTAGTATAAACCAATATTTATTGCATTGAACAATGGCAAATGTTTTATAATAGGTATATATACAATTAGTTGAATGCTATATAGATGGTAACTCGTACGTGTAGTAAGGTTGTTGATTGCTTTTATTAGAGTCTGTGTTGCTCATTCTTAATCAAATTAGATATAGAGGTTTCTTCTACATACTTTAAATTATGGGCCATCTCTTTAAAGATTCCTCACTTTAAAAATCCATTATGTATAATTAAAAACATTGAAGTGTTGGCTAAATATATGTATGGATGAAAAGAAAAAAAAATATTAGAAATTTTGCTCACTAAAATATGAGTCGAGCATTGGAAATTAATTTAAATATGGTCCAAGAAATAATAGCTGTAGAGAGTATTATAAGTTATATGTTCTCTTTAATTGGTCTTGATGACATCTTTATCATACTCATGTAATAAACATTGTTTTTAAAATGACAATTTACAGAGTTTTTTTCCTATGAATATCACTGTATTTGGAAAGAATCGTGTTGCAAATTTACTCTTTTCTTCTGTTTTCGGAATAATAAATTGGCTTCATCATCTAGTGATTGACAACTCTAAATATGATGATTGTAAGCATTCGAGAGCTACCATTTGTAGATATGGGTATTTTATCATATCTTGAGGTCACACCGGTTTAAAAACTGCCTGATATGGATGTTGGGTTAGGCTTAATGGACATCATAAACCGGACAAAGAAGAAAGGATTACCGGTAATGGTCAATCTTTTGAAGCACAGTTATATGTTGACCAGAGGTTCAGGTACAGCGTTGGCCACATACAAAAACTTCAAACGCCCTATTTAATCCAGTTTGACAATTTTATTTGCTTTTGACATTATTTTCAGGTTTAGAGTTCTTGCAGGTTCAAGTTCTATTAATCCAAAATGTTAAAAATAATAATTAAACAAAAAATAACAAATGGTCCTTTACTGGTGTCCAGTTTCCTCCCAGAGGCTAAAGACCCTGAGGTGCAAGTGAATTCTTGAAAATAAAAAATTAAAAGATGTTAGTCCCGAAATGACTTATTTTTTTCGATGGTACGTGACCTAGTTTGTGTGAGTGGACAGTTAAACCCCATTTCTCCCCTCTCTCTTTCTCTCATTTAAATCAGTGAAACCAGGTAGCCTATTGAATTTCAGCGATTTCCGTTGATAATGTTGCAAGTTAGGGCCCTTGTTTCACGACAAAAGTTATCATCTAAACCATATGGAATTTATCTGCATTATATAAATTAATGAAACGAAGAAACCTATTGAATTTAAGCAATTTCTTTTAATAACTTCTTTATGGCCCTTGTTTCTCTTTGTGAGACCTTGTAAACGCTCGAGGGAGTCACGGTGGATAAGGTGCTGGCTCGCTAGTCTGGAGGTTGGGTGTTGGCCGAAAAAGTTCATCCAGATTTTCCGGCATGGTTCTCCCTTGTCAGTGATGCAGGACGGAGGGCCTGACACGGACAGTTGTCTAGTCGTTCGGGACGGGACGGGACGGGACGGGATGAAAAAGTGAGGTCCTGTGTACACATTGGCGTGCACGTAAAAGATCCCTTGACAGTTGGAATTCGATATAAGAGTAGGCTGTAGTGCTTCTCTCCGGGCAAAATTTCCCTCATAGCACACTGTATGGCGTATGCCTGTCTTCATTAGCCTAGTTCTGAGTGGGACGTTAAACTATATTTCATTTCATTTCATTCATTGTAAACGCTCAACAATAATAACTTGTAGAGTTATGGCCCTTGTTTCACTTTGTTGAACCTTGTTATGGCCCTTGTGAATGCTCAAACACAACAGCTACCATCCAATCTGTATGAAATTTATATGAATCATTTGAATTAGTGAAACAAAGAAACCTGTTGAATTTCAGCAATTTCTGTTTTGTTTCTTTTTGACTTATGGCCCTTTGTTCACTTTGTGAGACCTTGTAAATGCTTGAATGACAAAAGTTATAATCTGACATATATAAAATGTATAATATGCATCATTTAAGTTTGTGAAACAGTTAATAACTTCCAGAGTCATGGCACTTGTTTCACTTTGTGAAACCTAGTAAATGCTCCAAAGACAAAAGTTATCATCCAATCTGTAGGAAATTTATTTACTCCATCTAGATATTAGTGAAACTTTAATTTTACCAATTCCAGCAATCACTTCTAGAGTTATGGCCCTTCAATGGTTCGAACAACAAAAGTTATCATCCAATCGATCTGTATGAAATTGATATTATTTAAATTAGTAAAACAAAAATGGCTGTCGAATTTCAACAATTTCTGTAAATTACTTCAAGTCCCAGAGTTTGTAGAATCATGGACCTTATATAGGCCTATAATGTGAACCCTCAAGCCACGAAAATTATAATCTGAAATGTATGAAATTGTCTTGTAAATTCCCCCCCCCCCCCATTACCCACAAGTACAAAAGAATAAATATGTGACAACCCTTTAGTCGACCCATGTAGGATTTAGCTGCACAATGTGCGTATGTCTCGTTGCCCGACAACCTATCTTTTTTTAACGCGGAGACTGGGTAATCACGTAGAGTTGTATGCTGAATCGTCCAGTCATAATAGTTAGTACTTCCGGTGTAAACTGGGTTGATTTCACGTGTGTTTGTTGATGATTTATTTTTATTTTTAAGGTATTTATATCAGGTATTTACAACTGACATTTGAAAAATATTGATTCTAGCTAGATAATGGATCCCGAATTATGAACGCATTAGATCTAATATAATAATATGAGCGAATAAATCCAATAAATTAATAATGTAATTCAAGAATGTCATTTTATCTTTAATCCTGCCCTCCGCTCCTTTAAATTCTTACTTGTGCCTGTGGAAATTTCTAGTTCTTCTAGAATATCTGAGAAAATGAAAACTTTTTTGTTCTAGACTAAATCTATATCATAAGAAATAGACATTCCCTCGTTTTAGTTGCGTCAAATACATAGAATTTGGAATAACAAAATATACACGTTATTATAGTCAACAAAAAGGTTTGTTGAAAAGGTTCATGAATGAATTTAGATTGTTGTTGAATTTTGAATCAGCCTAATTAAATCTGCTAAGAAGGTTGACAAAATTTATAAAATTGCTTTGTAAATTTCTTAGCTAAGTATAGCATTCAATTAATAGGCCCAACTTGAAATAAAATTATGATGAGGACTAGACAACCAGTGGCTCCTACATTATGTACCGGTATATGATGCACCATTGGCATGTATTTTGGTAATTAGTAATAAGCTAATTTAAATAATCAGGAGAACATTTTTCATAATATTATTTTAATCGTCATTTTTTTTTTTAAGCTTAGAGCCTATAAGTTCAAAATGGCAAGTAGTGGAGATGGAGATAATAATAGAGACCATGATGAATCAAGAATGCCTAAAGACATGAAAGGTTTATTGAGATTATGTGCTGAAGTTTCAGATCCTAGTAATGAAAATAAAACTAGCCAAGAAATAGTTAACCAATTGGATCCAGAGGTAAATTTAATAAGCAGAACAACTGAAGTATTTCTATCTGTTACAGGACTGGAAAATAGAAATAATGACTTTTAGTTTAGTTATAGCTGACAAAATGTCAGACATTAAAGGCATTCTTACGAGATTCTGATTATGGCTGATCGATTTGCAAATCCCATTCAATCACGTTTACGGCAAAAATTAGCCTAATCGGTTTCATGTAATCATTGTATTTACCACAATGGTTCACCAAATCGATTATGCAAATCTTCCAACTTGCTCAACTGCCAGATTGACGATTGGATTTCCAAGATGGTGTCCTCCACAAGCGACATGGCGTTTCTGATATTAGTTCATTTTCTGTTGAATTTCACATTAAAACATACATAATACAAATAACTGGACATTTGGGAACAGTCAACTGGTACAACTCCTCATCTTTATTTTTGGGCGGTGTCTTCAAGAACAGAATAAAGAAAATTTAATCTTTTAACATTATTTTTGAATTCTTCAGTCTTCAGCCATCCATATTCCTGAAGCAATGGCCCGAGAAATCCCTCTTTGGCCATTTCTGGATTGACATCTGATACTTGAGCTTTTAAGAGAGTGTGTCTATTCTTCCCGTTCAATCAAATCTATCCCATTTACAGCAACATGACAGCCCTTCGTTTAATTCTGGGTCTTCCTTAAAAATTTGGACAGTGATTTAAGGTATTAAAAATGGTAAAAGTATGTTCGTCTCCAGTATTGTTTACATTGTTTTTGATTTGATAGCCTCGTTTGTCACGCAATTAGTTTTTTTGCAATATACTGCTACGCACTGGTTAATTGGGCTTAATAAGATTGTGAGTCATGATGTAACGTAACATATTTGGTCCAATTTGGAGCTCTGTTTTAAGCGTAATGCTTCTGTAACGCAGTTAGCTATTGGTTGTTAATCGAACCATTGACCAGTCATAATTTGGAACAGAAATTTGCTTTCGTTAAAGCAGTGTTTAGTGGGATTAGGTCTAATCAAATGTAACGCTGCGAGGAGTATGTCAGCCATCTTGCGATGCAACTTGTCACGTTTACGAGAACCGATTCGAATACTAATTCTGGCGTCTAGAGCATTCCCTAGTGGATTGAATAGTTGAGTGATACAAATATCATTATTGTTTATTAACAGAAACAAGTGTTTTTAGAGAAGGCTCTGTCTGATCTAACTGTTAATCCTGTACAACGTATGAAGGAATGTATACACATTATAAAAACAACACCAGATACTGATGACGGTATTGAAAATAAACTTCAAGCTTTAGAGGAACTTTTAGAATGGTGCGGACATATAGATTTTGCAATAGGTAAGTAATCTGATTTATAAAATTTAATGCTATTTATGGTGGTTTACTGCAGAAACATGTTGATACAGGTAAGTGTTCTGTAGTTTAAATTGAATCCAAAAAGTCAAAAACTAAGGTAGAATTATTAATTCCCAGGTAAAAAAATGTTTCATACATTTGGTTTTTTTTATACGGCGTATGATTTTACAAACAATTTTGTTTTCGACTAGTTTCTTCACTTCTTGATCCCTTCTTTCACCTACTTATTACAAGTTGTATTCTTGCTGTTTTTAGAAGTAAGGTGTAAATTTTACAAATTCATATTCCAATATTGCTTTGTAAAAAGTCTAAGTTAGTGCGCATAATTTCATTAATGATTGTCAAAAATTGGCATATAAAATCGGTGTCTGACGTTATACACAAACACCATATAGTATCGTATCTATTTGATTTAGATTTAGTCATACTTGACAAAATTATGCAAAAATATGTATCCAAATAATAATAATCTGTACTGACAGTGTACTCTGGCAGACCATCGATCTTTAATATAACGCAATTTTTGTTTTCATCAAATTTTTCACATGACAATTGATTTTAATGCACATATTTTTCAGATTTCCATAAAATTGGTGGATTCGAAGTATTTTCATCTCTATTAAATCATGAAGATGCAGAGTTGAGATGGACATGTTTAGAACTAGTAGCAGATTTAGTACAGAATAATCCTTACTGTCAGAAGGCTGTCTTAGAAAATAATTTACTTCCTGTTTTATTAGAATCGCTTGACAAAGATCAAAACTCAACTGTTAAAACAAAGGCATTGTATGCTCTGTCATGTAAGTATTTTTGCTAAAATATGACATTTCCTACGGCTTAAGACACACTAAATATGTACTCAGATTGATTATTTTACATTTAATTAGGACAACAGACTCAAAATACCAACGCTAGATAATCTCCCGACTTGGATTCAATCGGATTTAAACTAGGCCCATCAGGTTTTTCCGCTACCGATAAATGATGGCGGCGTCTTCTTACGCTCGAGCAGCATAGGTCGGTGAAATTTCGGTTTCACATATCTGTGTAAATACTGCATGGAATTGAACCATTTTTGAACTGATATTTGTTTTAGAGATTCAATTTTCACAATATTGTTGTTTGAAAGAGATTCATATTTTGTAAAATGGTCCATCAGGACCCTGTTTCACAAAATCTTAAATCTTAAAATCGTCTTAAACTAAAATGGGAAATACAGGTACAGTCCACCCGTATATTTTATTGTAAAGCAATTTCAGCAATTAGATGACGCCTCAAATTAGAACCACAAGAAAAAAAAACAACACTCAAAACCCCAGTAAACAGAAACCTTTGTTACTGTGTTATATATGACCGTATGATACAAGTATAAATTATACTATTTTCCAATAATTAAGACAACAATAACAAAAAAAAAAAATTAAAAAAAAAATCAAAAAAAATCTGAACTTACTTCATATCTATTGTCATGAAAAGAAGAGCACTCTTATCTACAAAAGAATATCTTTGCGTACTATGGTTTAAAATGGCGAATTTCTTGGTATTAGAAGACCTAATGTCTAACGCCATATCCAAAGTGTATTTGCTTACACCCTAAGTGCCTGCACTGGAAATGTGCATTGTGCAGGCGCAAACAATTTTATCTAGAATCTATTAAAATTGCACCTAAAGTTAAAATCAATCTACGTGAAACACATCAAATTTAATATTTCCTTTAATTTTAGTTCAAATCTATTTTAGTTATTTTAGCTTAAGATTTTGTGAAACAGGGCCCTGGGCTTTAACTTTGTTTTTATTTTAGGTTTGTGTAGAGATAACGAAGATGGACAAAAATTATTTACAGAACAAGATGGTTTCTCGGTATTAATGAGAGCTATGCAAACAGATGTGGAAAAACTGAAAATCAAGGCTTCTTTTATGTTAAATTCTATGTGTACAAGTCATCCTAGTTATAAAGGTAAACTAGTTTATTTCAGTGATATTCTAATTAATGCTCAGAGCCATAATAGTTTTTACTTATCTCTCAATTCTAGTGCTCAAGGGGGATTGGATGGATGAATGGTTAGCACGCGCGCACTGTATCATAAGGCATGTCATTGAGTCTACTGGCGTAGTTTCGAATCCCCGGTTGTACGTGACAAGGAGTAGGGTCGCCTGTCCAACCTCGTGGGTTTTCTCAGGGTCCTCCGGTTTCCTCCCATTGCTAAAGACCCCTATGCGCAAGCAAATTATTGAAATAAAATTTTAAAAAACATATGTTAGTCCCTAAATGACCTAGTTTGTGTTTCTCTCTCTCTCTTTCTCTAGCGCCCAAGGTAAGATATCTAATAACGAGTACTATATGGACCATCACGTCCATCATGGAATGTTTATAATATATAAAGTGAGTGAGTTTTAGTTTTATTAAAATCACCTATTAAGTTTATAATTGGGTTTTTTTTTTCCGATATATTATGTGATATTGTTTTGTTGGTTTTTTTTTAGATATATTATGTGATATTGGTATGGTAGAACAGTTCATAGGTTTAATTACACAGGAACATGGGCCATTACAAGAACATGTAATGAATGCATTATTAACTTTAATAACAGATCATGATAGAGCTAGAGACATTGCTCAACAACCTCAACTTAATCTGCATGATATACTCAAAGAAAGGCTTACTGTACTTCAAGACAAACCAGAATTTGAGGTACTTATTTTCAGATTATAGATATTACCATGTTAAATGAAGGTGACACAAAATTGAGCCTTTTCTGTTAACTTATAATATACAAAATCTGTTCAGTTGACCACACTGGTACCTTTTATTCTGGTCTTCTCTCAGATTGTCCATATATATAAGTTATTTATAGCAATCATATCAAGTTCAGTTGTTTGTAAATTCTTCAGAACAACTGTATTTATGGTATGCTTACATTAGTTGAATTTTTCAGGAATATTCAACCGTGCAAGATATCTATCAAAACAGAATGAATAAATCTGTCGAAACTATGTAACTTTACAAGGCATATTAGGTAAAGTCAAAATATGTCCATAGATGTGGCATAACTTTTGAAATAAAAAAGGGTTCCATATTAGACAGTGGGGTGAAGTAGAAAACTGTATTATGTGTAATCTTTATATATCTGTTTTTTGAGTTTCATGCACTGATTAACTATCATCTTGATCATTGACCCGCCTACTAGGTAAGGCGCTGGCTCGCTAGCCTGGAGGTCGGGTGTTCGATCCCTGCATTGGCCGAGAAAGTTCATCTCGATTTTCCGACGTGGTTTCCCCTTGTCAGTGATGCAGAACGGAGGGCCTGACAAGGACAGCTGCCTAGTCATTCAGATGGGACGAAAAACCGAGGTCCCGTGTACACATTAGCATTCATGTAAAAGATCCCTTGGCAGTTGGAATTCGATATAAAAGTAGGCCGTAGCGCCACTGCCCGGGCAAAATTTCCCTCATAGCACACTGTATGGCGTATGCCCGTCTTCAATTAGCCCAGGTTAGGTGCAGAAGCGTAGGACGTTAAACCCCATTTCATTTCATTTCATTTGATCATTGATCCCAACATAAGGTTATTTATAGCTAGACTTGAATTATAACCTCTCTTTACCAAAAAGCCTTTGATACTAGATTACAATTAGAAAAGTTTAGAAGACAAAGACTGTACATTATGACAATGTACTATACATTAACTCAGTCATGATGAACCATACTACTTACTTCCAGTAGTGAGTACCGTATAGAAGACCAGTGAATCACGGAGTTATTCAAGACCCTCACTGACAGAGAGCACTGGATAGATAAGACTAAATACTTTAAAGTTCATACATTTTATTATCAACTTATCAACTTACTTTTTGGCCTTTCAAGCATCTCACATTTTCTTTTTTTCATTTCCAGGAGGAGAAAGAATATGCAGAAAGAATATTGAAATTAATCAGCTCAAATGGTGGTTCTAGTGGAAATCAAGATGTCTTTCGGTAATAAGAACAACAGACTGTTGTGTATATTGAATGTGATCGTGTTTTAGTGCACTTATTTTTATCAAATCCTAGAATTTGAGAATATTATGATTACTTGTATTATTACCAGTAGTTCTATTAAGGAAGCTGTTATTATCAGTTTTATGTAATCACTATTGCTCATATAAGTTATAACTTATCACAAGGAATTTATATGGTGTGGATGTAATTAGTGATGTAAATCATCGAGAAATTTACATTCCTTGGAAAAAACCCCCCAGAAATTACTGCTGAAAGATATGATCTGGCTTCATGACTTACTGAACATTTCTAATTGCACTGTGTTACCAGAAAATGCTTGTTTACACATACTTTGTTAAACTGTGTATTGTTTTAATATTAGAAAGGAACTGCTATTGTTATTGTACTAAATGTGCACTATATCTAATACATGTCGTGTCAAATCAAAGTTCTTGTCTCTATTATATTGAAATTGGGCTGATGAAGACAGGCATACATAGTATGAGGGAATTTTACCTTGACGGCAGCACTATGATATACTCTTATTTTGATTAAAAATCCCTCAAATAGAGTTAAAAGATTTTAATTCATAAAAGTAAAAAAAATACTTATGGAGTCCAATCTTGGTTATCAGTAGCTTACAACAAAACGGTGCTTAAGGGTGTTGAGTAGTCTAAGATACACACTAACTTTTCAACACCAATCTTATTACATATTCCTGAAGCAATGGCCGAGAAATCCCTCTCTAGCAATTGATACTTAGACTGAAAACTTTTTCATGGAGTGTGTCCATTCTCATTTGCTCATCGTCCAATCAGATCTCTACTGAGTACAGTAAAATAAACAGAATTTTCATAACTGCCGTTTATAGGGGGTGACCTCCGATATAAATTCTATAAACGTGTCTGTTTGTACCAATTATTACTGCCTACCTTAAGTATTCAATAATATTTACCCATTTTTGTGAAGAGAATCCATGAATTTTTTATTTTATTAAAAAAAGCACGTGTTTCTGTCCAGTTTGGTGAAACACAACGGACAGTTGATTAAATATATTAAAAGGTGTTGAAAAAATTGTTTGTATGCTCCAAGAGATGACAAAAAGATTCCATGTGTGCGGCGAGAGAGAGAGATGGGGTTTAACGCCCAATTGTCACAAACTAGGTCATTTCGGGACTAACACATGCTTCAATTTTATTTCAATAATTCGTGTGTAGGGGTCTTTAGTATTGAGAGGAAACAGGAGGTTGTTGATCAGACTGTTGAACCAATTATAATTTGGGACAGAAATTTGCAGCAAGTACCGCAGTGCTTTAGTGGGAATAGGTCTAATCAAACGAAACACTGTGAAGAGTATGATTTTATTAAGGCATTGCACACTTGTTCCATGTGTAAAATAAACCAGAGGACACATAACAGTCCAACCATTTGTTGTGTAATAATAGAGATAGAAGAAATTTTTTTTATTAATTTGTAGCAAATGAGATCAGTTATTGAATAAATTATGAGGTCATACACATCGGTCACATGACTGCCTCCAGAAACGGTTTCACACTGGATGATGTAACCCAAATTCCCTCTACAACGCGATGGTCCAGGTCTACCATCTATCACAACTGGAGCATTATTGGATTTCTTTTTTTGATGTTCGAAGACTACCATTTTTAAATGTATAAAACGATTTTGAGTGCGGAGGAGTGAATTGATGTAAATATTTACTTTTTACATCCAAATTTTTGTATTTTAAAACTTGTTGACGTATTCAAAGAATTTACCCAAGATCACAAAATCTCGTTTGAAGGTACATAATGAACAAAGATGTTAAAATACCTTTAGTTGATATTTTTGAATGTTTTTGTTGCTTAAAACGTCTTCTGATCTACAGTTGGGTTTATTGATATTTGAGAAAACACAGTCTATTCTAAAAAGTGAACTGTATGTTTCTTGTACTTGCATTTAGCATTGTTCATGCCAAATTTGATGAAAATCCATGTAGGCATAACTGAGAAAGATCAACTTTTGTTGGCATAAGCACCATTGTCTATCATGCCTTTGCCTTTTGGACTAAGTTTGGAACATAGTAGGTTAATAAAATGGTACTTTAAAGGTCACCGGAAAAGCATCAATTTTTTTTTTAAATAATGCAAGTAATTATGTCAACATATCCTTTCCATAAGTACAACAGGAGCCTGAACGTCAATATTAACTGCAACAGGTAAATTTCAACATTAGTAATTTCCGCCGTTCTCCGTCGGTAGTCGGAACTTTCCGTCAATAAGCAATCCGTGACGTCATTTTAGTCCTTCTGCACATAGAAATATAGACTAGAATATGAGCAGAAGGACTAAAATGACGTCAAATTTACGGAAAGTTACGACTACCCACGGAGAATGCCGGAAATTGCTGACGTTGAAATTTACCTGTTGCAGGTAATATTGACATTCGGGTTCGTGTTATACTTATGGAAAGGATATGTTGACATAATTACTTGCATTATTTAAAAAATTTATGAACCTTTTCCGGTGACCTTTAATTGTAGTTTACCACCCCAAATAACAAAAAATGTCATCAAAAAAAAATTATTGCTATATTTATGATTAATCAACAACCCAACTGTAATGTTTACATTGTAAACTTTGATTTATTCATATCTCCCAAACACACCCACTATATGAAAAACACTTCTAAACATAGAAAGCTTTTTATTGGAGCTAACATTTAATACAGATCATATATTATGACAACAAGGACAATAAAAATCTTTTATCACTGCAGGTTACTGTATACAACAAATTTACAGCACAACTTCCTCATTAAAAATACTACGAAACATGAAAATATACACAACAAGTGAGATTGTATGCAATTGTATCAAAAATAAAAATTAATATAAGGCACAACATGAACTCTAATATTCTACAGTATATTAAAACTTAAAAACAGTACAATATTATCTTAGCATTGCAAGTTTGCTGTACATAAAATAACTGTAACTCTATATATGAATAATATACATTTAGTGTTTGAAAACAAATTCAACTATCACCAAAAGCTAAATATGTACATCAATATATAAATTGTCTTAAAAGCATATTAATAATGCATACAAGAAGTTGTAAGAATAAAAATAATATGAAATAGGGTTTAACGACTGGGCTAAAGAAGACAAGATTATGCCTTACAGTGTGCTATGAGGGAAATCTGGCCTAGACAACGGTACTATGGCCGACTCTTATATTATATCTCCAACTGTCAAGTATTCTTTTATGTGCACACACAAATTTTTATTTTTTTTTTTGTACCATACGGAAAATCTCAATGAACTTTCTGGGTCAACGCTGGGAGCAAATATGGAACCACCAGGTTAGCGAGTCAATGTTTTACTCACTGAGCCACTGCAGCTCCCTGTGTGCTTTAGATCAATACAGTCTTTTAGTTTCAAGTTTCATAATTTCGACCATGGAGTAGAGTTGTCTACCTAATCATATCTAAAATCACCATTTCTCTCTCACTGATGACGTAACAGAATGAGCTACCACTACCACTGAGATTATATTCTTTGTAAGTATTTCCTTCAAAGTGCTATTTAGATGAATTATATAATTATGCTACAATATACAACACTTATATGACAAAAAAATATGTGCAAAACAAATCTGATCAGAACTAAATTGCTCTGGGGTTTAATATTATTTCAATAACCAATCTAATACAAGAAGATTACAAAATAAAATCTTATTTTTAAAAAAATTCTATTTCATAAATTGTTTGTGGTAAGAAAAGAAAAAAGCCCACACAAATAGAAAAAATATTTTGGAATGATCTGTTTCGCTGCCTTATATAAAGGTACACTTCATATTTATATAGGACATCTGACCTGATCAACCAGTTATCACAGGATAGATGGCAGAGTCTTAATACATACACTTTCACTAATAGGCTTCTAGTATACATCAGTTTCTCCTGAATAATTAGTGTTATCTGTCCGATCCGTCAATCACTTGCAGACATTTTTTTAACGTTATGTGAGCGTCCTAAAATTTTGAATCATTTGAACGAACAAATGAGTTGTTTTTTAATAATAAATTAACGTACAAGATATTACTAGACTAATATCAAAATGTATACAATATTATCACGTAATGTATGATTTAAAAATGTATAGCAAGACAAAGTAATAAAATAATGATACTGCAATATTATTATGTTTTGTCTCACTAGAGACCATTAAACAAGTTAAAATACAGATACACTATCGTGCACATGCATTTCTATTAAATCATCTCATAACCGTCATCTTCTATAATTTAAAATAATGGCATGCCACCATCATCAACCAATGAAATCTCATAGGTATTTTAAAACGATATAATTATGATGTAAAATAATATCTGGTGTTTAATAATTTAAACCCATTTTATTTACTAAATACTAGTGTGACTACATCTACTATAACTATATAATAAAGTCTGAGCTAAATGTTGAATAATGAAGCAAGTGTTGTAATATTGCTCTACATAAATGTACAGATATTAATAAAAAAAATTCTGTACACTTCTCTAATATAGAAATCTTGTGAAATTTGAGCTCTTATAATTATAACAATTAGATATAATTTATCATTAAAGGCAATGGTTTACATATCTTTATAAATGCGATAATGTTTAAATAATGCCTACCATACATATATATGTTCAAGTGTATTTTAGTAAACATTAAGTCTTACTTTGAATCAGAAAAAACATATGTGCTTACGGTACATAATTTCATTTAATTACCACATTAGATAATTAATAATCGATAGAGATGCTTATCAAAATTATCTTTGTCTACCTGCAGCTGCTTTTCAATCTCTATTCAAGGCAATGTTAATGGAATGTTGCAAAAAAAAAAATCTTAATATTATACAAATATACTAGTTTTGTTTAGTATTAATAAAGTTGATATCAAACAATAATTTATTAAAATATGTCAATTAATTTTACAAGACCTAAGTTCACCAGTAGCTCATTTACACTAAGCAAGCCACATAAAATTTAGTCAGCTCATCTCAAAATATATCTTGAATAGTCAAGAAATTTTTATATGCTGCATTTATTATACAAAACAAGTTTCAGATAGAAAAAGCCTGATTAAAACCTCACCTGTAGAAAATAAAATCGGCAGTAAAGAAACAAACTGTTGCCATGCAAGATACGCCCACATTTTGCAAGACATGGACATATATTTTAAGTTTCATCAAAATCAGATAAAATTCTGACCAGTAGAGTATCCACAAACTAAAAACATGATTTTTCGTACAATCAGGGGCCATAATCCATGAAGTTTCGATCCAATATCAAAAGAAAATGAGATCTTTTGGAGATAAACCTATATTTCAAGTTTCGAAATATCCGACAAGAATTTTGGCCTCTAGAGTGCACCCAAAGAAATCGTGGACGGAAGGACATGGGCAATGACAATATACGTCCACATGAAAATCTAGGCGTATAAAAATTGATTGTATAAAAGAAAAAAGAAATGTAAATTTTTATAAATTAAAACTGTCATCATGATAATCTTCAACTTCCAGATCTTTTGCAAATGGTGGGGTTTTCTTTTTGTTCTTTATTTGTCTGAATCCAATACATGTAAATACAATACCCAACAACATTCCACCAAATAAACATCCCAATGCCACACCTGTCACTGTATCTGAAAATAAATGTTTAAATTATTTTCAAAATCTTGTTGACATTGGACATCCTGTATGTTAACTTGACAGGAACATGACCAATTATTTGATGACATCAATCAAAAATTCATTCCTATTGTCCTATGAATCTAATAAACAATGCTTTATCTTTCTGTGTAACACAGAGTCTACATTTATTTAATTATGAACCAATTCAAATGCATTGATTGATACCAAGATGTATACAATGTTAGTCCAAAATAATGTGGAGATATATACCACAATGTCAAAGAATTTTTATCTTGATTGCAATGCCATGTAACAAATAAATTTGGTCAGGTTTTCAAGCATAATCTATACTCAAATAGTAAATTTTACTCACTTGCATAATAAAACTTCTCATGTCCTCTAGGAAGGATCTCTCCCTTTCCCAACAAGTCATGTAAAATCCAACTCCACATCTCGCTATTGAAATCATGCACAAAATCTACCTTGGATTTAGAGAGATCATCTCCTGTCCATATAGCAATACCTACAAAATATAATTTACCAGTATCAATTACCTGCTCATCGCATAGACCTGCATATTCTGAAATTTACACTAAACTGTATAATGCATGGTTATAAGATAATTCTAAAGTTTATAAATAAGCCATGGTTAGGAAAGATTTCTTAACTTATCAGCCATAAGGTTAGGAGAGTATTCTAAGAACAATAGTTAGGAGAGAATTCTAAACTTTATAATGCCTAGTTAGGGGGAATTCCAAACTATATAAGCCATATAGTTAGGAAAGAATTTTAAAAATTTTAATGCATTGATTATTAGTAGGAAATTCCAGAGTTTATAAATCATTGTTAGTAGGAAATTATAAATGTTATATTAGAAGGAAATTATAAACTTTTTAATGCATATAGCCAGTAGGAAATTATAAACTTTATGAAGTTTAGTTAGTAGAAAATTATAAACTTTATAATGGATGGTTAGTAGAAAATTATAAACTTTATAATGGATGGTTAGTAGGAAAGTATAAACTTTATAACGCATGGTTAGTAGGAAATTATAAACTTTACAATGGATGGTTAGTAGAAAATTATAAACTTTATAATGGATGGTTAGTAGAAAATTATAAACTTTATAATGGATAGTTAGAAGGAAAATATAAACTTTATAATGCATGGTTACTAGGAAATTATAAACTTTATAATAGATGGTTAGTAAAAAATTATAAACTTTACAATGGATGGTTAGTAGAAAATTATAAACTTTATAATGGATGGTTAGTAGGAAAGTATAAACTTTATAATGCATGGTTAGTAGGAAAGTATAAACTTTATAATGCATGGTAAGTAGGAAATTATAAACTTTATAATGGATGGTTAGTAGGAAAGTATAAACTTTATAACGCATGGTTAGTAGGAAATTATAAACTTTAAAATTAATATTTTAATGTACAATATTATGTCGTTTTTTTAAAGTTTACCTTTTAAGTTCATGTCTTTAGCAAACTGGTATTTAATCCGTAGACTTTCCACATCTTCATACCATAGTTGATGATAGGTTGTACCTGAACTTGTGTTTTTCTGTAGTAATATGAAACATAGTATAGAAAGTTTATTACCAAATGAAACAAGTGTGTTTCTTCACAAAAATTCTATTATCTGTTTGTGAACTCCAAATAAAAGAAATATTTCTACCAAGAATCCAATAGAAAGGCTGCATTACCAACAAAATCGTAAACATTTATAGTTTTCTTCAACACAACGAAGTCATTTTGATATCACCAATGATACATTTTTAGTTCAATGAGGGGTCTATAGCAAATTTAAGGAGGGAACTCCAGAACAACTGAAAATTTGACTTGTGACCAGATTTCGTCCAGATTTATTGTAGGTAGACTTACCTTAAAGACATAACTAGATATATGGTAGACTTACCTTAAAGACATGACAAGGAGCTTTATAAGCATTATTCCAGTGTCCTGAATGGAGTACTTGAATACCCTTCCATCTTAGTACATCATCTATTGGTACCCTCTCTCTGTTTGTTACATCACAAGTAGATGTATTGTCTTTATTATGTAACTTACAAACCATTGTAGTCTCCTATAACAAACAACCATAATATCATACAGGTCAGGGATCTAAATTTAAAATTTTATCACTCAGTTCAGTTAAGGCATATTTTTGTACATTTCTCCTATCTTTCAAAGAATATGACAATTTATAATTGTTTGAACACCAAGAAACAACTTTTAATGTAACTATATTTATTGTCTTAAATATAGGTTTAATTATTTGAATTGCCTGGGTAAAATCTTCAGCCTGTAATAATTCCAAGACATTATAAGATTTCATAGGAATAGTAGTATATAGATTACTCACATTATAAGATTTACAAGGATAGCTATATCCATGCCATGGTATAGCCATAATCAATCGTTCTTCTGTTATTCCTGCAGTTACATACTCATCAACACCTAAAAAAAAACCATTGCAATACTAATCTCTAGTCATAGCGTTTCAAACATCAGCAAAATCCAACAAAAGAATATATTTGGTGTCTGGAATAGCACTTTCACTGCGAACTTTGATCAACGGTCATTTTTCTGACATTTACTGAGTGTATTGACAGTAATTTACACATTAAAACTTTTAATTTAACAGTATTTATTGTGTTACAGTTAAATTCTTTGAAAATCTAATTTTGTGGCATGTAAATTCAGCAGGTCAATTTCACTGCCAGTCAATCATGACTGGCAAATATAACTGACACAAGAGCCCTGGACTCGACATTACATTTTCATCCATTCAAAATGCTGTATCAACAAAGGTATTCTTAAGATTTATTTTCATTGAAAGATATACCAAATCTATCGAAAAATTGGATTGATAATAGATTTTTCAGGGCTGAAATTCGATACAAGTGTGGTCAGTTCCTCTACATTTTTTTTTTTGCTATTTGACTAAAGTAAAGGTTTTTTTTTACCTAAGACTAACTTTGTAATAGGAATTGTAGCTCTAGCTTTACAACCATATCCTTCAATGTAAGTATAACTGTCTGGACTAAGCATAAATCTATCACAAGATTTAGCTAACATACTAGAAACACTTTCACTGTCATCACTTCCGCTAATTACAGGTTTCCATGGTACTATACAGTCCATCTAGTAAACAAAATCACACTTTGATATACGAGAGAAAGAGAGAGAGAGAGAGAGAGATGAGTTTTAAAACACTTTGAAATAAACAGGCCGATCTATAGCAAAACCCCAAATTGTCAAATAAATGTCTTGTTCCATCATAATACAACTTTGACTTACTCTTTGAATGGCATTTATTAGTAATTGGAACATAATCAAAAACACACTTTTATGGAATAACAATTACTATGGTTTATTTCACTAAAGATTTCACAAGTCGTTATCAAATTTGTGTATATGCTTGATAACGACTTGTGAAATCTTGTTGAAACATCGCAGTGAAATAAACCATAGTAATTGTTATTCCATAAAAGTGTGTTTTTGATTATGTTCCAATTACTAAATGCCATTCAAAGAATAAGTCAAATCTATTTGTGTATATGATTGATAACGACTTGTGAAATCTTGTTGAAACGTCGCAGTGAAATAAACCATAGTAATTGTTATTCCATAAAAGTGTGTTTTTGACAATTCTGACTTCATTAATTTTCAGAAAAAAGGAATAGGGATTGGGAAAAATAACATAAAACAATTTCCTATATCGTAAAAATAAATACATATCATTAGATATCACATGCTTTTGTAAAAAAGTAATAAAGGTAAAAACAGGAATATAATAAAGAAGATAATGGAAAGACTTCAAACTCAAACAAAAATCATACTGCACAATTTCATGTATAACAACAAGGCAGTTGATGTCACATTCTGAATACAACTGATTTATATTTAATAAATATTTTGTTTCCAGTGTATATTTCAGGGAACACTTTAAGATATCTTTATGACACTTTGTACACAACTTAGTTATGTCTTTTGCTCATCAAAATTTTCTCAGTTGAATAATTTTTATATTTCCAATAAAACAACTTTGAAATAGTTTTTGTAGAAGGGCATGGGATGTTGTTACATTTTCAAAGAGTATAGAGGGTTACCTTGCCTGGCGGTGAAAGAAATGACTGTTTCAGTTTAGCTAGAAACAAATCTATTTGAACACGATCGTCTTTTTCATTCTTGGTTAACCTGGGGATAAGAGGCATAAGATCCAGTATAACTACGTCTGCCCTTGTGTCTCTTGCCTTGATTCTAAACTCCTCCACCCAAGATATGACATTTGTATTATTAGAACTAAGGTCATCAAAAGCGGCAATATCATCTGTAGATGAAAAAATATATCTTAACAAAATATTTTAATTCCACAGTACACATTAAAAATATGCGGATATTAAGGTAATCGGGCAATCAAACATGAAATAATTATAGGTAACTTCAGCCACTAGAGGGTCAACAAGAATTTTAATAGTTAACAAGAACAATAACTTTTGATTAAAGCATTAATAATTAATCATATGTCAATATGGTCAATCACAACTGATGGCTCTTGCAATGTCTTCAACATATAAATTATATAGGATGCTAGTATGAATATTTGATTTTCCAATCTAATTTTACCTAACTTTATGATGATACCATATTTTTTGTGTTGACTGTGAGCATAGCACATCACATCTAAATTATGTTTATCTTCATCTACTACTGTTGTCACGGTATCCCAATGCCATTCTTTGTATTCAGAACTACCATTAGTCAGTACAAAAACCTAGAAAAAAATAAGAAAAAAAGAAATGAATTGAAATGGGGTATAAAATTAACGTCCAACTGTTCTGCTCCAACCGAGTTAATGAAGACTGACATACGCTATACCGTGTGCTATGAGGGAAATATTGCCTGGACAGTGGTGCTACGTCCTACTCTTATATCAAATTCCAATTGCCAAGGGATCTTTATATGCACTCCAATGTGTACACGGGACCTCAGTTTTTCTACAGTATATTTTGTTTCTTGCAAGGCTTTCAGTCCTGCACCACTGACAAGGAGGAACCACACTGGAAAATCCTGATGAACTTTCTTGGACACCGCAGGGATTGAGCACGGGACCTCCCGGTTAGCGAGCCAATATCACTGAGCCACAGTGGCGCAGGGCCTGGCAAGGGAAATGCATAGTTGTTCGGAAGGTTCAAAAAGTCCCATGTGCACATTGGCTTGCACTTAAATGAAAGTTTCAATTCGAAATAAGAGTAGGCCGACCGGACAAACTTTCCCCCATAGCATACTGTATGGCATATGCCCATCTTCATTAGCCCAGTCAGTGCAGAACAGTAGATCTTAAAACACCATTTCATTTCCAAAACAACATTATATTATTCTACAGAAATAACACATGACACAATTACATGTATGTTGAACACAGGGTTACTTATATGTTTATTTCTGGCGATAATTTAAGGAGTGGTCTCTCGTCTTTATCATGCAAAGAACTAAGATGAAATATTAACATCCAAGTAACCAACCTGTATTCCAAATAATTATTATAACTTGTGTTAATCTGTGTCAATTACTAAATACTGTTTGAACAATTTACTCTACATGTGATTAATATATTTCATTAAATTACTCTTTTAGATTATTGCAAAACATTAAGATGGCTAGACTTATTTGATTTTGAGTCACTCAAAAATTTATTCCATTGTATTTCATTGTATTCTGTATGTTTTTATATTTTGCGGGATGATAATCTCTTTGCCTATCTCTATTCAATTAAGACCAACCCAATTTAATATATTTATTCTAATTTGACCCGAATTAAAGTGATTTACATAGAGCCTAGTTCATTTAAATGAATGATGTACACTGGAAGTTGCATTTTTAAAGCAGCTTGCTGTGGAAACTTTATGTTGTTTGTGAGGACAGATTTCCACTTTTCTTTTATAACAATAAGAGAAAATGAATCAATGACCTATTCATCTTTAAAATTTAAGTAGGAATGAAGAACAATCATTTCTTAGTCATGTGATTTCCCCACATAATATTCAACAATGGACTGTTTAAAGTCACATGCAACAGTTGATTGTGCTGGATATAATAGTATAATTTATTTGTCCTTAATTTCCAATGAAGTTCAAAATTTATTTAAGGTTTTCTGTTCAGAATTAGCTCAGATTTCTGGATTTTTTTTAGAATTGAATATATGGAACATGGAATCTCGGTTTTTCGTGCCATCCAAATGACTAGACAGCTGTCCTTGTCAGACACTGACAAGGGGAAACCACGTCAGAAAATCCCAATGAATTATCTAGGCCAATGCAGGGATCGAACAGGCGATCTCCAGGCTAGCGAGCCAGCGTCTTACCCACTTATCCACCGTGGCTCCCCCAATATACAAATAAACCACATCTTGTAATACACATTGTTTTCTTGTAATACACATTTAACCACAGTGCATTCATTCTTCACATTTTCATTTCAATGCATATTTACAGTGAGTAATAAATTAATATTATATAACAGTAAGTAATATATTTATTTTAAACCTATACAACAAATCATAATAAAAATAAGATGATTCTAGTATAAATCTTTTTTCAAGCTCTTAATTTCATATGTTAATGGTAGCCTTTGTTGTTTTTTGTTTGTTTAACATTGCTTTCATAAAGCAAAAAGTCCTTTTTATTATTGCAAGCTACAATATTTTATATATTTCATTCAGTACAAACTAGAGGTGTGAAAATACTAAAGGTTAATTATTATATATTGTTTAAAACTGTTTATTATTTAAAGGCCCATTCCATCAGATGAGAATTTGAATTTTTCCTTCAATATCCAATTTTCACAGTTTAATCTATACTAAAATGTACTTAAATTGATAAATTAACATTTAATTAAAAAATAAAATCAAACTATTAAAGGTACATAATCTCCTGTTGACGAACTTTCAATTCATAATATCTTGGTAATACTGAATGGAACTAGTGATATCTCTTTAAGAGATAAAACTTTCATAGTATTGTAGTTTGCGAACACTAAAACATCCCTGTAAGATGCATTATGCAAGATTCAGATGATGAGATTGTAGCTCTTGCTAGAAAATGAAAAGGGAATAATATGTTCATTTCATTCTGATTGGAGTTACTGCCGTTTGAAGAACGGTGGAGTCTCAATTGTCATTGCTACCATTGTTACGATAATAAACAAAGTCTTGATTATCCATTTTTAAATTAAATCATTAACTAGCAATCATGTTTAACCCCACTGAAAATTAAAAGCATCTGATGATCTAGAGTGTTGATTATGAGCTTGATATCTGAATAAATGCCTAATTAATGATTTATATAAGATTTGAGGACAAAAGAAAGATATGCATTAGGCAAATTTAGTTCTTACATAATGCATCTTTAATTGATGACCAGGTTATAAGGAATACACATTAATAATATGTTAAGTACTGTGTACAACAATTAAGTATATTTTGAAATAACTCAAAGTGTATATATAATTAATATATCAAAACTGTTACAGAGTTTAATATGGTAAAATAAAGCCTGCACCATATTGCAAAATGTCTTATAAGACAAAGTTATTTTCCATAAACATTCTATATAATATAAAAGTATGGCAACAATGTAAAAATAAATACAATAGATAACAAACATATAGCATCTAACTTTGCTGCTTCATGGTATGAATAATTCATGTATTGATTCAATAAAGACTGTATATTTGTCTTATGTGACTGGAATTATGTTAATTCATCAGAGTCTGCATGATTCATTCTTAGCAGAATATATAATATATCATTGTACCTGATGTAATATATATATTACTACACTGTATATTTTTGCACACCTATATTTAATATAATAATATGGTTAACTTCAAAATTGTCAATATTCAGAGTGTAATATATACTGTGTACAAAGTCTACTTGTTTCAATTGTATGAAATTTCAGTCATTACATTGAATTGAGATATGATTTCTATAACCTCGCGCGCAGGTGTAAATGGTATTGCATTAATTCTACCTTGACAATTCTTGTTTGAGTATACACATACCTCTTTTCCAACTTCGTCATTTTTTGGTAGATAATCGCAATTAGACACATCTCGACATGCACACGGACTTCTTTTATTTCCAACACACAAAACTGTTATTATTAGCAAGATGAAGGTGTCGTATATTAATTTTTTGTAGGTCGAAGGCATGTTGACTGTTTTCACCGGAATTGCCTTGATTCAGTCTCAATAATACTTGTAATTCCAAAAATTATAATATTCCCCAACGGCAGTGGATTAGTGAGGTGTTAATTCATAAAGATCCAATCCGTCTTCACAATAAAGAACTGTCTAACAAACAGGTTTTATTTGTTGCATTACATCGCCGCCATTATCGGTCGCCAAGAACTATGCGAGGTTGACGTCATCAGCTGTATCTATTCTTGAACATTCACGCCGATAAAGCAAGGTGCGTTGATTGACTTGGCGCATGTTACCGAATTTATAACGCGGAGAAGGGCCCTCATGGGCTGGGGCGCAACATGCCGCATATCGACCACCCGCAACGCACAATTTCTATTTGTTTGTAAAATACTGAAATGCAATAAACATAAAATTTTAGATATAAATGATCGCTTTCTTTTGCATTACCTGAAGCATTACTTGGATGTTTAATCCAAGTTATTTGTCTTTACATGAGATTTTTATTTATGGGAGAGATGTATTTTTTAAAATAATAAATTTTTTTAAAAAGATGACTATTAGCGGAGGTAGGGGCTGGGGGGAGGGGGTCGTCATTAACAAAATATAGTAATAGTTTTGTTTTTCTTTTCCTTCTCTGATGATAAATGCCTATACTCAACTGCTCTAAAATATCATTTATGAGCGGTAATCAATTTTAAAACGAAATGCAGCCATATTAACAATGTAAAATATATATATAGATATTTAAGATTTAGATAAGAAGATCCCGAAGGAAAATTGCAGATTTTTAGTTACAAGAATGCTATTCCACGTTTTTGCACGTTAGCTTTGCGGGATTGATAGAACAGATAACATAAAGCGAATGCTCTTACAAAAATTACCATTCATTTCAACCCCCAAAATGATAATTTTGACATCAGGTTCTTCGACTCATAAATTTACCAAGAGTTCGCGACCATTTATTTTTAAAAGAAAAATAAAGAAAATGAACGTGCAAAGTCACCTACCATCAATTAATGATTAATAGGACAAGACTCATTTGGCTAAATCTATTTGTTAAGGCCAGCTAAATCTATTTGTTAAGGCCAGCTAAATTTATTTGTTAAGGCCTGCTAAATCTATTTGTTAAGGCCAGCTAAATCTATTTGTTAAGGCCAACTCAATTTTTGTCATGGTCGTTGAGATGTAAATAATTAGGGCACGTGATTGTTGGCGAAATAGTAGGTTAGGGTTAGGGTAAGCATTGAGGCTAGGTCCAGGTTTACCGTTAGGCTTGGGATTAGTGACCTATGACGAAAATTTGAGCTGGCTTTATCATTTAGCACCAACCAACTCATTTTGAAAGACAACAAAAAAAAAAAAGACTTATCCACACAATTTTCCATCTCCGACTTTTATTTTATCAATTCTTTTCAAACATACAATTAACTATTACATACAATACCCAACCCGCTTAGAAACAGATCATTTTTATTTTACTATAATAATTATGGATGTTATTTATTTCAGGGACGGCTCTCCATATCATCAATATTGATATTGTACAAACTGCGCACCATACATAAGTGCATTCTGGGAAGACATACCGACGGCTAATGGCGGCGTAAACAATGCGAGAACTAAAAATGAAATGATATAAAAGTCTATGTTTTTCCACATTAAAAATGTATTTATAGACCTGTAGGTTCAGTTGGCAATAGGCCATAACATCTTGTACGTTTTCTTTGTTTTGTGATTAGTTTACTTGCCATATTTAGGATAGAATTGGAACTTTGTCTCTCTCTACTGTCTCTAGTCTGAGTTAGTGAATAGAGACATTCACCTATTTTTTTGATTTTTTTAAAGTAGGCTACGGTACGAGTATAAAGAAAGATTGATTTAAAAAAAGTAGGCCGTTGGACTAAAACTGCAGTAGGCCTAATGAATTTAGTTTTGATAGTCATTTAGCCTTGGAAATCGCATTTTGAGGGCCATTTTGAAACAAAAATGTTACGATTGTAACACATTAAAAACGCAGTGTCGTAAAAATAGTCCTCAGGCTATTGTTACAACAAACAATGCTTTCAGAGCCCTCCATCGGCAAAGTTAAAAACTGAATAGTCGCAAAAATAGTCCTCATAGGCTATTGTTACAACGATGCTTAACCTCCATCAGCGAAGCTAAAAACTGAATAGTCGCAAAAATAGTCCTGTGGCTATTGTTACGACCATCGATTTTTGAATCAATAGATTTTAACTTGACTAAAGGCCCGGATGCAGGAGGCCGTGCCCCCCTCAGCCCACGCCACTAATGCAAACCACTAATGCATGTGGCACTCTGATGATTACCCTTTGCTCCAATGTATGCCCCCCCCCCCTCGACAAAATCCTGGATCTGGGCCTGACTAGGGTTAGGGTTAACCCTAACCCTAAACTTTGCCGATGGCGGGCTCTGAAAGCATCATCGTAACAATAGCCGGAGGACTATTTTTACGACTCATCGTAACAATAGCCACTGCCAATTAAAAATGACAATTTGGCATAAAGAATGGTATATAAATTTATTATAAAATATCGATATAAAGCATTGACAGCATTGTCTTATATATTACTTAGTTGAAATAACGGTGTGTTTGGGTAAATCGTGCTACCCTGTTTTCATTGACATTTATAATATCATATATTTTTTAGACAGTGCAAGACAGAAGCTAATATTAAGTTTTAGATATTGCATCAGTGTTGGTTGGTGATTTTTAGAATCTAGATGGAGGTCAACCTTAAGTACTAAATAATAGATATATTTTTTTTTTTACTAGAATGAAAGATAAGTTGATTAATTTATAATGATGGATGAAGAAAGCATCCTTGATGCGGAGATCCAACAACAACTGGAACTAATTAACCTAGATGAATTAGAAGATGAAGATCCAATAAATTGTGATGAAAATTTTGATGTGGAGAATATTTCCGAGAATAACAGTGATGTTGTAAGTCAAAATTTATAAGAACAAGAATCTCTACAAGGGACTGATTTTTGTATCTAGAGCAAAGAGCAATATTAAATCAGGTTGCAAAACTATTACAAAAAATACAATAGACTATAATTTCTCAAATGTTGAGGTAGACAGACTGGAGGTGTCATTATTTGTATCAATATTAAACTTAACTAGTTATGTTTTTTCCAATGTTTATGATTGTATTATTTACAGCATTTATCAAAAGATCTGCAAGCCTACCTTGATATGGTACAACAACAGTCAAATAGATTAGAAGAAGAACTTAGAGCTTGTGATGATGTTCTTAATTATACAAATACACTGGGTAATAAGAATTCATTTAAAAAAAAAAATAGGCCATTTTGAGTAAGCCATAATTGTGAGTATGGTGAATTCAGCTAGTGAAGCCGAGTAACACCACAACACATGAGTTTGAATAATTCTGAAAGTCGCTCTTGGTCATTGCTAGAATTGGAAAAAGAATAATGAATATTTGAAGAAATGAAATGGGGTTTAACATCCTACTGTTTTGCTCCTATACTGGGCTACAGTGTGCTATGAGGGAAATTTTGCCCGGGCAGCGGCACAATCGCCTACTCTTATATCGAATTCCATCTGCCAGGGGATTTTTTACGTGCATTCCAATATACACGGGACCTCGGTTTTTGGTATCATCCGAAGGACTAGACGGCTGTCCTTGTCAGGCCCTCCGTCCTGCATCACTGACAAGGGGAAACCACGCCGGAAAATCTGGATGAACTGTCTCGGCCAATGCCGGGATCGAATACCCGACCTCCGAATATTTAAAGAAGTTTTATAAAATTGTTGCTTAGTACTAATTACAGTATTATCATTTTTATAACTGAAACTTTTCCTTATCAGATACAAATGTTGCACCTTTAAATGATGTACTGTTAGAAGAAGAGGCTAAGCTTAGAGGAATTGATCACATAGAACTTCAGAGACAGGTATTTTATAGGCATAATTCTCACAATTTAAAACTAAGCATGTAAAAAATTGTTAACCAGTGTGATCTGAAATCAATGAGAAAGCGTATCAGGTGTTATAGAAAGGATAATAATACCCTGCCCATTGCAAAACCCCTATTGGGGCTGTAGTTTGACTTTGGCTTTCAGAAATCAAAGGTACTTGGCAGTGACCACAGTAGCCTCACCGACACCGGTCAAGTTACTGGAATACAAAAATACCATTAAAGATATAGCTATATAAACTTCTCAAATAAATATAGTCACCAAATTTCCCCAAATCATTATTCAGCTGTGAATGTGAAAAAAGAACATTTAAACCTGGTGAGTTAATATAAGAATTTAGAGGCGCTGACTGGATTTGAGAGAATTTGATATTGTTCTAAAAATACAAATGATGATAAGTACTACTGACAGGGTTATATATATTTAATTTGCTAGTTAAATTTTTTATGAATTACAAGTTACAATCCAAAACAACTTTGCCTTTATATTTATGTTATAGATATTAGCTGATGTACTACTGACAGGGTTATATATATTTAATTTGCTAGTTAAATTTTTTATGAATTACAAGTTACAATCCAAAACAACTTTGCCTTTATATTTATGTTATAGATATTAGCTGATGTAGAAAAGAATGAAATAATACTTACAGAAGAAAGCGATGAAGAAGATGATAAAAGTATAGGTGGTAAGTTTGGTAACTCCCGCCCCCCACGAACAAAACACTCCGGAAAATCCACAGAAAAAATACCTTTAACGGGATATGATTATATTTAATATAGTGGTTAAGGTTGAATTAAGAATAAAGATGACTATACATAATTTTAAAATCAGTGAAATTTATTTATTTATTTACCCAGATGAGAAAGCTCTAGTTCTGTTAGATGATCATATGAGGATGAAAAAACAACTAGTAGATCAACTGAAACAAATAGAACAAGAGTATGAAGATAAAAAACTAAAATCAATAGAGGTAAAAAAAGAAAATGGAATGAAATGGGGTTTAACATCCTACTGTTCTTCTCGGACTGGGCCAATGAAGATGGGGATACGCGCCATAAAGTGAGCTATGAGGGAAATTTTGACCGAACAGTGGTGCTATGGCCAACTCTTATATCGTATTCCAACTGCCAAGGGATCTTTAACATACACGTCAATGTGTAAACGGGACTTCGATTCTTTGTCCCATCCACACAACTTTACGTTGCCCTTTTCCAGACCCCTGTTCCTTTTCCACTGACAAGGAGGAACCACGCCGGAAAATCCTGATAAACTTTCTAGGCCAACGCAGGTATTGATCACGGGACCTCCAGGTTAGCAATCCAATATCATCCCCCCTGAGCCACTGTGGCTCCCGGTAAAAAAAAAAGTATGATCTGGAACTATTGGGTGCACAAACAGTTCAATGGTTGAGTTGGTGGGGTGGTGATTGATCTAACAATTCCTAACTAGTATATGACAAGGTATATTGTTCCCTGTCTAATCTTGTTGGTTTATTACTGGTACACAGGTTTCCTCCCACTGCTAAAGACCCCTAGGCACATGTGAATTATTGAAATAAAATTGAAACATATGTTAATCCCGAAATGACCTAGTTTGTGTTAAGGGACGTAAACCCCCATCTCTGTTTCTCTCCCTCTGTATGGTTGTACGTTATCCAATATGGTGATAAAATAGATCATTTCAGGAAAAGCATAATGTCTAGTTTTATTTCATTTTGCTTATATTCAAGGGTATATTAGCAATGGGAGAAAAACGAAGAAAGTTGACCTTTGTAACCGCTGACATGACGTCATTAGCAAAATGGTCAGATCTATACCTAGTTATTTATATATTTATTGTGTTTATAGGAAAATAAAAATAGACAATTAGAGGAAGAAGCTAAAAATAAACTAAATGAAGAAAGGCGTCAAGTTATTCGAACAGATTTACAAAAACAAGAACAAGAACTGGAACAGCTTAAAATGGTAAAACTGATGTTAATTTTATTCTAGATCTATTCAGGGATGGTAATAGGTGTTATTTGAATTACTGGTAGCAGCGTCATGGGAATAGCTATGGGAAAACCCCATGAACTGAATGAAACATTGTCATAAAAATCAAAGTCTTCAAGCAACCATAGCATAGTATGTCATTGTGTAAAACTTGAAATCAAGTGATTATTTTCAACAATAATTTACAGGACTATGAGGTGGAATCATCGAGACTAGTAACTTGCTATAGGCCTTTTATTAGACCTGCTTCGTGATCGTTGATGTTTTTGTGGTTTACAATTTTTTTTACGGAATAGATTATAAAACTAATATAATCGTATGGTATTTTCTTTTTTTTGAACAGACAATACATAGTAAACTAGAAAAAGAATATGAGGAGCAACAAGAAGACATGAAAGAAAAAAGAAAAATATTTGAAGTTGGTCTTAGTTTTAGTTTCATTTGCATGTGACATTTCAAATTTTTTGTAGTTTAAAGTGATATTCCTCTTTAATTAACATAACGGTGGCTACCTTATAAGATGTGTAGATTGTCAAAAAATAGTTTCTGTATCTCAAAAGATACAAAGGATTTGTGTAACCATTTGTTAAATGACGAATATTCACACATGATTTGTGTCAAGACAAATTGCTGCTTTTAATTGACAATTGTTGTTGGTGGCAGATATTCTAAAGTTGTTACTTGGAGGCTACGCTTGTCCCATTCAGCAATTGTGTCCCATATCTTTAAAATTAAATAAAAATCATTATTATTATGTATTAACTAAACAGTATTATGTATTATTTAGGAGAAAATAGCAGAAATGACCGAAACATTAGAGAGAGAAAAAAATAGTTTAAATCAGACAGTTGCAAACCAAAAAGAAAAACAAAAAACCAAAGAAAATGCGTCAGCTACACTGATTCAAAAAACTTTTCGAGGATACAAGTAAGTAGTGAAGATTTATATTAAGTTTATAGACTTTGGGGGTAGTGGTGTGTTTATCTATACTTTTTAACATAACATAAGATCAACATCTGTGAAACAAATTTGTGTCCACCAATCAATGTTTCAATACATGAGAGGCTAATAGTTATTTTCTTTATTTAAGTTCAACAAAAATAAGGGCTGAAAGGGGGGTTTGGGTGGCCAAGTGGTCTAGAGTGCCGCGCTTCGACCTCTAGCTAGCTGGCCGGTCACTTCTGGCTTGCGTTTGTGGTTTCGATCCCTGGTGTGAGCGTATGTGGCTTGGAAATAGGGCCGCCTTCTCAAGCTCGTGGGTTTACTCACTAAGAACAACAGCAAGGGCTGAAAGGTTTTCCTTAGATAATAAAATAGATAGTTATATAAAATTAAAAAAACTGGTTATATATCATCTTGACATTGATGTTCCTGGATAGAAACAAGTTATTTTTTGGTAAATGACAGATGACAGAAAAGTATGACATTGTGAAATCAATAGAAAGAAATGGGAATGTCACATGACCATGATTTATATTAGGATTGATGGATTTTAATATTTTTTTGTATGAGTATGCTTCTTAAATTTGAGTGTGTATAAGGACTTGAAGTCTATATTTGCCTTTTAGTCCGGACTATTGTGTTCTTAATAGTATTATAATATATTGTGTGAGGCCTTACGGTTGTACCACTAGTCTCTGTTACAAGAATCTAGTTATTATGGTTCTTGTGCAGGTGAAGATTTTATTGGTGCCACACCATGTGTCTGCTCATGTTATTCTACCTTAGTTATACCATGGTTTTATTTCTACCTTAGTTATTCCATGGTTTTATGTTCTGTATCCTAATTTATCCTAAATTCTTATTTTATTTAGAGTTAAAAAACAATATGGAGATACATTGAATGCAAGGATAATAGAAGGAAAAGAGAAAAGAATGGAGGACCGAATTAAACAAATTGAAGAAGAAAAACAAAAGATACAAAATCAGGAGGAAGAATTAAAAAGGTGAATTGATTTATTAATATAAACTTATGATCTATAAGGTACAACTTGTCATTATGACATTGTCTATCAAAATTTCTAGTTCCAGTTATTTTAAAATATTAAGCATATTTCTTAGTTAGTGCTTTGAAGATCTGCATTGGGTGGCAAAAAAATAATTGTGGATTTTTGATGATTTGTATACAGTGTATATGCAATTACATGCAGTCCATTGTTTGGAGATTCAATACCAGTCATATACATAATATACCCTAGGTCTATATTGGTTTGCTTTGAATAAGTGAAGTCTAAGATTATTTTTAACATAATATTATATAAATTTATTCTAATTTTTTGTTGTTGAATGTGATATTGCCTCTAGATCTTTAATTAACGTAACGGTGGCTACCTTAGGATGTGCAGATTGTCAAAATAGTTTCTGTATCTCAAAAGCTGTAATGTTTTCTGGAAACAAATATTGTTACCTATTAGTATTACGATCATGACTGTCAACAAAATATATTATTAATATATTCTTAATATATTTTTACAGACAAGAAATGGAAAAAGAAAGATTAGAAGAAGAGAAAAAGAAAGAAGAACAAAGAAAAATAGAAGATGAAAAATTAAAAGCGGAAAAATTAAAAAAAGAACAACAGCAAAAAGAGGCAGAGCGCTTAAAAGAAGAAGAAAGGAATAGAGAGGAAGAACGTTTGAAAGAAAAGCAGAGGCAGATAGAAGCAGAGAAATTGAATGAGGAACAGCGCAAAAGAGAAGAAGAATTGAAAGAAGAGCAAAGAAAAAAGGAGGAAGAGAGATTAAAAGAAGAACAACAGAAATTGGAAGAAGAGAGGCAGAAAGAAGAACAACGCAAAAGGGAAGAAGATAAATTGAAAGAAGAAGAGAGGTTAAAAGAGGAACAGCAAAAACTTGAAGAAGAAAAAAGAAAAGCAGAACAACAAAAAGTAATAGATGAAAAATTGGAAAAAGAAAACCAAAAACGAGAAGAAAAGAGAAAAATGGAAGAAGAAAGATTGAAAGAAGAAAAGAAGAAAATAGAGGAAGAGAAACTGAAGCAGTTAAAGGGAGAGAATAATACTTCTGCTAATAGTATGACAGATGAATTAGAGAAAAGACGACTAGCCTGGATTAAAGACTGTCTACCTTGGAGGTATGTATTACTGTTTCATTGTGCACATCTAGGGGATTAGGTGGACGATGGCTTTAACATATAGACTTTAACACAAAAGCTTTAATTTAGATCATAAGGTTTGAATTTGAGTCAACTGCAAGGGTTTCGATTACACATGTGTGACAGTGAGAAGGGTTGGGTTCCCCAGTTTAATCCCACTGCTAAGGGCCGATACATGCCAGCAAATTATTGAAATAAAATTGTATCATATTTTAGTCCCAAAATAACCTAGATTGTGTAAAGTAGTTGTTAAACCCCATTACTATCTTTTTCTGTGCACATATATTCAAATACAAGTCCTTATCTGTTACCTGATAAATTTCAGTATTTATTAAATTTGATTTATATTTTTGGTTCTGATTTATTTTTTTGTTGTTTTTTTTAAAGCAAAATTAGCAATGAACCATGGAAGTTGAAAGTTGCAGCTTTAAAGAAACCTCCAAGGCGATCTGCCACAGCCAGAAAATTACCTCCCTTAGATGAGAAACTTATCTTATCTTCTGCAGAGTCAAAGTCATTAAAACAAGTAAGTTTATATCATATTGCTATTGTTTTAAAAATTTTCCCCACTGGACTTTGTGTTTTGAATGCCAATTAGGACCACTTGTGTTAACTTCTGCTGCTATTTGTTTGCTATCTAAGTTATTCTTATTAATCTTATGCAAAGGACATTCACTAGTTCACTAATCGACATGCATCGTGTCATTTTGTTGGGATGGTTGGAATTAAAAATTGTCACCTGTACAACAAAGCTGCTGTTTTATAGGAGGCAACTCGCTAACTCAATATCATCCACAGTCTTCGATATTGCAAACACGACTTTTGGTCAGTTTAAATCAACACTGATGTTGTTATCTTAGCATAAAAAGATGGGCTTCTGATATCCAATATTTCAGAGAAAATGAACATTTTTAAACTGGGACACGAATGGCATCTCAAAATGCTTTCATGCACCATTTGTAATGAAGCAACTCGATGAACGAGGCTAAACATATCCCACAGGTGAATACTACCAATGTAGACTGGAATAACCAGATAACAAAGACTGCCATTTAATTAAGACTCTTCACATATTTTGCTGAACATAACTGATTAGAAATTACAGGAAAAATTGAGACGATTGAATGTTTTACTGTGGGGACGCGTGTGTTTTGCAATTAGAATTGTCTCAACAATGTAAAATAATTATCTTTTTGGTATAAAACTGTGCTTTAGTACATTCTAACTTCTTATCTAAATGATATTTAATTTCTCATTTTTTAGGTGACAACACTGGAGTTATTAAACTTGCCAGGTTTTAGTTTAAGTACATTAGGTGAATGTTGGGGATTACAGTATTTAACATTAACTAAATGTAATCTAGTAGCTATAGATGGTTTATCACAATGTAAACAATTACAATATTTAAATCTGCAGGTAAGTATTTTGTTACTACTTAATAAAACATGTACCAGGTGTAAGGTTTTAATATAAATTATGTACCAGGTGGGAGGTTTTAATATAAATTATGTACCAGGTGTAACATTTTAATATAAAAAACATATATTTTTATTATGAAATGTTTAACAGGTAGTCTGTAGATACTTTAGGAATGTAAAGGTAGTTTTCTGAAAAGGCACAAAAAAAAAAATATATGCATATAGAATGTGTTGGTTGTATAAAGACTTCAGAATTAGTATTTTTACTAGGGGATGGCCTGCTGCTGCACGGCTCGAAATATTTGCATATATATGCATATAGAATGTGTTGGTTGTATAAAGACTTCAGAATTAGTATTTTTACTAGGGGATGACCTGCTGCTGCACGGCTCGAAAGTAGTATAACTCTGAAACTGGAAGGGGTAGTCCAACGCCGCCAGGTCTATGTTACTCCCCGAGACGAGCTACCCCTATACACCAAATTTCAGCCTCGGGGACAGCCCTAGTGTACCTGCCAGCCCTGAACAGACAAATATTAGTATAGATTAGAATTCTAAACTTGATGCATTTAGATTGTGGTGTTAAATCCATATGAACTACCAGTAATGTAAACTTCAAATGGAAATAACTGTCCATAAGTGAGAATAGATCAATTTAAATAATAATTGGACTGATATTGTTTTATCAAGTAATTACAATTGAGTATAGACATACTATTTGACTTTTTGTTTTGGGCATCTTTCCACATCATTCTTTTACAGTATTTTTATTTTCCGTGGCCAGATGTACAATGGTGGTTATTTTATAGTTAATTGTTTATATTTTCAGGATAATGTGATAGAATACGTGGATGTAAAAGATTTAGGAAAACTACAAGTTGTTAATTTATCTCATAATAAAATTAGTGCTATACATGGATTAGATGGTTGTATAAATATACGATACCTGGATCTGGCACATAATAAAATCACAAGATTGGGTAAATTGTTTTACTGCTCTTGTAGGAATATTGAACTATACTATTACCTGTGATATTTATTATAGATAATAATTCAGTAAATTTATGTGCAGGGCCAACATAGAAAGTGTGCCAAGTTCTTTCCTTTGGTCATATTGGTACCATATTCTGATGGTAAAATTTTCCATAGCAGTTGAAATTCACTGTTCCTATTTAAACATAGTAATTGTAACATGTGTAAAATGTCTGATCATGAAAATTTTGAAAAGTGTGCCCTGTTAATTACACAGTAACCATTAATATTCCAATCTCAACATGAACATATTTAGCTTGACACTATAATTGTTACAAAATCCTGAAGCAATTGTTATAAGCAGTATTTGCTCATTAAGCTTTGCTTTACTTAATATTGTTAAGTACTAGGTAGTGAAGATTATATCTGTGTACCTATGTTATAACAATCACTTCCAAATTTCAGTTCCTAATTTCTCTGCTACTGCAACTAGCATTAAACTGAACCAAAGATTCCTCAAAAGCTTAATCAGATGTCATTTTGGCTGATATGCAACGTACATTGGTTTAATAGAGGAATGAATTAAAAACACCAATGAACATTTTGACTATTTCGGTTAGTCTGCAAGAGAACTTAATAGACCAATGAAAACAGTCGCCCATAATTGTTATTGATGTGTCCAACGGTTAATAGTAGATAGTGCTTGTAATTGTTGGTTTTTACTTACCTCAGCTGATCATAGTCCAATTCATATTACCATTAATCTGAAATTTTGATGGATTACACTGTAAAATTATGTTATTTATTTTTCATGTATTTTAGGGGGATTATCATCATTAAGAAGATTACATACGTTACTATGTAATAATAATCAACTAATAGATACCAGTGGATTATCTGATGTGGTTATGTTACAGATATTAGATGTCTCCAATAATCATTTACAGTCATTGACAGATGTATATAACTCTTGTCTTCTACAAAAACTAGTAGTTTCTAATAATAACTTACAACAAGTAAGTCACATATTCTTCATCATCATCATCATAATAACCTGCAACATGTAAGTCACATAGGCCTATTCATCATCATCATCATAATAATAACTTACAACAAGTAAGTCACATATTCATCATCATCATCATCATAATAACTTACAACATGTAAGTCACATAAGCCTATTCATCATCATCATAATAATAACTTACAACAAGTAAGCCACATCATCATCATCATCATCATCATCATCATCATCATCAACAACATCATTTACAACAAGTAAGTCACATCATCATCATCATCATCACTTAAAACAAGTAAGTCACATATTCAGCAGCAGCATATCATCATCATCGTTGTCATCATCATCATCATCAACAAGTGAGTCACATATTCATCATAATAACAACTTACAAGAAGCATGTCACATATTCATCATCATCATCATCATCATATTAATGTAAACTTGTAGATTGTGCTAAATCCATTCGAAAGTATACTCAAAGCTTGATAGCAAAATAGTTATATACACAGTGAGTAGAAAATCTACTTCTGGTACCATTCCCAACTGTGATCTGAAGGTAGTCAAGGCTTCACATTCTTAGATCATTAGAAGTAAACATTTCACAATTTAGGAGCAACTATACTACTGAAACTTCTGTCATAGTTTTCTTTGTGGAGTGCAAGAAGTGTTCTGGTTAGGAGATCACAAAGATCGATTTGGTTGATATGGTGTTACTAGTCACAACATGGCTCTCATTTGAGCCAGTCAGTGTTTAGCTGAAAGATACACCTGTCCTGTCATTTAATTTCTATGCCATCTACTTCAAATATTTAGGAAATGAGTTAAGGCCCTTGTTTTCACTTGGTAGAATCTTGTGAATGCTGTAACAACGAAAGTCATTATCTGATCTTCCTTAGATTTATGTTATTTCTTTTGATTATTGTAATGAATGATAATTATAACAGATTCACTTTGTGACAGCTTTTTTGGACTGGTCATATGACTTAGCTGCTGTGGACATATGTGTTGTGTTGCCTGGCAGCCTATCTTATTTTAATGTTGTGTTATTGCAGGTACCGGATCTAAGTAATAATGTGTTATTAGATGAATTAGATTTATGTAATAACAGTATATCATCATTATCATCTTTATCTACGTACTGGTTACCTTTATTACATACACTTAAACTAGATCAAAACAGGTAAAATATCTCTTTATCAATTAATAGGAAATTAAATGCTTAGTCTTAATTCTTTTTACATAAAACATTCTTAGGCTACTGCCATTGGCTTACATACAGATTCGTAGTGCATGTAAAAGATCCCGTTAGCATTTAAAGAAGAGTAGAACGAACACCCTCACCAGGAACTGGTCGCTAAATGCTACTCATCTTGTTGTTGTTCTTTTTGGGGTGGCGCACTTCGAAAAAGCCTAAGGCTCCGTCAATTCAAGTACAATCGACATAAAAATTGGCAGGCGTCTTCTTTAAACAATTCTGCATCAATTTGGTGAATTAGATTTTTGAATTTTATCCAACATCATGGACCAGAGTCAGTTCCTGCCATTATTACCTGTGTACGGTACCAATTTAAATATACCGTCAGGTTTTTATCCAAAGGTTGTTTTCACGTATCGGATGTGACACCAATTGGACTGTGATCGTTACTGGTGAACGGAAATGAGTTGTTAAATTTGCGCTGTCACAGTATGTAAGTCTCTGTTTGACTGAAATAGTAGTTAAATCTATGTAAAATCCTGCAAGAAGAAATCAGGTTTGAATATCCCCAAATCTCCTGTTTATTGAGCAAGCACTCACTGAGCTACCGTAAAACCAGTATAATATCCAGATAAAGCATGAAGTTTAATAACTACATATCAATTTTTCGTATATAGAATTTACCAATTTTATTTTTATATTTTTTTTTTTTTTAGCATTTCAGAACTTCCAAATTTAGCCAATTTATTTTTACTTCAAACAGCCTTATTGAGCCAAAATGAAATTGTTGGTTAGTCATTTCTCTTTACTTTAATATATAATTCGGCATTAATACGCGTATATGCTAATTAAATGTAAACTTTTAGAAATTCTATAATGCAATATCAGTAAATTATGAAACCTTTTACCAATCAAACACAGAAACTGACAAGTTGTATATTCTTTGATTAAGGAGCAAGACTACCGTAAACATTTCTAAGGGGATGTCACACAGAATTACCCTTCGTGTTATGTGTTTATTATTTTAAATCTTAATGTTTATTAAAAACAATTCTGAAATAATTGTTTAAGTGGCATTTAGTAACTGGATGAGAATAACACATGACACAATTATATGGAATACAAGTTACTTGAAGAGTTTATTTCATCGATGTTTGAACGAGGGTTCTCCCGTTTTTATCAGGTAACGACTTTATCAAGCTTGATAAAGACGGGGAACCCTCGTTTAAACGTCGCTGAAATAAACCCTTCAAGGAACTTGTATTCCATATAATTGTGTCATGTGTTAATTCTGAAATTATCTCTGTACAATCTTTTAATTAGTGTCCACATTTGCTAAGTTAATTTGTAATCTCAATTTTGACTTTTGACAATAAATAGTATATATTTTCAGCTATTTTAATATATGTAAAAGATCATTTGAAGTAGTGAGATGCTAGTTTTATTTTACAGATGTGGGAAACGTAACAAGTAGTTTATCAAACTGTCAACAGTTAAAAACAATTTCTGTAGAAGGAAACCCAGCATTTGATGATCCTGATAACAGGTTAGATTCACTTTGTTTATCTATTGGTTGTTCTGTTACCATTTTAGGGCTGTATGGACAACTAATTTTGAATTTCTTGATTAACGACTAGCACTTTATGAATTATTGTACATATTGACCCTTTAGCCCTACGACTGCTCGAAACTGCACCAAACTAGCACTCCTTAGATGGCCCAACTCCGTTTGGATCATGTTTATAACTGTGTCTATAGTATTTATCGACGTAGTTTTGTATGCACTACTTTTGTACGGTTTCAGTTTGTCCAGGAATATATTGGTATAAAATGTTTCACTTTGCTCAAAAATGTACAAAGTGCTAAAAAAGGATAATATTTTTATGTTACATATTTATTTTAAATCTGTTCTAAACTTGATAGTACCACAAATTTAATGATTATTATTTCAATAAGCTATAGATGGCCAATAAATCAAATTTCTCAATAAATCATTATGAAGAATCCATTCAACTATTTTCTTTTATTTATGCTGTTTTCTTCCAGAACAAAATTGACAAAATGTTTTTCTCGACTGTCAAAAATTGATAAACAGGATGTACAACCTAGCAACCACAGTAAATATAAATGTAATACTGGTATAGAAGAGATGTGTTGTTATCAATCAAATACATACCATAATATGGTCGATACTTTATTAAAGGAATTATTGTAAGTATACATATTGTATAATGATATGGTATTATCGTTGGTCAGTCATGTCATTGAGAGAAAATAGGGGGATCACGTGGCTAAGTGGGTAAGACGCTGGCTCGTTAGCCTGGAGGTCGGGTGTTCGATCCCTGCATTGGCCGAGAAAGTTCATCCAGATTTTCCGACGAGGTTTCACCTTGTCAGTGATGCAGGATGGAAGGCCTGACAAGGACAGCTGTCTAGTCATTTGGATGGGATGAAAAACGGAGGTCCTGTGTACATATTGCCGTGCACGTAAAAGATCCCTTGGCAGTTGGAATTCGATATAAGAGTAGGCCGTAGTGCCGTTGCCCGGGCAAAATTTCCCTCATAGCACACTGTATGACGTATGCCCATCTTCATTAGCCCAGTTTAGGAGCAAAACAGTACGACGTTAAACCCCATTTCATTTCATTTGAGAGAAAATCATATGTACACTCTTCGAAACACGAATGTGATTTTTGTTGGTTTGGTATTTTGTGTAAAATACAAATGGTGCATCATTACTTTAAGGTTTTTCATTTTCCAAAGTACATCAATCTCGCCTAGATAATTATGATTCTCAGGAAAAGATGCTCAGATGTTGGAGATATAAGATTCTCTCTCATTCAGTGTTTTATAACCTTCGTCTGCAAGGAAAAGTGTTTCATTGTGGAGGTGGATTGGAAAATTTATTTCTGATTTAAAACTTGCTGTTTATGTAAAAGTCCTAAGTGAGGTAGAATTCAAGGATGAGTAGATCTATATGATTTACAAGGAGCCTTGTTAGTTAGGCCATATAAAAAATATTCTGGTTCTCAGAAAATCCTGCATCACTTAACCGCATGATCTGTTTTTACTGCACGTAAATATTATATCCCAGTTACAGGTAATAACTATGAAAATATTTGAATAAAACCAGAAGTGTGTTGTAGGCTCATTTATCAAGTACACATTATTACACAACCCAGATAAAATAATACTGGATAATCATACATGCCTATAAACAAAATGATGAGATAAATGTGATGTGTATGAGAAGTCATTTTGCCAAGTAGTAATCCTTTGACAAAATAAAAACACAAAAGTTACCCTCCCCCCCTCCCCCTCCTGCATCAGATTTTTGGTAAGGATTGTTTGAGAATCAGAATTATTTTTTTTGTATGGCCTTAATATGAAAATGTCTGATTTTTCCCGGTATATTAACTCATTTGTATTTCTTTTGCAGAAAACTGCAGTCAAAGACACCAGTAAATCAAGCCAAACTATGTAGTTGTTATTTCACCTTTTGTGATAAAGCTATGCAGACAGCAGTTGAATTTAGATATGCTCATGAATATGGTGACACTACCATTCCGTCAAATGAACCAAATATAAAATCTAGTCAGTCAAAATCAAATCAAGTTAGTCCTGCATCCCGTCAGTCTGTATTTTCAACACCCAAAGATATGTTTGAGAAAGCATTAAAAAAGGGCAGTGACCCTGTTCCGTCCAATAACCCTAAAAATTTATTTGAAAAAGCATTGAATAATTCGCCGAAAGACATGTGCGAAACAGCATTTAAAAAGAGCGGTGACCCTGTTCTGTCAAATAATCCAAAAGACATGTTCGAAAAAGCATTAAGAAAGAGCAGTGAACCTGTTTCATCAAATGATCCAAAAAATTTGTTTGAAAAAGCATTGAATAAGTCTTCCGAGATTAATAGTTCTGTTGATATAGAAGAAATCTGGGTGGCAGCCATTATAATCCAATCAGCATGGAGAGGTTATAGGACCAGACAGAAATTAAAGTATCCACAAGAATGGCACCAGGCAGCAACAATGATACAGGTTTGTTTTCTATAAAATTAATATTTTGTCAGTTTCCTAAATCCTAAATTGTTAAATTTTATAGCTTTGTGTTCACACCAAACTTTGTGTTCACTTTGATCCTGGTGGGTGCCAATTTTCCAACATGGTTTCCCCTTGTCACTGGAACAGGACTGAGGTTCTGGCAAGAATAATTGTTGAGTTGTTATGATGGGGTGAAAAACCAAGTTCCCATGTAAATTTGGCATACACGTAAAAGAAGCCTTAGTTGTTGGAATTTGATGAAGTGTAGGTGGATATTTCCGTCATAGCACATTGTATGGGGTATGCCCGTCTTCCTTTCCGGGTTGGTCCATTAATGTATTATGTTCAATTTCATTTCTAACCCAGATAAAGAATAGGTCCAAACAATCACCTATGTAGGAAATCAGTGCTTATTTCAACACTTCTATGTTATTGAATGTCAGACATTGTAAACATGTTTTAAACATTCAAGCTATAGTTTTGAAATCTTTTCTTAGAACTAGAACAAATCATCCATTATTTCAAGCATGTTTTAAAATTGCTGTTAATATTTGTAATCTTAGTTTTAATATACATGTTTTAAAGGCTGCGTGGCGAGGATATTATTTACGGAGAAGATTACAAATGGCGTTAAATTATGCTCAGTTTGAGGAAGCTATGGACATGGATTTACCTGATATTGATGCTAATGAATATAATTTTGATGAGGTTAGTACAGGTATTATTTTTTGTGTTACTATTTTTGAAAATAATAATTGGTAAATGTGTGTGTAAGACTCACCTTTGTTCAGTTTTTAAGGTGTTGTTGGCTGGACAAAAAGTCCGGTCATAACACTAATTAATTTTAACATGCTAGTTAGACACAGATTGAAAATAAATACCTTATAAATAATTACTCTGTCAAACATATCATAAATTGAAAATCACGTTAATGTACAATTTTACATAAAACAAACAATCAAATGTGTAATTTGTTTTTCTTTGCAGAAACATTTTGACATGGACTGGAGACCAGCAGACACACCTCAACTCCCACAAAGGTAATATATAAAACTTGTTAATGTTTTAGACACGGAATGCAAATGTTCAGGGGGACTGTACCATACATAACAACTAGCACATTCATTGTAACTCAAAATATTTCTAGACTCTATTTTTAAATGTCGTTAAATGTGAACTATTGAAAATAAAACACAAATTAAATATTTTGTGAAAGTTTTTTTTTTATATTTTGATATTATAAATCGATCCATGCAACTTTGAGTATTTTTTTCTAGGCATCCAGTATTAGGAAAACCACCATTAGCGAAGAAGAATATTACAGGTGTACCAGTATTAGATATTAATAAATCACCACCACAAATAAAACATGCCTGGAGAAATTTAGACTCACCTTTATCTGAGATAAGAGGTCCACATCCCCGACCACCATCATCCCTTAACTCTACTATTATATCTCATCGATCTAAGAAAAGTGAACAGCTTTCGGAGGAATGGTTAGTCATTTTAAAAATTTAGCTTAGTAGATATTTTTAGGAAATCGTAACCTAAACAGTTGTTAGTTTTAATCTAGTTATATGACATAATTCTTCCTTATAAGACATATGACACTATATTTTTACAGGGGGTTGAGAGGCCGAACGGACTGACTTGTACGTTTTAGATCATAAGGTCTGTCATTGAGTCAGCTGGCGTGTTTTCTATTCCCAGCTTGTATGTGACAAGAAGTAGGGTTGCCTGTCCAACCTCACGAGTTTTCTCCGGGTCCTCCGGTATCCTCCCACTTCTAAATATCCCTATGGGCGAGCAATTTATTGAAATAAAATTGAACCATATTATAGTCCCGAAAAGACATAGTTTGTGTCGAGTGGATGTTAAAACCTGTTTCTCTCCCTATGTCTTTACAGTCATATGTTGATATATGTTGACATACACCTGAAGCCTTGACTGTCTTAGCTGAAGGGAGTAACGGTTTAACGTCCTACTTTTTTGCACTGACTGGGCTAATGAAGACGGGCATACGCCATACAGTGTGCTATGAGGGAAATTTTGCCCAGACAGAGGTGTTACATCTTACTCTTATATCCAACTATCAAGGGTTCTTTTACGTGCATGCCAATGTGTACACAGGACTTTGGTTTTTCATCCCATCCGAACGATTACAAATACTTATTTGAACATAATATAAACTAATAAATATTTTTTATTATTAGGGGCTTTAAAGATTCACGTACAGCAGACTTAATGATACAGAGAGCTAAAAAGATGAAATATAATGCACAAAGAAAGAAAAAACTGGGAAAATTAGGTTTGTGTTAAAAAGCTACTTATAGTACGACTACATTCTATATACTTATGGTCTGCTCATGATCAACCAAACCTTCACGGATATCAGCGGTGATTTGTCCAACATCAATTAGTAGATCTCCTATCAACAATTATAATGAATAAGTGAAACTCAAGTTAAAATTAAAGTGTAATTAGAAAGGAAACATAATTCTTAACGATACATTATGTAAGATTTAAATAAAGAGCTGGCCATTCTTGCTATAATAGTTTAAAATTAGATAATGAAAAATGAATATATTGGGAAGATGTGGCATTGATTGTTGTTTATTATCATAGCTATGGTACTGAACAAACGACATTAAGTGTTGATTATCCATTTTATCATTAAATTTTGTAGGTGTTCTAATACATTTAAATCTCTACCATCCGATGGTCCAGAGATTTCATAATGGACTTCTAATGTTTTAGTAGTAGTTTATATAACATTTAAAGCCAAAATAAAGACCTGCAATAGGCAGATTTAAACCCTAAATTGTTTTTTTATTTCAGATCCTAAACAGCGCCTTGCTTTATTCCGTAAACTAGAAGAAACAGCTCCATTAAACCCTGTAACTCCACCTGTACGGAAAATATTACCCAGAAAAGAATATTTCCAAGGTAAATATGTGTTTTGATCAGGAACTAAGAAATATCAAGTTAGAACTCTTGTGATGCACAGGTTGGTTCCCAATCATTGAAATTGTAGACATATCATTAAAGTATAATACAAATTGATGACGTTTTACACATACCAAAATACAAAGCTATATATTATTATGTGACATATTGTTTCAGCTAGGTGAGCTCTGTGTATAAGACATTGGCACGTTAACCTGAAAATCTTGTGTTCAATCCTGGTGTTGGTCGGGCAAAATTTCCCTCATAGCACACTGTATGGCTTATGTCCGTCTCCATTAGCTAGTCGGTTCAGAACAGTAGGACGTTAAACCCTATTTTATTTTTTTGTTTCAGCTAGAGAAGAAGAGATATTACGTCAGGATAGAGACAAGAGAATAGATATTAGTAATCGTGCCAATAGAACATACGAATGGTTACATACACAAGTTGGTGATCATGATTTATCATCACCTACACCTAGGCATGGGTAAATCACATACTACATTTATATACATTTTATGTTGTATGCTGTCTCTTGTAGGCATTAATATTTAATAAATCTTATCTTATCTTCCTTGATTGAGATCATCTTAAAAATAAACCAGTCTGGGTGAATATAAGATGGAAAAAACATGCAGGAAGAAAAAGCATTCAGTGCAAATGCTGCATTTGACCATTTTTGTGCAGCTATGAAATCAATAGTTTATACCTGTTAAAATAAACTAAAGTAATATTGTAAAATTGGTGGACCTTAATATTTATTTAAATTTGTGTACCTTTCTTCTCAGGCTTTTTTCCTTCAGATTTTCATACCTAGATATCAATAACTTTTTGTATTATTTTATTATTTATAGGGTACAGTCTACAGGACATTATGGATCTACATCAAGTCTTACATATCATGATAACCATACAAAATCTGAGAGTCATAGAGTAAGTTTAAAACATATATAATTTCAGATTATTGGTTGAGATTGTAGGAATTTTTTTGCATCTGATTTAGAATTTTTATTTGATAGATACCAATATCGGACATTATTTTAGGTTTTATTGTTCGTCCATGCATCATTACCTTCTACTTTTTTATTTACATAATCCATAGGGTGTCGAAGTGGCTCAGTGAGTAATATGCTGGCTTGCTAGCCCGTTGGTCTCAGGTTCGCTCTCAGTGTTGGCCAATAGAATTACTCCCGATTTCCTGGCGTGGTTCACCTTGACGGTGAGCACGTAAAAGATCCCTTGACAGTTGGAATCCTATATTAGAGTAGAATGTAGTGCCACTGTCTGGGCAAAATTTCCCTCATAGCACACTGCATGGAGTGTGCCTGTCTTCATTAGTCGGTGCAGAACAGTAGGATGTTTAACATATCATTTCATTTCATTACAGAGTCCATGCTTTGATATGAAAAGTTTACGTCAAAGAAGACATTCCGCTAGTGAAGATCATAGCTACTGGGGTAAATATTATATTTACGGTGGTCAAAGAACCATAAATAGTGTTTTTATGTGATATGTTAAAACAAAACAAAATAATTAAGAAAAATAAGAAGTGGTTAAAAAGATGAAAATAAAGAATTCATTAATATATAATTTCCTGTTAAAATTTCTGTGATCTGTATATCTACACTACATTGTAGGGTTGTTTAATGATTTGGTAGGATACTATACCAGAAATCAGAACATAATATGAACTTGGCCATGTTTGATAAAAATTAGGCAACGGTCAAAATTTAATAGTCCTGACTATATAGTACACAGTAACTTTTTGATCATGAATTTTATGTTAATAATGTTTATATTTTGTAGGAAAACCTACAGTTTTGCCTCCCATTAAAACAACATCAGCTCCATCCAAACCTAAAGAAAAAATGTCATGGCGGAATCCAGTAGTTGAGAAAAGTGTAGGTTGGGGAGGAGGAAAAAAACGATCAGCAAGAAAATAAAGTGACCAGAGTAGCTATAGGAAAATAATATTTATTGATGCAATATAATTTATACAAACTATATATATTTATGTACACTGTAAGAGTATATATATATATGTTGATTGAATATAAATCACATATTGAGTATATTAAATATAATATATTTAAAGGTGTTTCTTCTTTTTATGTGTGCGGAAACAATGGGAATGCTCGATTGTCAGTCAGGGACGTTCTGAATTGACATAATTGCAATCGCGGAATTCATTTTCCATAATATATGTATTAGAAATTCAAAAACATATCCTACCACACAATGTGGAAGTAATCAATCGTCTTGAAATTTTTTTATATGAATTCCTTATACCCTAAGGATGATGCCTGTTGTTTTTGGTGCATGCCCGACCCCCAGTGGCAGAGCCACGCCCATTTCTTGTATTTATTTGTTTGTCATCTACAGACCCCATTTCTTAACGTATCACCTTGAAACATTGCATACATATTCCTTCTATCCCAAGAAACATCCCTATTGTTTGTGGTGAATGTTTTGTTAAATTTTGTCTGTAAAGTTGGCAAGACAAACCCAATGCCTAGCCTTCTTTGCCTCTTGTGGGATCACGTGGCTCGCTACCCTGGAGGTCGGGTGTTCGATCCCTGCATTGGCCAAGAAAGTTCATCCAGATATTCCGGCGTGGTTTGCCCTTGTCAGTGATGTAGGACGGAGGGCCTGACAAGGACAGCTGTCTAGTCGTTCGGATGGGACGAAAAACCGAGGTCTCGTGTACATATTGGCGTGCACGTAAAAGATCCCTTGGCAGTTGGAATTCGATATAAGTGTAGGCCGTAGCGCCGCTGCCCGGGCAAAATTTCCCTCATAGCACACTGTATGACGTATGCCCGTTTTCATTAGCCCAGTTTAGGAGCAGAACAGTAGGACGTTAAACCCCATTTCATTTCATTTCATTTTCTTTGCCTCTTGTCATATTAAAGCCATTTCATATTTCATTCTCTTCATTTTAAAAAGTACCATATCAGTCAAAGCAGGAATGTGGGCGTATATTGCAGCGTTAGCGATGCTCTTGTTACCCAAGCCGTCCTAACAATTGGGTATAATAGCAAAGTAATCCAGCTTAACCAGATACGGTTCAGAAACATACTTAGCTATGTGTAGTTGATGAAAAACTAACAAATCAAGAGAAGGAACTATTGAAGTTGAAAAAAGTAGATTTATTGAAAATGAAAAATAAAATACAGAAAAAATTATAGAAAAATTATATGGTTCAATTAACTTGAGAAGCTGTGTCCCATTCTTCATCTTCTGTTAGACCTCTACCAATATCATCTACCTACAATAATTGTACAATTAAAAATATAGCCATCCATAACTAATTTAAATACCCAAGTTATTGGCTTAGGGAGCTCTTTAAATGTACTAATTAAAAGGATAAAATCAAAACACCTAGGTTTGATGGCATGATAGAACGAGTTATTCTTCAGTCAGTAGCTGACTGGTACTTACGCGGAATCAATAGAAAGTAAAGGGAGCTGTAGACGACCAATGTTATCTTTTTTTTGGACCAATATTCTTTTGTGTATGGATGGACTTAAAGGCTATATTTGACTTTTAATCTGGAATATTCTAGAGTCCTCTTTGCTGACAATCTCATGAAGCTTCGTGGCGTAGTAAGGTGAATGTTAAGAGAGATCGAGCATTCGCTTGGTTGCAAAAATATCTGTTTTGCTCCTCGAATTACGTATTGGTCCACTAAGACTAAAATTAGACACCGAATCTCGCTATAAACGTGAGCATTTGGATATATTTATCAAGCCTTGTGGTTGTTGGGACAATTTGTCGAACTGCAGAATCAACCCCAGAAGCATGCGCAGAAGTAGCAATCATTTCTGGAGTCTTTCTGATACATTTCTCTCTTCAAAGGGCTTCATTCTCAGAGGCGTCTTTTAAAAAAACATTCACAATAAATTGCAAAATAATACAATGAACTACAGCCTACCATGCCACTGTTTTGTTTATACACTGTGTCACTACCAGTTACTATTTGATCATATCGCTGTTTTTCTGTCTCCAGTATATCTTCCTCTAAAAGTCTGTAAATAATATTTACAATTGTATAATTTCATTAGATGTCAAGAATCAGAAATAATTTTATCCCGCAAGCAAGGTTTTTGGAACCAGACTAAAACATCTTCATTTGTTCATTTCTCGTCTCTCCCACAATTATCATGCAAACGATAACCTAGACATTTGACAAATGGACACTTAAGTTAACACGGTGAATCTGAGAGCTAAAAACACAGGGTTTTATTTGACGCAATGCCGTAGAGCCCTGGCTACTCGCAATTCAATAGCAAAGAATTTAATAGTCAGAAACCGTTTTAACATAGGATACCAAGAATGGGTTTAATTGCATCTTAACAGTACTTTCCTTGTGTATCAATCGAGCTTATTGTTTTGACCAACGGATCACGGGGCGTATTTGTAGAGGCGTACAATACTTTCCCAGTAACCCTCATAAAATATCCCAAATTACCTTTCATTTTGACACAGACGAAGTCTAAGGATATCCTGCTCTAAACTAGGGTAGTTCATATCGGGAGATTCTATGTCTAGTTCAGTATCATCATATGTTCCATCATAATCTTGGTACCATTTAGATAAATCTGCTGTCACGTAATTTGGCTCCAATTCGTCAAAAACATCGTGAAATGAGGAACGTTTCAATATAAACTGATCCGAATAATTGTGCAACGAGACAATATCTGAGTCCCCATCACGTGCTCGTAAATCGGAAAGATTCCGCAGTGACTGGAAAGACTTCATCGTTGTCGGTTCAAGGTCACACAGGTTCTCCACAGATTGTGCACAATGCGGTTTCAATTTGGAGAAGTGTCTCCCTTTGACGTATCTCTTCTTATAATGCGTCCGGGAGTCTGCACCTATATCTGAATTAAATGAATGTTCGTTTTTATGATTGTTTATATCATGGAGACTACAACTCAACAAGTTCGTCACATATTTTAGTTTTAAACTATTTGACATCTGACTATTAGACACCTCTTTAATTTTAGAAACTATGGCATCGTATGGGTCTTTAAAATCCACCAAATCAATACCAGACTCCTGATCAGTTGATTCTATGCTCGGTTTATCGAAAGTAAATTTCTCTTCATTTTGTGGTGCTTTTGGCGTAAAGGTCACGCGAATAAACCTTTCTGGATCGGCCATTTTGTTTTCTAGCATCTCATTTGGTGGTTGGTCTACAGACAAGGCGACTGGTGCATCATCATCTCTTTGAAACAATTTTCTCTGTCGTGGTTTTGGTTTTTCAGGCACTTTTGAGGCATCTTTGGATGCTTCACCAAAAGAAAATCGCTCATCTTTTTGTATATCTTTAGGTGTAAAAGTTACACGAATAAACCTTTCCGGTTCGGGTCTGTCCTGCTCATCGTGTTGGTCAGAAGATAACCCAACCGATAAATCATCTCGTGGAAACGATTTTCTCCGTCTCTGTTTGTTTTTAACCCTTTCCTTTGCTTCTGTTTCTGGAAACGAATCTTCCCGAGAAACTGTGGATGCCGATAAAGCATCTATCTCTATGTTTGGTTTAGATTGAATTGGAATAACGGAAGATATTTCATCCTTCCATTTCATGGAAGCTGTTATTAGTTTTACTGGAAGACGTCTGCTGGTTAACAATCTTTGTAAAAGCTTGATTCTGAAAACAAATTTGATTGGAAAACAAATTTAAGCAACATATATGGCGCCGTATTCAAATAAACACCTCCAGGTAGCAATATTGGTATTAATTTGTAAAAAACAAGCCACACCCACTATAATATGACCATCTACAAATTTATTAAATCTTAGAAACTCCCATATTTCTTAACTATAACACCTGAAAACTTTAATTCTTTGGCAACTAAAATCGGGAAGTGACGTTTTATAGAGGCAATCATTGACATTATTCGAGACTATTACGTGCATGAACTGATTTGTCAGAATTTCTTAATTAAAATGCATTTTCAACATTTAGTGTAATGAAAGGATGACTGATGACAACTAATTTATTCTAGCGTGTAATAAGCTCATTACCACTTTTACATGCGGTGCAGTATCGCCGACCATTTTCAGTTTATAAACTGAAAGAATATAATTGCTTAGCTTTCTGTTGACATATTAGAAAGTAATCACAATTGCGGAGTGTTTCTGAACATACCCAATAAGTTGTTACTTTAATTCCCTCTACATATTTCGGCCACTTAAAATATGTTGTTACAAGTTTAGTGGACTACGTCATATTGCAATCTACTAATTTTTACGATCTATTTGTCTGTTGGCTTCTGAAGAGTGCCTCAAGATAAAATTGTTTTAATTTCAAGGAATTGTTGTCTCGTAATCTTTATCTGTCCCAAGCCTTAACAACTATTTTTTTTTATGTGAGAGCAAACCATTTAGATTTAGTAGTACGGAAGACCATATCCGCCAAGATATGAGTAAATTTTTTAAAAAAATATTTAAACCTAAAAAATACAAATCATTCCTGAAAAATTGACAGTTGCAGTGCCAGTACCGCCAAGATGATTTAGTGGTATTGTCTATCGTATTTACGGTAGTAATGAGTTTTCGACTTAAAAATTATTCTCGTATTATCAAAACGTAACGAAAATCCGACAAAAGGTATCCAATTTGAACGTAATACACAGGTTGTGAAAGTAAGTTGTACCTTAGTGCTAGATTATGAGCTTGTTGTTTAATATGTCTGGGTAATGATGTTGGTATTTCTAGATCTAGTTTCGCTATGTGTTCGTCTCTAGGAAAAGGGTGTTTGGTTAGAAATGTATCAACTGTATGCAACCATTCATCAGGCATTGTCACAAGTTTATCGGGATAATTTCTTCCTATAATATGTCGCAGATATTCAGGTAAGAATACCAAAACTTTCCTGTACCATTTCTGGAACTGTAAAGCAACAACACATTTTTCATGACACTCAAGAGATTAAAGAATTTTCCATCCCAACAAAATGAACTCTGTAGAGCCAACCATTGGCAACGAAGCCCGATAAAAATGACCCACACAAAATGTTCGGACTGTATAAAGCCCCGTAAATAATCAGAAATGGGCGCGATGAAAAATCGCCGTTAATTAATCGGCGCTTTATATAAATAAAATCTTTCATCATTTTCGGAATGCGAAATGTATTGATACTGTAAACCATGAAAAAATATTTCAACCCAATTCATTGTATCTCTGATTTTAAATTGGAAGTAGCCTGTTCGCATTACCCACCTTTTCTAATAACATATGAAAGATATGTATCTCTATATAAGTATTTTGTATTTTCTGTAGTAGAAGTGTAAATGGTTCTATAACTTGTGTTAAATGATTGGTAATACTAGTTTTCATCTCATCATCACACTGATTCTTTAATTCTTTTAATATTTCTGTAGCTTCATTGATAAGATCCTTTTATAAAAATATAATATACAATATTAGATATGTGGGCAAAGACAGGGCTGGTCCAGGTTTCTGGGTCAGCTTTTGGTTTGTAGTATATTGCCAAAAATTAAGTTAATCACGGAAATAAATCATGGTCTATCAACTGTTAAAATTGATGTCTCAGCTTATCCATATGCAGGAGCATACTCATTTTGTAATGGTTCTTTCATGGTTACACACAATTAAGATTGAAATAGTTGAAGCAATGATATTTACCAACGCATGCTCTCTATTTAAAAATGTATGTGATCTTCATCGATCGATGTGAGTGTCGAGTGCAATGCAGGATATGCTTTTTACTTTCTATTATCGGATTTGATTCATCTGACGCGTTCAACTTTATGTAACTCAATATCACCAAATTTTGTATGCTGTCTTCTTGTAATATCCCAATTTTTTTGGCATAAATAAGGTATAACTTACTTATAATCAAGCGATCCGCTTACCTTAGCTGGTTCATATAATGACGATGTAAAATGAGTTCTGTATATTTCTGCTTGACTAAGTGTTACTCCAATAACAGGATGATCAGTAAGTTGGACATAATAGTTATCATTAATAACTTTTGTAATCTACAATGCAATTATTATTGGAATATTACACAAATATGATATCTAGAGGATACCCGGCTTTGCCCGGGACCCCAAGCACGGGTGTGGTAGTTCATCGCCACCAGGCCTATGTTACTCCCCGGTCCGAGCTAACCATATGCACCACATTTCAGCCTTGGGACAGCCCTAGTGTTGCCGCCAACCATGAACAAACAGAAAGACAGACAAACAAACGACAATCACAAATATTCATATAGATTATGTCGTCCCAGACGTACAAGTCACTTTTCAATGAATGGCATATTATGACATGTTGGCAGATCTTCACCAGGAAGTATCAGTAAAGTTTACTTTACGCCATGATTTTAATGTAGATTCTATTGGGGTGCACTGTGTAGCAGTATCTCAGCGTGGGATGGAGTGAGAATTAACGTCTGGTGAATACTTTACTTATTAGGTCATTTTTCCCTGATTTCTATCTCTATTAAACGACTACGGCGTCTCTATAAAACGAAATGAAATGAAATGGGGTTTAACGTCCTACTGTTCTGCTCCGACTGGGATAATGAAGAAGGGCGTACACCATACAGTGTGCTATGAGGGAAATTGTGTCCGGACAGCGGCACTACGGCCTACTCTTATATCGAATTCCAACTGCGAAGGGATCTTTTACGTGTACGTAAATGTGTACACGTGTCCTCGGTTTTTCGTACCACCCGAACGACTAGACAACTGCCCCCCCTGCACCCCTGACAAGTGGAAACAACGCCGAAAAATCCCGATAAATTTCCTCGGCTAACAGCGGGGGCAAACCCGCGACCTCCAGGCTAGGAGCCAGCGTCTTACTCACTTAGCCACCGTGGCTCCTATACCCACAGACTTATACAAGGCGTCGAACATGGATTTACATGGCGTCGACTATCGCAAATGTACATCTTAGCTTAAGAGGAACAAAGTTCGCATATTTTGGATCGTGCATGGTGAAATACTAATAATCAGGATTACGATTAAAAGAATTTCTTAAGATAAGTGTGCTCCTACAGACATAAAATTGTTCTTTAAAATGTTTATTGCAGTCACTGGCTTTGTGCTCATTGTTATTTTAGAAGTTAGAGGAAAATGAAGTACCAGAGGAACCTTACGTATGAATTAGCGATCGAACCTTTTGAACTACAACACACACGCTAGCTTCAACCATTATGAAACAAACGCTACATATGTACCTTTTCAGTTCTTTCTTTCAATTTATGAAGCTGACATGATGTAGCTGCTTTATTGTCTGCTGCCTTGTATAACGTTGTTATTTTATTGTAGAATGTAGTTAATTGTTGATAACATTGATGTAACATTAATACAACATGTGATGATAAAGTTTTATCTACATTTGGTATATTATAATTACCATCACGTGTTTCCAATATATGTAATAACTGCTTACATTCTTCTATTATCTCATTTAGTCGAGTTTCTCTGAAAGACAATAATCTAAGATTAAACATGCATTATACAAGAGCCAAATCTGTCTTCTGAGACACTCACATCTCATTCGTTTAGACTTTGGGTTTTTTTTATTACAACTTGGTTAGGATTGTTCGGCTTGTCGTGGGGGGAATATATCGAAATTCAGAGTAGTGCAACAATTTTTCGCCGATTTATTGCCGTTGTCACTGGATCCATTATAAACACTCCACAAATTAGAGTATTTTACCTTTTTTTGAAATTTAAACTTGCTATAGAGGATAGTTAGGCTAGTGACCAAAAGTTGCGCCATGATACCTCACGGAGTCATTGCCCTTGTCGAATTTTTTTTTATATAAACGCTCTAGAAGTCAAAGAACGAATAACACATGAATATTGCACAGAGTAGGCCTATAGGTCCCCTCATACTTTAGTCCTTGAATGAAGCTGGTGATGGGTGTATATTTCATTACCTGGCAACTGATATGTTTAGTCTTTATAAGGGCTTTATTATGTCTTATTTTTTAGAAGCAAGGTTATTATTGCATTGGTATGTCATAATTTATTTTATGATCAGTAGTGGAATAAGTGAAATAAAAGTGTTATTCCACTGGCTAGTTGTTTTTACCTAAAATGATTGTAAAATCATAAAATAAATAGAACATTTGTCGTTTTGTCGTGAATAACATATTTTATTTCATCTCTAAGCAAGAAAACGTTTATATTTTCACTCATGCTACGCATTCGTGAAAATATAAGTTTTCTTGCTTCTCGATGAAATAAAATATGTTATTCACGACAAAACGACAAATATCCTCTATATAGTGTCCCAACACAAAGTAAACAGAAATATTTTCTCGAGACAGGATTGAAAGTTGTTACACTTAGGTTATCTATATATTGCTTGGGTTTTTTTTTTTTCGTTTTTTTTAACCCAATATCTTTGACAACTTTAATTATCGTATCGAGAAGTTACTCCTTTTTTGGTATATACTTTAATACCAATTTAAGGAGGCAATGTATTAAGGCGTGACATATACCGTAGTTATTGCATTGTAAACTTTTATTGGCGAGCACGCATGTCCACAAGCCAATCACCATTATAAAGCAGAACTATTGACTCAAATATACATGGATCAAACGACTTCCCCTTGTCAGTGGCAAGGATCACTGCAAACGTGGGTGTGAACGTGAAAGAACTATTGGCTGATGGAATTCGACAGAAGCGCACTATACCGGCAAAATTTCCTTCGAAGCACACTGCATGGCGTATATCCGTCTTCATTATCCCATGCAGTTAGCGCAGAACAGTAGGACGATATACCCCACTGCATTACACAAAATCAAACTTACTTTAAAATAGCATCATATTCTTTTAAAATGTGCTGTGAATTTTGCTGCAAGTTATCAACAGTTTGGTCGGTTGTTTCATATTCTTCCCATAATTCCACCTTCTCTTGAATTCCAGGTATCTTTTGAATAAGGTTACTTGCTGACTTCAGGCATGGCATAACACTCTGCAATGTGATACATAATGTAAAATTTATATACAGTCCATCTGTCCTTGCTCTCGCTGGCTAAAATTGATTAGCTGCAACAAAAAGCAATGAGCGACCGCCAGGCACTATACAGTCAAGCTCGGGAGTTTTCTTAATAACCTAAATCAAATATCAGAAATAATTTAAAAAAAAAAACAAAACACGATACCCTCCAGGAAAGCTATCTAACTTCCCACACGTCCGATCTGCGTACCCCCCCCCCCCATTCCTACCTTGGAGATCACTTATAGATCCCTCCCAATGTAGAAACGGTATTCATTGAATGACATCGGGTTTATATTATTTAACTTGAACAACGTTGGTACTATAAAGAAATGACCAACCCCTCTGTATATTATAATATAAAATTATACAAATATAACTTAACCTTATAGAAACTGATCCAAGCCTGGTGATTATAATACAGTAAACCACCATAATCTGTTGTCAGTTGTTTGGGTTCTATATAGTTTCTTAGTACATCAACATTCTTTATTAACTGAATCTAAATCAATAAACACATATCATAAAATGAACATAAGCAAACACAAATTATGCCTATATTTTTATAAAACAAAATATTGAAAAATTATTTTCTCTTTATCATACAAACAATTGTTCAACCATGTGAATATCAATATATATACTTTCATTAAATAAAATGAAAGTATTCTACATAAATAGGAAAGCTATACATACGAATTATTTAGCTAGTGGGGCACCTATTAGTTCTCACCTTATGTGAAACGCGACAACACGGCGAGCCACCGTAGTACCGTTCAATGTTTATTCAGTTCGTATCAACTTGATTTTCTCACCAACTTACGCACAAATTATGGATGTTGGTGGAACAGTTAATATAGACATTAATTAAAATTTGATAGCTATAATAAGATCTAATTATATGCACAAGAATACAACCAGAAAATTTAGAGTCTTTCTTCGCTCGACGCTGAAATCTACATTATCTCAATTAATGGAATATCCCCAATATTTTATAATTTTGTATACTAACGAAATGCTGAAGAAATCCAAAACAATACAAGCACGTTATTTGAAACATGAACATGAGACATGATGGAAAATGTCATACATTTTTGATGACATTATAGTATGACACTAATATTCTCAGGGGAGAGGGAAACTTTAAAGGTCATATTTTTAGTTTACCTGTAGGTTTGTGTTAGATTTAGGAACTTGCTGTGTTTTTGTTGTGAGTAGTTTCTTTAATAGATATGATTTAACTATGGTGTCAGGCTTTACTATATATATTATTTGTATACAACTTAACTTCATTTCCTACAAATAAATATAAACGTACAGGGTTACAATAAGAATATTGACACCTAGGATTCAACTCATGTTTGTCCAGTGGTCGTTGAACGTTGATCTGTTGCTCCTTGGTCTGACGAGTGTTGATTTTTTAAAAATTTAACTGCGTTATGCATGATCTTAGGATAATGAATGAACGAAATGAGGTTTAACGTTCTACTGCATTCTGCCCCGTAATGAAGACGGGTATACGCCATACACTGTGCTATGGTGGAAATTGTGCCTGGACAGCAACTGGATTCCGACTGTCAACGTGTACACCCGACCGATGTTTTTCATACCATCCGAACGACTAGACGCTGTCCCGTGCCTGCCAGCTCATCCGTCCTTTACCACAGACATTGTGCAACTAGCCTGGAAGATCTTTGAAATCTTTCTCGGCCAACAACGACACCGAACCTTTTAAGATCAAATTTTGCAAATTACGTTTTTAGGTATGTATGTTATAAAGTAGGGCAAATTCCCCCGAACAGTCGATAACTAATTCAAGTTATTGAATTAATAATTTAATAAATGTAAAAAAAAATGATATTAAATTTCGAGTAAGCGTTATACATTATCTAGATTTGAGCAACACAGTTGAATGTGACCATCATTTAAAGTGACAGGTACAGTTTTATTGTTGTCGCTACACGAAAAATTAAGAGGACGATTCAAATTTTAGTATTTATACTTCCAAACCCACCTCTAACATGGCTATAGTATCAACAATAAACTGAATGACCAGTTTACGTGTATGTTTCAGATTGATGACCAGGGCTATCTGTGGACACGTAGTGTAAATTAATTTCTGCCAACTAAGAACTTTTTGTAAGACATCAACTAACTGTTTCGTTTCCAAACTTTCCATTATTTCTAAGTTATGTACAGGCATACTAATGATGTGATTTCCATATTTATCACGCCCGCCTGTTAAAATAAAAATATTAAGAAATTTAAGCCCGGACAGTGCGTGAAAAGCTTGGATTGGTTATATGTATGGCTAAGATTGATACGAGGAACATTTTAACAATTACACAGAAGTTAATGTCGAAATGAATAATAACGAATTGCTTTTTCGTTATTCTCGTTGATATCAAAAATCCATATATTTTGTCTATTCAACGTTTGCAAAATAATTTCATTGAATCTGATCCATGAGATAATCTGCCAAATCATTCCAACAGTTTTGAAAGGTTTATAAGATATATTTATGTTTGTTAACGTTAAGCAAATGAATGATATGGAATAAGGTTGAACGTCCTACTTTTCTGCACCGACCAATGAGGACGGGCATACGCCATGCAGTGTACTATGAGGATGGTTTTGCCCGTACAGCGGCCCTGCGACCGACCCCTATCTACAATTAAAACTGTCAATGGTTCTTTTACATGTACACCAATGTGTACACGGCACCTCGGTTTTTGTCCCATCCGAACGACTAGACGGCTCTCCGTCCTGCACCACTGACACGGGGAAACCACACCGGAAAATAAAGTTACGGTGCGTATGAACGTTTCGCCAGAGGAGCAGAAAAGTTGGGCGTTGAACCTCATTTCGTTTCGGTTCATCTAGTTGAACATGACTTTAATTTAGCTAAAAATTATCTTAGAAAAAGGGATATTCCCGACAACCCGTAAAAATATAATAGATACACTTTAACTATTTGAAAAACCTATACACAGAACGAACAATCCATGAAAACAGCACGTCAGTATATGAATCAAGCTATAGCTACGTGAAGTAAATAAGTTAGTATAAAAAAGGTTTTGATTTATTTTTCAGCGAAATGATATGTGTAAGGACTTCAAGGTGGTGTTTTATTACCCGTAACGGCTTAATTTTGCATATTTTATTGTGGTGAAGGGGTTCGTTCTTTTTTAAAAGAAAAGTGTAAGAATAAAAACGACGGGTATATCGTATATTATTATTAAGCGACATGCCATCGAGACGTCACACGGAACTTTTATCAAAAGTTACATTAATATAATAAATACAAAAACATAATATGGAACACAATTACTATTTTCGGACATTTGCTTGATAACATACATGTAACCGCCAACGAAACGTCGCGTTAATTAAATAAAAAAGTGTTCCATGTTATGTTTTTGTGTTTATGACGTGTGTCAATTGCTAAATGCCGCTTAAAGAAAGGCATATTTCTTTAACATTATGGACATATTCTATATTTATCGTTGAGTTATTTCTTAAAGTAGTAAAATGATATTCCTCTAACCTGTTATAGTAAATACTCCTACATCAAACAATCTTTCAATGCTGACATCAACCCTATTCATTCTGAAATACAAGAACAGGATTACTTATACAGGGACTCCACAGGAAAGATTTACTTTGTTTAAAAGGAATCGACCATGGACCGGAATAAAAGTGCGAGTAGAAACGCTTACATTTCAAACCTCCGTTTCTTTTTTTAAGGAGTGTTCCGGCTTCGAATCCAGGAAATTTTTTTGAATCCAATCTGAAAACGCGATTTTCGTACAATCACTGATCATAATCCAGGAAGTTACAGTCCTATATGTAGGAATATCGAAAGGAGCCGAGATCTTTGTGATAGAAACACATATTTTAAGTTTTATCACAATCGGATAAAGATTGTGACCTCTAGAGTGTCCACAACATTGGTATTACACACCTTTACACTATGTAAAAGAAGCGGCCATTTTGTCTGGCAGCTTCGGTCCGGTTTTCACGAAAATCGAACTCAACCATTATTATGGAGTAACGGTGTTATATTTGAACGGTTTTCAAAATCAGATAAAATTTGTGACCTCTAGAGGGATCACAAGCTAAAAACACTATTCTTCGTAAAATCAGAGGCCATTATATAAGAAGTTACTGTCCGATATGCACAAAATCTTTTCCCAATTAGAACTGCGGCAGACCCGCATCCTATACCATTGACAAGGGGGAACCAAGAGTGGCTCATTACTCATGTGACTTAGTAGGCACAGGATCTTTCATAGAAGTTGAAGTTAAATGGACCCTTTTGTCAGATTCGGGGCCTCGTTTGTTGCTCTTTGGGACTTTTTATTGTAGACACGGCGCCCTTCCACTTGACTTGGGGCTTTCCACTGGCGTCAGAGGTCCTGCTTCAGGGGATCCATGTTAAGTGTTCTCCTTGGATGTCGCGTTTTCTTTCCGTTTTCGTTTTGGATACTTCCATTTTTTTTTTCGAGTGGGAGGCTGCTATAATCCGCAAATGATATTGTAAATCATGAAATTTAATATGCTGTTTTTGTCATATTCGCCCAGCATGCTAGATTATGTATAATTTCGATCCTGCATAAATACACTTGAAAATCATTAATCATCATAATGAGTTTTTATAGAAATCTAAAAATACATGGTTATATATAAAAATGGAGAATGAATTATAATTTCATTTTATTTCACTTGAAAATAACAAACAATTTTAAGTGACCTTCAATATAGAAGCACATTTAGTTTAAATAGGTCGAGTCAACGATAAATTTAAAAATGTACAATATTGACCTTTCACACAACTATACCATTCACAGATTGACGGATTCGTATGTAGGCCTGAGAGCGCGGTGGTCCATGAGTAAGACAGCTGGCTATAGTCGTTCTTACGGTACGAAAAACCGTGCACGTAAAAGAAATCCTTCACAGTTTGAATAAGATATAATAGTAGGCCTTAGCGGAGCTGTTCGGGCAAAATGTCCCCCATAGCACACTGCATGGCGTATGCCCGTCTTCATTAGCCCAGTTGGTGCGGAACAATGGAACGTTAAACCCCATTTCATTTCATTTTACTTAAGGCTGAATAAAACATATCTTTGCAACAGACACCTTAATAGACCGCGCAAACAATCCGTTGATTCCTCGATGGAACGTTATACATTTAATAGCCCTAATGGTATATCAAATGTTCCCTTGACAGACGATTAGTTGGTGCAACAGACGTGTACATGGTGTAGATAATTATTCAATAACTACTCACCTTTTCCTTAGAAAACTGTCGTAAAATATGGGACAAAATATTCCATAGAATCTTAAATGCGCACAATTTCGTTGTCGCCAAATGTTTAAAATGTGTATAGTATGACTGGTATATTTTTATCGATTTATTTGTTTATAATATAATATATATATATATATATTGCCTGTGTATACTACAACACCTGTTACACGACCTATATGAAATGCACAGGTGGAATTAGAAAAGCTGGTATTAAATCATTTTATTATTTCAATTAGTGGAAATGCATGTGGGTTGTATATTCACTTTCATTTATTTTATGTGCAGCTGTTTCGTGTTATCGATTTGTCAAATATCGTACAATACTCAATCTTCTGAATATGAAAATTGCTACGGAGCTTATGGTGTGAATTCCTATCTTTATTTTTAATTTTTGAAACATTTTCAATCTGATTTCGTCAGTCTGTTTAAAAATAGATTATTCTGTGTTTTGTTTGGTATGTGTCTTGTGTTTTTCATCTTGTTAGTTGCCGTGCTGCAGTTAGGGCTGGGGTAATCGAGACTATTATAAAAAGGACTTTGACTGTTTAAGGGTTATGTGTCACAAATAATCGTAGTCCAGACAAGATAGCATAACTGTGGCTTTTGCTGCAATAGAAATGCCGACCACGGTTTATGGTCGGTCTAGACGTATATTATCACTAAAAAATAAGTCCCATTCCGAGATCCGTGTCCAATGGGTCAAATTGGCCAAAATCCGAAATGGCCGCCGGTTTTGACTTGTAAATTCTAATTTCCACCCAATTGTCAAAATATGATCGAGTTTGGTATCAAAATATACGTTTTCGGGATAACTGAATCCATTTCCATACACATTTTTGTGATAAATATGTTACCGCTGAATCAATAACGGGGGTCATTCAAGATGTCGGTCAGTTTTGCGCGAAAATTCAAAGTTTACTACACAGTTAAAAATATCAAGGATTTTACACCAATTTGGGTGGCAACTAGTTGCCACCTAAATAGGGGTAACTTTAGCCTTTAGTGGTGTAAACCGATAACACCGAACTGGTGTAGAACATTACACCAATTCAGGTGGAAACTAGTTGCCACGTCTAGTAGTGTAAACTGCCCGATACACCCGTGGGTGTAGATTAAGCATCACCTCTCAAGGATGGTTTGTAACTTACACTTCAATTTTAATAATTACACCAACGCGGGTGTAATTTGTTTTGTTGGAAATTTAGTTCAAGCCAACGACTTCTAAGTTCCAAAAACTTGAAATTGGCTATCGGTCTCTATGCTAATTAGTACAGGGCGTTTAGCCCGACCCTAATTACATATAGACCGTCGGCTACTTCTCTTCATTTTACAACGACATTAAATTGATAAAAACCCATCAGACTGATTCAAAGTTAACTGCTGTTGGGCAATTAGACAATCTGTATCAATTTACAATGATAAAAAATCATGAGGAAAAATCCATACACATATCCTTACAACATAGCTGAATAATGTGGTTTATTCATTTATGCACCTCACCTGAATTAAGAATTATTAATTAAGATATTGTACTTGGTAATATTTTGGAACAATTACACGTGTTTAAGTGTATACAGGCTAAAATAATCTATACTTTACTCGTTATGACTAAACACTCTAAAATCAGTTGCAATTAAAGCCATATTTTACAAAAAACAATCAAATTGGAGTACACAAATACTTTTTTTAACGGAAGATACGGTGTAAAATTGACACCTTATTCGGAGGAATGTTTCCCTAAAATAATTACACCTGTTGGCGTAAATGCAATAAAACGCTTGTAGAGGGGTAGCTAATCCCAAACACCATTTAGCGGCTACAATTACACCTATCCTGGTGTTCAGTACTCATGAATTTCGATTACACTTTTGCAACCCAAGTAAGATTAACGCTGTTCCATGATTCATTCCCTAATAATAGTTACGCCCTTTGGTGTAAATGCAGTATGGCACTGGTAGTGGTGTAGCTTATCCAAAACACCACACAATTACACCTATTCAGGTGTTAAGTAGTCATGGATATCGCTTACACTTGTTAGGTGTAGTTTTTTAGTTGGTTACCCTTGGAAAAGTATTACATTTAAAAAAACTCTAGCTGTGGTGTAAAGTTTACACTTAATTAACACTACTTATAGTTTTTAATTACACCCATTTTTAACAGTGTATGCATCAAGTTTGGTGTAGAAATATAGGGTTTCGAGGTAGCTGAATCCATTTTTGTACATATTTTAGTGATTAAGTGATTCCCTTGTGTCAAAATAGGAGAAATTCCAATTAGGGATTTAGATTTCTGATTAGGGATTGGAGATTAATGATAGGTAGGACACCTTAGACCTAATACAATGACATTCATCCAGTATCAACTAAATTTCATTTGGAGTGTCTCCCAGCTCACTGCGGTAGCGGCTTAGGCGTATGTCGACTGGTGCCACTCCCTGGTCACCGCGGAAACTGATCATGCCTATTGAAGCCACGTGACGAATTTATTTCACAAAATGATTCAAATGTTGAGACACAGATGAATACAATATCGCCTCTTTGTCAGATAGGCAGTGAACCATTTGATAATGAACAGCCCACTGTTATTCCGAAAATAACAGGTATTGGAGGCTTTAATAAGGCGGTTAAGCTGAGAAATTATGTTCGTGATTTCGAGCTCAGTGAAAAATACCGTGTGGAATGTCACAACTTTAACTATTGCACAATGTTGTAAAACTATTGAAGTGGAGGAGTCTGTATCAATTTCTAGACGGTCCGTGGTGCCAAAATTCATTTTTGCGGTCCGTTGTCTTGTACATGGTTTGTAGGAAAGACTAGCAGACGGTCCATTACAACAGATATAATCGGTGACCTCTGTTACAACAGTAAACAGTAGATCTCGCAACACTTATCTTTTGGACATGTCAAGACCAACCGGAGAGAGAGAGAGAGAGAAATGGGGTTTAACGTCCACTCGACACAAACTAGGTCATTTCGGGACTAACATATGGTTTAATTTTATTTACATAATTCGCTTGCGCGTAGGGGTCTTTAGCAGTGAGAGGAAACCGGAGGACCCGGAGAAAACCCACGAGGTTGGACAGGCGACCCTACTCCTTGCCACGTACAACCGGGGATTCGAAACCACGCCAGTCGACTCAATGACAGACTGTATGATACAGCGCGCACACGCTAACCATTCAGCCATCCAACCCCCCAAGACCAACCGGATTAAACTATAGATCTATGTTTCGTTTCGTTGTTTTTATACTTTCGATGGCCTCTACTACATGAAGATTTGACCGGTGGTAGTGGACGGTCGCGTCAGACGTCATACGAGCGGCTTTTGACCCTATGACGTCAGACATTCGATTAACCAATCAGCGTTGATGATTCTAGTGGGTTACCCACAGTTCTGTGCACCTCACGCCAAAAACTCGACGTAACAAAACGTTTCAATAGCTAATCCCCACATCGTCCAGAACGCGGGTTATATAACAACTCTTCCAGATCTTGGTGTAGTAAAGACAAGTAAAACGAAATTTTGCACTATAAAAAATGAAATGAAATAGTATCGGTGTATTAATCAGATTGTGTCAAGACAGGACAAATGACGACTGGACATTAATCTAGTTGTATTTAACAAATCAACATTGAGGCTGGTGTCCCTAAATAATCGACACTCATTAATTACTTGCACATCTAACATATTTATAAAGCATCTAGCATTGAAATTGTTCATCACTCTGTGTAACCTAAGCAAACAATCTCATTGCATGCAGAGGCGTGCTGGGCAGGTAGTAAATCGCCTGCTCTGCCCCAAATGCAAAACAAAAGAAACTGGAAATGATTGATGACGCTTGAATCCGATGAGATTTCCTACCAGGGTATAGGGGAGGGAGTGGGGGTGGCTATGTGCCCTCCCTTCCGAAAATGTGCCCTCGAATTTCAACAGAGTTACCTTAAATACTTAAGGAAATGCCCACCCTAATGAAAACATTGCCACCTTTTTCTGATGCCCTTCCCTTGTTCCACCCAAATCCAGAGATACTATAAACCAATCGCACTCAATGTATGTATAGAATATGTCCGTTTTTCATTGATGATGTAAGTAAGGGCCCCATACAAGCTCAATCAGACCCTGATTTCCACGGATGACTTCCAGAATCGATTTCACAGCCCGATTAATATTTCCATAATATTCAGAATCAATTAATGTGTCTTAGTTTTATTTATTTATCTAAATGAAATTTAGGAAAATTGCAACACAGGCGACGGGAACGTTTTTGCCGGTTAGAATACTCAAGGCCAATACGCTAACCGTCACCA